ACGCTGAGACTCGCCCCACTGAGATCCTAGCTTCAACCAATCCGAGAAGCGGACTAAGTTTTTTCTGGCGGGGGAGTCAAAATTTTGGCATCATCGCCTGAGCTGGACTTCAATTCGGGGCAAATCCGACGGACTGACTTTTGCCGTGCTCGGGCTTCAAGTTGTACTTGTTTGCTGTTCGGTTGTTCTGCCTGCCTGCCCCGGCCTCAACTCTTGCCGGCACTGAACCTGGAATCGTACCTTGAGACCTGCCGTACCCTCCAGTCTTCCATCGACACCACAGACTCGATTCGAGGCCATCTCGAACTCGCTTCCTTCCCTTCCTTCCCTGACTGAGCTCTTGACAACTAAGGTGAATTCAGCTTCCAGCTGCCAAACTTCCCTTCCGCTCCGCTCACTTATTAGGTTCGTCCGCCAGCTTACTGGTAGCCCCTTCAACTTCCTCTACAAAACACCAATGGCAAGGGTAGCCAATTTTCGCCCGCCTTGTTCGCGTTGCTGCTTCCCTTCCTTCAAACACCCCGCGCAGCTCCGTAGTATGCTACCTCTACGTTTGCCTCGTCCGCCTTTCCCCAACACCCGCCGCCAAAGAAAGATCCGTCTTGATCAAACCTCTATCTTGTGGCCATTCTGACTCAACATTGATACAAACAGAAGAGGAATAGCAAGACGGCGTCCTGCATTGAAACTACCTACTTCGGCTGCTTGAGGCCCACGATTTCCATCTTGCGATTCAAGATTTGGGAAGGGATCTACGTCGACTTTGCTATCTGAACCCTTCGGAGCTATCAATCACAAGCCGGCCACCGTCCTTCATTTACAACGAACTGCTCGGCGTTTGAAGTTTCGAGCTTGGTGATATCTCAGCTCTCGGCCAGCTTCTCGTCACTCCGACCGACCTGGCTCTCCTCTGCTGCCTCCCATCTTCCCGAACCTGCCACCCTACCACCCGCATCCCCGACCTGCGCTTCCAGTCTGCTTTTGTACACCTGGCTTCGCCTTCTTGTTCCGGCCTCGTTCGTCAATTTTACCGCCTGTTACAACAAGTGAAGCAGACAATCTCCACGTTCCGCAATCATGGCGCCTCCCAATGAGGCCGGCACGCCCGCGAACCCCGGCGGCACCAGGCGAGCACCCTACAACGTCATTAAGCCCGTTGTCCCTGCTCTGCCGCTCGGCTTCCCTCAGCGCCCGATCTCTACTGTCAAACAGGCCAAGTCTTTGGCCCCTGCAATCATTGCTCGGAGCCAGCCGGTTGCTTCCGCCGTTCAAAGAGCAGTCGATCCGGATCTTCGTGATCGACAGCAAGGGCAACCATCCGCCGAAGCGGCAAAGAATGAGGAGAAACACAATGGTGCACCCCTTCTTGCATCGCAGCCCGCTCAGCATAACGGTGCCAACGTCAATGCCCCGCCAACTGAACCCATGCATCACCAAGGAAAAACAGGTATGAAAGCTCTTTATGCGTGCTGCATGTAGTTCACTTACTCCTTGCCTGTTTAGCTTGGTAATAGGCAGGCATGTCCGTCATGTAAGAGCCCATGCTGACATTCTTCCATAGATGTGCCAACTGGCCGCCCCATCCAATTTGAACCTGCGCCTCCGTCCAGCAACACTCTTATACCTCGCTCCTCTCATCACGCACCGTCTCAGAGTACGGCTTCTTCTTCGATTTACACTCACGAAGCCCCAACAGCCATGCCTCAGCCCACCATCATCTACCGGCCTCAGGCTGCCTTTCATCAAGGCCACCCTAGCAACGCCGGTCTGTTTTTTGGAGGACCGAACGACTCTGGGGCTTCATCGCCCGCCTCCCACCCAATGGCCCCCTTTCCTCCTCCCGGAGGTTTACCTTATGCTCCTGGGACGATACCCCCGCTCGATGGCTACGGACGGCCGTTGCTAATTTCCTCCACCGTTGATGGCTATCCCGCGGCTCTCGTCAACCACCACGGACCCCCCACACCCCACAGTGTTCACGGCTCGCAGTCACCTATCCATCCCGGAGATCACAACTTCGGCCAGCTCGGATCTGCCAACGGTCAGAGTGCCAATGGCCAGAACGGGCACTCCGCTAATTGGGTCAACCAAAGTGCGTTACCCCCACAGGGGCTGAGTCCGCCTGTCAATGGTTTGCCCCAACCCAATGCCTCCGTTATGGCCTTCCAGCGAGAGCAGGACACTATCTTGGACTTTTTGCGCAACGCAGCAAACAACCACCTTTTCAGTGACTGCACGCTTCAAGTGCAATTCAAGCCTAGCCAAAAGTTTCAGGGAATTCCTGGGCACGAGAAGTTGTATGAGCCCTTAGCAATCCCGGCGCATCGTTTGGTGTTGGCTCGCAGCCCGACACTGGTCAGGATCATGGAGTTGCAGGGCACCGGCCCGGGAGGAGTGGTTTCGTTGGAGCTCGACAACGAATATGTGCGATCTGACACTCTCATGTTCGCCATCCGTTCCCTGTATGGCTGGACTCTTCGAGCCTACCTTCCTTCGCAGTTCCCTCCACGCGGCGTCATCGAAGATTTCAAGCTCGCTCTCAGTTATATCACGACGGGCCGCTACCTCCAGCTACCGCACGTGTTCTCGTTCGCCGTTCACCATGGTGCAGAGTTGGTCTGCTGGCCCACGATTGAACTTGCTACCGAATTTGTTCTGAAATCCGTCATCTTTTCTTCCCAGCAGGAGGGAGCCCCGATGATGACCGAGCTCATCGACAGCGTTCTTCACTTCCTTGCGCACAATATCCCGCAAGACTTTGTCCTTGACACAAGGGTGAGTGACTTTGGTTTTCCCAGACTACCGGCCGAGACACGTCAGGCTGCCGCTCCGCCTTCTGCCGCCCCACGCGATCCTCAATCCTCGTCCAACGAGCCTGTGCCGGCTACCCAGGCACCATCACGACTCTCAAAGGGCTCCATCAATCCCAGGTTGTTGCAAATTCGGTTCGGGGACCTCTCCCTCGGAGCGGAGAATGGTCAAGGGTCAACCAAGCAGGCCGAGAGCCCGCGTAGCAATCGTGCGCCGGCGCTCAACGACACCATCCTTTCACGCATCCTTCTGAATCTACCATTCGACATGTTCAAGATCGTTATGGAGAATAGCCCCAATATGCATCACAACATTGTCAACGAGGTTGTCCAGGAACGCGAAGCCAGGCGAACGTCTGCATTAGCAAAACATACCGATGTTCTTGGCGCTTTTGCGAGGCCCGCATTGGTCAACGGCATGCGAGACTATTGGTATAACAACATGGGATTCAAGGAGGAAGTGTTCTCAGGAGACGGCGCTTACCTTGTCCGTACGTGGATCCACGGCGAGGAAGCAAGCCCTTGAGACAAATGAAGACGACGGTGGGCGTCAAGCAGTAGCGGGTGCTGAGCTCTCGACATTTACGACTTCATGAATCTTGCGAATCGGTCTGGCGCGGGAAGTGGTTTTGCTATATCGCCTCCTCCTTGGGTTGCGTAAAGGGCTTTTCTTATAATGCTGTTTGTTTCATGTTACTCCTTTGTCTATTTTGCATTGCGACCGGAGTTGTACGATTGAGGAAGCGCCGTCACCATGGATAACTTGGCATGACAAGTTTCGAGGTACACGAGGGGTTTCTGTCGTTACGAAGGAAAACTCCTTCAGATTCTGGCACGCCGGCGCGACGAATGCCGTTGGCGTTCATCGGGCTCTTGGAGCGTACTGGGACTGCGACTCTGGGAGGCAGATGTATGAGGTTTCGGTCTTTTTCTTGATTCCTCTTTTCATTTTCCATCTTTCTTTTTTTGCATTCATACGCCGAGGAAGCCGGCGATGGTGGCGTTTGGGTGCGATGGATGCAAGCCGTGAATCTTTTATCTTCCTTTCCAGGTCGTCTTGGTCTTGAAACGGGGGTAGCGGAGCTTGCCCAACGGTATCCAGCATGGTTGGAAGGATGTCATTGCTTTGGCGGGAACCGAAGTTTTCCAGAATCTTTCTTCTGGCGGAGCGAGGATGGTTTGGATTGGGATCCGGCTTGGGCTTTGCGGCGTTACTTACTTTTTCTTTTCATTCTTGTTTTGCAAGGAGTGGTTAGCGAGTGGTTGTTTCCGCCAGACACCGGATTGAGCAGGGGCGGGTGGATTCAGCCGTTATGATCGATGCAGGAAGGAAAACATACTAAAATACCCATGGACGTTGCGATTTTCACCAATAGATGGTAGGCATGATTGGCCTAGGGAATTCTCTCATGGCTTTCAAGATATTTTAGGTAGTCGGTTGTAAAACAAAATTGTACAGCATTACTTTTATTATCCCGTTATTCTCGATGTTTATGTTGTGTTTATTGACTTGGTTTGGGGTTTTGGAAGAGAAAAGAATTGGCCTGCCTGGAGAATGACGGCATCGTGGAAAGGATAGGTAGCTGCGAAGGTAGCATCGGGGCCCCTTTGTGAGTGTGGGGAGAAGTGCGCTAACCTAATTGGGAGCTATTCCTTCAGCTTGGCTCCATGAGGTCTCTTTAGCCTCGTAAGGGGTTCATTCGCTAAACAGCCAGTCAGACATTCAGTGAACTATGTAACTAGAAATTACCGAGGCTGGCTCGCTTGGGGACAATAGCACGTGGAACTGGGAGGCGTCACTCTGGGCTGCACCACTGTTGACTGATAGTCACTTGCTGACTGAATGCCCAATTGCAAGCCGAGCACTGCCAGGCCCCAATTCCATCTCCCCTCACCGAATCCATCTCCACACAAACGGGCGGCGTCAGGTCGTAGACGACAGGCGGCCCTATTTTTCGACCTTTCGACTGTTTATGACGACATCACGCGACAAACTGCGCCGACATAGGGCCTTCTAACGATCAAGGGTACCACAGAGGAAGGGCAGGGAGGAGAGATCAGAGACACAGAATCAGGGAGTCGAGTCGAGAACAATCCTCAACATCGATTCGCAATTGCCTTGACGGCCGGCATCAATTACTCCACCAGACGAGCTGCTCCGACAACAGAATAACATCCTACGAAATTATCTACGCGCAGGGGCATCCAGAAGTCAACCGACCTTTGTCAGAGATCAGCGGCGCGTCCCAAGATGGCCTCAAGAGCCTCCGCCGGCGCAGCCGCAGCAGGCCCTCGAGCCAGCCCCGGCCCAAGAGGCCCGGGAGTCACAGCCAAGTCCACCTCGGATCCCATTCTTCGCAATGCTCTGCGATACACCATCTCGGCTCGCGAATACGCCGTTCTGCACAAACACGTCATCTCCAAATCCAAGACGCTAAGGAAAAGGGCGCCAACAGTCGATACCGTGCAGAGAATCATGGACGGTGAACCCCAAAATAGGGGTCGCGGTGGTGGTGGTGGTCAGGCACTGGCCAAGGGTTACGCTACCAGTACCGGTTCCGGCGGTGGTGCGTCTTCCAGCGATAAGGATTCGAAAGCGAAGGCTAAAGAGGAGGTATTGGCCAGGATTGCTGGCAAGGGAGCGGGTGCCGACGATTACAATGCGAGAGCGATCAGACACTCGCTACGCGTCTTCATTGCGACTGGCGCGTTGATGAAGTTGTGGGGAATCGTGTCGGCGAGGGTTCTAGGGAAGAAGCAAGGGTATGTTATCCATTCTCGGTGCCGTTCCCGGGTTGAAGTTTATGCCCCTCCTTGGTTGGCATTGCATCTGGTAGGCATGTCCCGATATAAGCTAACATGGGAACAGCGGTGCTGCCAGCGGTCAGAAGCAGCCACTTCACAAGTCACCGACCCTCCGGCTATCCCTATCACTCAGCACCATCTTGCTGATGTACCGACTTCTTTTCCGCTTCTTCACACGCCTACGTGCCCATTTGTTGGACCCTACGGCGGCTCCCTTCCGGATTCGTAACCCCAAGACTACGCTCACGCTCACATCGCCGTATGCCCCTGCCGTCGGTGCTTCCCTGGCTGGTCTTGCGCTGGGTGTCTATCCAAGCCAGCAGCTACGTGTTTCCATTGCCGTATATGCGCTCTTCAGAGCACTCGAGTTCGGATGGAATTGTGCCGAGGACAACGGCATGGTCTGGGGTTGGGATAGGGGCACCCACGGCAGGCCGGATAAGAAGCGGACGAGGCCGTGGTGGTGGGGAAGCTGGATGTTGCAGCCCTTTGCGTTTGGCCAGCTGTTGCATGCCGCCGTGTTCGATCGGGACTGTTTCCCCACGGTAAGTTTGCTATCAGATGGGTGGCGAGGGACGTAATGCTAACACGCGACGACGCAGGCCTATGGTGACTTCATCTTCAAGCATTCCACGGCCTATCTCCATGCCAGACCCGAGGATTTCCCTCTCAGCCTGAAGTGGCCCAAGGTTTACGAAATAATCGACAGCCTCGCCACAATGGCCAAGCTCAACTGGCCGTACGTCTTTACCCTCTTCCAAAGTTCCTTCTCCTTTTTGGCCGCAACTAACATCTCCAACAGGGCATTCATCTCCCCCGTCCTCTTCCCCGGCAAAGAAGACACGCTCCCAGCCTCCCTCTCCGCCATCGCCCCCCTCACCTCCGGCGCCCACCCGCTCATCACCTCCCTCTCCTGCGCGACCCTCCACCCCTCCGACCCTTCCTGCACGCGGACCTTGCTCACCTTCTGGCTGCGCTCCTTCACACCGCTAACCAAGATCCTCCTCCTCGTCTACTCGGCCATGGTTCTCCCGCGCTTCAGCTCGCTCTACCACTACCCGCTCTCCACCATCCAGGGCATCATCTCCAATGCGCTGCGCATGTCGACCTTCCTGACGGGTGCCCTGGGCACTTGGTGGAGCAGCATCTGCTTCTTCCAGACGTGGCTGCCGCGCACCTTTATGCCCACGCAGCGTTTTTTCTTGGGAGGCTTCCTGGCTGGCTTCTGGGCCTATCTGGAGAAGAAGAAGGGCCGGCCCATCTTCTTGCACACGGCCAAGGCGAGCTTGAACAGCCTTTGGAAGGTCGGTGTCAAGAGGAGGTGGTGGCGGGCCATGAAGAGTGGGGATGTTTGGGTCCTTGTGGCGGCGTTGGCGCTTACTGGTGTGGTGTATGAAAGGGACGCGAAGGCAATCAAGGAAAAGAATTGGAGGAAGGGAGTGTCCTGGGTTAGAGGTGAGGGGTGGAGGGATTGGGTGGAGACGTTGGAGATTGAGGGCGATGAGGCGGATGAGAAGGAGGAGGATATTTATGAGCTGAAAATTGAGGAGGATGAGTCGGAGGGGGAGGGCTTGAGGTATTAAGCTAGGGAATGGTCTGATGAGTGCGGATGGAGAGGGAAAAGGAGATACGTTGCTGGGGGTAGAGGGGAATAGGGGTTCTTGCTGTGCGAGCAACCCTTGCTGGATTGGCTGGCCAGCTGTCTTTTTGAAGAACGGACATTGAAGACGTAGCGGGGTGGTGATTTAGGGTGTACGTAGGTAGTCTTGCGAACTTGTCGATATACCCTTCTTTAGATGATTCTTGTTTACATACATGCCACTCATTGGACCTTACACACTGTCCAGAAATAGATTCCTTTGGACATCAATCCATTGTAAAACACCAATCCAAATTGACCTTTCAGACATAATCGAGTCATTGATTCAAGCATGGCTACCTTTATAGTATCAACACATCCCCTCAAATATCAAAAGTCTCACTCAACCTCAAATCCCTACTACTAGCCCCCACCCAAATCTTATACTTCCCTCTCCTCAACCGCCACTGCTGCATCTCCACATCCCAAACGCTCAAATCCCTTCTCGTCAACTCAAACTCCGCCTCCCCATCCTCCCCCGGCGCCAGCGGTCCCACGCGTTTAAACCCGCGCAGCTGACGAACCGGCGTTTCCTTATCCTCTTCCTCCTCATCCGAAGCGGGAATACCAACATACAACTGCACAACTTCTCTTCCCTCATATTTATCCCCTGAATTCTCCACGCGACACCTTACCACAAACAAAGTCTCCCACAAGTCCGGATGTCCGCCCTGGATAATAGGCGTGTCAGGATCGGGAAACTCGGCGAACCGGGTGGCGGCGAGGGAGGGCATCGTCGTCTCTTCCATGACACCGGGAGCGATAGAAACATAAACTTGCAAGTCTGAGTAAGAGAAAGTGGTATAAGACAATCCGAAGCCAAATTCGAAGCGGGGAGAGATGCCATGACGGTCGAAGAAGCGATAATCGATGTGTAGTCCCTCCACAAAATTATCTTCGGGGAAAAACGGGTCGCCGCCCTCTTCTTGGCCGGTGGAAGAGTTGAGTAAATGCCCGTAATCGGACTCCTTCTTGGCGATCGTATAAGGTAAACGACCGGAAGGGTTGACGTCGCCGTATAAGATGTCTACCAGACTGTTACCGGATTCTTGGCCGGGTAAGCCAGCCATGAGCACGGCGGTGACGTTGGGGTGGGAGATCCACGGGTCGACGAGCCGGATGCCGGCCGAGTGGACGATGGCGATGGTTTGGGAGCACCAGGAGGCTATGTTGAGCACGAGGTCGTCGCTGAAGGCGTCGGAGAGGGCAGAACGGTCGGACATCTCGGAGGCGTAGGCGTTGATGAAGACGAGGCAGGCGTCCGCGTTGAGGTATTGCTGGGAGGGGTTGGCCGAGTGGAAGTCCCAGCGGAGCATGCCGCGATCTTTGCGGATACGGTGGGACAAGGCTTCGAAGGGGGAAACGACGTAAGGGGGCGTGGAGCTGCCGGAGCCGCCGCCGGTGATCAAGGTGCCGTTGAAGGTGGTCCAGCCGCGGTTGACGTCGTAGCCGCCGCCGTAGCGGTCAGGGTTTTCCCAGGGAGTGGACTTGACGATGGCGTCGTAGCCGTAGATGCAGAGGAATTTGGGTTGGGTTAAAGGGAGGGTGCCGTTGACATTCTTGACCAGGACTGTGCCCGCCGCTCCGATTTCGCGGATGAGATCCGCGTGGTCCGCTTGTACGTCAATGGGGTCGGGCAGCTGACCGCCCGGCGCGACACCAACGGGTGGGTAGGTCCCGTCGTCCTGGCCGGCGTATAGCCACGCCGCCAGCACGCGGGTCGCCATGTCGTTCAAGCGCTCCTCGGCCACCGATCCGTTCTTTACAGCTTCGATCAACTTCTCGCCCCAGAACCCGTCCCGTGGCATCACCATATCCGCTCCGGCGTTGGCTGACGCGACCCCGCTCATCTGCGCATCCCAATCAGTAACCACAAATCCTTCAAACCCCAACTCCGTCTTGAGTACTCCATTCAGTAACTTGGAGTTCTGGCACACATAGCTGTGATTCGCCCTATTATATCCACACATCACGGCTCCGGCACCCGCGCGCAGTGCGTCCATAAACGGCCAGACGTACTCCCTCAGCGCTCTGTCCCCAACATTCGCGCTGATGGCATGTCCTTCTCCCTCGGGCGCATCCTGTCCCCATCTTCGTCTATACTCCTGTTCGTTGAGCAAGAAATGCTTCGCAGTAGCAATAACCCCCTCCCCTTGCACGCCCTCCACGATCCTCCCCATCCCAACGCCAGCCAGGTACGGATCACTCCCCAACCCTTCCCAATTCCTCCCTCCCTTTGCCACCCGTCCCAACGGCCCCGCCAGCGGCCCTAGGGCAATGTTCACCCCTTTACCGCGATACTCAGCGCCCACGGCCTGGCCGTAGCGGTACATAAGGTCTGCGTCCCATGTCGCGGCGAGGTGAATGCCCGCGGGAAAAGCGGAGGCGAATTCCTGGCCGCGCACACCGGAGGGGCCATCGTAGAAGCAGAGCGGTGGTATGGATAGGCGGTCGATTGAGCCCGTGTTTCCCACGCAAGGACCAGGAAAACCGCGAGTGAGGTTTTGGAGTTCCAAGAGCGTCATTTGCGAGGTGAGCGCGAGGGCGTGCTGGTAGGCGGATGACCAGCGAGAGGAGGAGGTGCCGTTGGCGACAGGGGTGGGGTAAAACGGCGGGCTGAGACCGTAGTAGGGGAGTTCAGAGGGGTGTTGCCCGTCATGGTGTTGTGAGGACGGAGCTGATGATGATGATGGTAGACTACTGCATGATTGCAGAGAGGCGGCCGCGCAGATGAGGGCAGCGGCACCCTTCACGGAGAAGACGACTTCTTTTGCATGGTCGGCAAAGTAGCCTGGGCCTGGGAGGCTCGTTGGCAGCCGTAGCAGTTGCTCGTAGAGACTGCTGAGATGGTTCATGGCTGTGGTTGTGAGTTGGATGATTGCATTTCTCAAGTTCTCGAGTATCACTTTGGTCAGGTAGTCAAGCAAGTACCACGCTGAGTTTCATGAATGTATGACTTCCTTTGATGAGCGGAAGACGACAAGAACGGCCACGAGGAGAAGAACGATATTGGCGATCTGGTTCTGTCGCTAGAAGATGACCGGATCGAGCTTTGGTTATTGAAGGCGGCCAGACTGAGCAAGTCTCATCCCGATATGGGATCTCGTGTTGAGGATAAAAACCGGCACGTCGTTACTCGGTTTTAAATGATCTTCTTACCGCTAGTCGGTGGATATTGGGCTGCGGCGCCACGTAGTGACGGACCGTACCCCCGCCGGTTGCCTTAGTTTGTTGCACGTTGAAGATGGACATGCATGGTGGTTGGCGCTGGATGCCGTGAGGGGAAAATAGCGATAAGAGTACTACTTGTTTTATTTGGAGTATTACACATACAAGTGTTAGTGCCCTTAGCCGCCTATAACGGCCTGGCACTGTAGAACGTGCAAGTGTTACGGCAAGCAGATGGAAGAATGCCGGATGTCAGGTAGGCTAAGATTCATAGAAGTATTGTTCCACGTATAAACCGTATGACGAGCTGTTCTGGACTTTAGATGGGCCTCCGATAACAGTCGCACAACAGTGATTTTCTGCGGGGAAGGAGATCATGAACTTCCACCTGCATCTGTTAGAATACAAAGGTTGATTGGTCCACTTCTGTCACTATTGCGGGAGCTCCATCCAATTGTCCAGTTTGGCGGAGTGGTGCTTTTTTGGTACCGGACGACGCGACTGCCAAAGCTTATGATAACTGGCAGAGTGGGTGAACGAACTATAGGCAGTTGTATCTTTGTTAGAATTCGAGCGTTTCGCTCAAACACTTTTTTTTTATCCCCCATATGTCCCCTTTACTGTGTGAATACGCGTCAACTATATTCTAAGGTGTTGGGAAGAACTCAAAGGAGTTAAAGTTGTGAAGGTCGAGGTGTCTCAGGTGTATACTGTATGTAGACCCACTTCCCTTCCGATTACTAACAATTAACAGGACTTGGCCTAACAGCATTGGCGCTTGACTTTTGTCTCCCCAGACTCTTTTCTCGCCGGGACATTCTCCGTCTCCCTCCAAACTAAGCACGGATCTTTTTATGACCGAGAGTATTCGGACCTATGTGCTTTAATCTTCTTCTTCCTATCAACAACACAAGAGAAACTGTAATCTCATCAGTTTTTCGCTTTGTAAGCGCTCAGAACGAACATCACCATTTCACAAGCGAGTGCAACAGGCGCTGCCTGGAGGTACAGTATTATAGAGTTGCGTCCTGCGGTATTGCTCGTCAACGAACGGTCTGGGCTTACCATCCGGAACCTTCCTCGGCTACGCTAAACTTTCACGGTCTTCCACCCACGTGTCCACCACAACGATCGCGCATCCACATCAGATGGAAACACGCGAAGACGGACTAAATTTGCGACAGACAGCGGGAGAAGACTTTTTCGAAGACAAGAGGAAGAGCTTGTTTAGAATAGACTCTGAATCTCAACCGTTCGTGGACACGGGACTAGTCAAAATTTTTACATACTAATGCACCTCGGGGAATATGAAGGGGGCACCATGTGGAGATGTTGCCTAGTGTAGGTCCAGGATGACGGGTGATGAACTTGACGCTAACTGAATGTGAAATATCCGGGTTCACCATCATAGTCGTTGGATAAGAAGTGAACTTCCATGGAAGTATTCCTTCTGCGTGAGCAGGCAGACGGACGGCCAGACAACGGACTGCCATACGTATAGCGTGCCATATATCACATGTTTCTATGTGCCCCCCAGCTCTTAATGAACTATAGTCTTCCATGTGAAAAGCTTCGCTTGGAGTTTTCAGGAGCGCGCGGACAGGCAGACAGGGACGGCACGAGGCAAAGAAGACTTCTTCTGAAACGGGATGCCACTCAACACGGAAACATTGTTCTTTGGTACCTTGCATACACAACCCTCACACCAAGCCATGGCCCTGTCCATAGGTGTCCATCTACAACCTAGAATATCGGTTATCATGCCGCATCTATAGCCTCTCCCCGACCCGCAGTTCCAGTCGGTGGGATAACCCATGGAGGTGGTACTATAACATCCCAGAGGCATGACACAAAGAACAATTTGGGGCGCCTGTTCAATATGATCCTACATGAAATCTTGCGTCTGAATCGAATCAGCAACGACGACTCACCGAGACCGCGCCCATCACACCGTGCTACCACTCTGCTCTCGAGGCCGCCTTGACAATCATGTATTGACCGTGCGGCGCGTCGTTGCAAAGAATAATCGGAGGACTCAAAATGAAAGACTTCTCCGTGCTTGCGGCGATACGTGACAGGCAACCGGAGATTTGGTGTCACATTGGATGTCTCGATACGATGTAGGACGGACTGGACAGGTCTGATGAGGAAGGATGGGCGGGTGGGCGAAACGGTCCAGGGTTTACGTTTGTGTGATCCATCTGAGACTTGAGTCCATGTGTTGGAGAAGTAAAAATGACGAGATAGAGGGAGAGCGAGAAGATTAAGTTGATTGTGGTTAGAAATGCAGGGCGAAATTGCAGAATCTGATAAGATTGAAATGGAAGGGTGTTGTTGTGGAGAACTGTCTGCTGTGAGTATGAGAATGTCATGCGTTACCCTGTCTCTTTTGTCCTGGTCGCAATCATATCCACATCAATATTGTCCTTCTCGACATGGACTCTCCAGAATTCGATGCCTTGAAGCAATTCTGTTCTAGGCCGATTAATCAACGCCGAAGCTCTTGGTAGAGTTCGAGATACCAATGTCTTGATTGGGGTAGAAACGCCGGGAGATGATGATGATGATGATGATGGGAGGCGTGAAATGAAAGGCCGCGCGCCTTATTACATATCTGCCCCACGTCAGAAAAAGATTGCCTGAAAAGAGAGAGGCGGAAAGAAACAAAAGTCTAATTCTCTCAAGTAGACCGAACGTCTGGTGATACAAAGGTTCTGAAGTTGTTTTGACCGCCACGCATGTCTGAGACGGCGACATGGAAATAATTGCCTTGTATGGCCTTCTCCGTGCTGTTGACAGACCTGACCCGAGCACCTATCTTAGAATCATTTCCACGTTCATCTTGCTTTACACAACTGGGTCGAGTGAAAATACCTACTGTCCATGGTACGAGTTCTCGTCAAGCGGGGTTTCCTCTTTGTTGTCTGTGCATGGAATGCGGGGTTGACTTGGGTTGTTCAGCCGTTCACTTACTTGCATGGTGACGAGCAGCACAGGTCTCACCTGCTGGACCCTCACCCTTTTTTTTTCTTTTTCTTTTTTTTCCCCCTTCTTTGTCGGTCTTGATGCTGTCTTGGAACTGAAACCTGCAGCGTGGTGGATTGTTTTTGTTTCATGATATTCTCTGTTCCGTGATTAGTTCCGCTCTGGAGACAGATTGAAGCTTACAAACTGGAAGGGCATCAGATGGTGGGGACGCTCAATCTCCAAAGATTAACCAAGGCCCAACTTCCATGCTGTAGTGCCCGAAGCCAGCCAGGGCAGCCAGGCCAGCAATTCGCAAGTCGTGCCAGAAACGGTCACCCCACCAAGATTACCGGTTCCATTCATTTCTCGTGGTTGTGGAGTTCTGACTGAGCCTAGTTGGGTTTAGCGTCAGGTACAGCCGTCAAGTGCTCCTTCAGTAATTGGATCGCGGAAGATCCGTGTGGAACGGCTATCCGCGGCGGCTACCTAGAGCCGGGGTAGGTGTGTGTCTAGTGAACCTGCCACAACTGTTAGTGTAATCCTTCGCGTGCATTTACTGCGTAGGGTAGCTGATGGCCAATGTTCCAAGATCCACACAGAAAAACCTCGCAATATCACCAACTGTGGTCCTGTAATTGAGTGCGGCCACAAAACGAACAACATAGCAAAATATACCAGGATCCGTTCGTTCTTAACATGCTTCTGATCCTTTTCTAACCTGCACCACACGGTACAGCTGACATGAAGGATGGGCAGGAGGCTTCTTCTGCACAAACCAATCGGAGGGCAGAAGGGGGTCGAACACGACGGTTTGAGGCTCTACTGGCTGGATGCAACGGCGAGTGAAACCAACCAGCAAAAAGATGGTGCGAAAAACACGACCATCGGTAGCTGATTGCAAACGCAAAATCCGCCTTTATTGGTGTTGCCGTTTGCTGTGAATGGGTGAAATTCTGTGGCTGGTCAGCTCAATGACCGTCACATCTTGAGGCTGTTGATCTACCGGTACCCCAAACCCCCAAGCTCCACGACGGCGGCGTGGGGGGGGGCATGGGTTTTCGTTTGGCCTCTGCGGCATGATACATCCAATCATGCAAGGTGAAGTCCTATACGTCTTCATTCTAGTGTCGATCCGGAGGACGAGGGGGCAGATCAAGACAGAGCGAGTCCAGTCTAGGGCGATTGATTGTCGACCCTGAGCAAGACAATAATCTGCATTCGTGTCACAGCCTCAGACCAACCAGGTTTAACTCGTATATCGCGGTAGCACAAAGACCCCAAGTCTATGATATCCGTCACCGTAAATAATCCAGTCAGTTGGTCGAGTCCTGATCCATCATCGTCGTACCGACAACATGTGTGTCTTCTTGAAGGTCTGGCAGGTGCAAAACTCTGACCGCCATCATTCCCACGTCGTCTGCTGCCTCTATTGCCCGCTCAAACCTTGGTTCGCCTCCTGGTCCTAAGCCTCCGTGCCGAACGGCCATAATTCAAAGAGAAAATGGAGCAAATAGCCGTCAGAAAAGCTTTGTTTGCAGCCGCTCTGTTCACGCCGCGGTGTTGTGCCACTGTTTAGGTGAGAGGTGTCGAGAGTCGACCGGCGAGACTGGCTCAGCTGGAGATACTTGGCAGATGTCACGGTTCGGCTATGGTAGTGGAGACGGCAAGAACCCTGCTCGCCTAGGTCCATGACACTTCCAACTTGTTGTTTCAACACTTATTTGTTCGCAATTTGCGTGAATAGTGGCGGGAATTAACGCGAAAAGTTTCAAGTTCTTATTGTTGGACCTCGACGTCGAGGCATTGTACAATTCTGAGAGGAACATTACTTTTTCTCCAACCATCGTATCCTGTCATCATGCACAGGCAGAGAGACAGGTCAGATGAAGCACTGCAAGATATCTTGCTGTCCGGTACCTGCAGTGAAAAGATGTCGTGGGTTGCAACACGACCCGCACCGCATCCGCATGCCATGCCGCAACGCCATACAATCCAGCCCTGGTTTGTTTGGTAGTTGTATACAAGAAAACGCCCATTTTTGACTTTTGATCTACCAAAAGTAAAATAATCATTCGAATTTCGGGCGGATGGGTGTCATAAGAGACTACCCTCTTAAATCTTTCAAACTTGGGGGACTCGAAGGAGATGGACAAAGGCAGTCACAAAGAAACGCTTTCTGTAGCGTATTTTGCCCTGGTCATGGTCCGTCGCTTTGAACGGAGCTCTGAGGGAGCCAAGAAGAGCTACAGATCTCCCCTATTCAACCCATGGCCGAAGAACCAAAATAACAAATAGAAACCAGTCCTGTATTGTACGGTAAGATACTATGTACATCAACAACGGCACACATCAGCACCGCGCCCAACGACAAAGCGGGTCATGGAGGGGTATCGATGTTTCAGATCAATTCAAAGGTTGGAAAACAATTTGCAAAAGAAAAAAAAAAACGAAAAAGCCATTCAGAAAGGACATGGCGGATGAGCTCAATACCATGACTCGTTAAAATTGACCAAATGAGGGATGTTCCTGTGAAAAGGTAATCAACACTCAAAAGTGTGATCCGCCTTGCCCTACCAGACAAAAGTTACCTTACCTTACAGGGAACAAGATGAGATGAAATTAGATGGGACGAACCTTGGGGTTAGGGTTGAGTTGGCACTTCCCTCCATAAAACAAGCGCAGAAGACAAGCGCCTTGGATCATGGATCGCAAAGCTCATCTCAATGCAAATGTCGTCGTGATTGTTGTTGACGATCTGGTAGCCTTGGTTCATCGCTCTCCACCCATGGGGTTGGCGGCAATCTGACGGTACTCTCCCACGACCCTCCTCCCCACAATGCCCTCGTCTCATAGACGTACTGGACCTTGGTACCACACTGAATAGACAGACGCATGGAGAGTGCCAGCGAGGTCAGTGCAGGCTGCACCTCTGCAGGTACGAGGTACACTACTTGGAATGAAAGGAGCTCTGTCCATTCGCTTTCCGCTGTCGGGTTTCCGATTTTTTCTTTTTGGCCCCTGTCCGACCTTCTCTGGAGGATTCTGCCCAATGAAATTGGCTTGGGAAGCTTCATTTCCTCGAGCACCGAAAGCGCACCATTTCTGGAGAGGAGTGGTGCACGAGTTGGGCGGGCAGACGCACGGTGGAATCGTTTGTCACACAAATTGCTTTTGCATGCCCCTTTTCTCCATGGACGGATCTCCGCTGGCCAATGACAGAGCTCAATTGACCTCCAATAAACACACCCCCCACACTCGGGGGTCATCCGGTCCACGGCGGGTCGCTCCTCCGCGTGCTTCCCACGGTGAAGGTGAAAATCCAGGAAGTGGAAGCCAGGTCGGCCGCCAAGGCGCTCCCAATGCGCTCCAAACTGCGCTGCCAGCCAGCCGAGCTGCTCGCAGGATAGCACCTAGCCCCACGGCTGCCCGTTCAGGTTTGTTGTGTTGTTGCAGTCTCGTCGTTCCTGGCTCAGTGGAGGTTAGGTACCTCTTACCTAGGTAGGTAGTGCAGGTGAGGTGCCGGGCCCTTGTGCCCTTGTTGGTGCCTAGCGTAGAGGTAGGTAGTCGACGGGATCCCTGGGAGGGGACTTCCTTGCGTGTGCGTGCGTGCCCTGCCCTGCAGTGTGCATCCATCCAGAAAGAAAGTTGACGGTCCTCCTCCTCCGAAAGGGTGAACCACCCCCGGCGACCTAACCTTCTTCCACCACACCTTGCCTCATCCCCAGAACCAGGTTCAGTTCCCAGGCCTGGCCCCAACCCGCACTCTACCTCTACATACATACGTACAACCCAAAACCTCGTCCCATCCCGTTGCGTCTTGTCGTCCGACCATTCCATTCCTCTGATCATCAGCTTCAGGTCCGCCGCCGACAAGCCCCTCTCAGCCTCTTGTCGCTTGTATTCGGTTCCCCGCGTTCCAACCCGCACTTTGGGTGTGCCCGCGCGCCCGTCGTCACTCCTTTACCTGGCCGACAATAAGAAGATTAAATCTCTTCTCGTACGACGTCTTCTCTTCGCCCGCTCTCTTCTCTCGATTATTTGTCGGTATACTGCGACCAAAATACCAGCAAACCCAAAGACCTGCATGTGACGCGAGATCGTCCTCTTCTTTTTGTTTCTTCATCACACTCGCTCACTGTGTTATTTTGACATACCGAAACTTCCCACGCCCGATCGACCGACGATATTTAATTGGAAGACTACAGAAATTGGTGCTGTGCGATAAACAGATCGGGACATCGTAAAGACACCTCGACTTCTCGACACTATTGACCCTGCAGCTTTCGCAACTCCAGACTCACCTTTTGCCCGGGGTTTCCATTACAGAACCTCTCTGCTTTTGTTGACCATAGAAAGCGGATATACGACTTAGGAATCGCCCGATAACGGCGGCGAAACATACGGTGAGTGGCCTGGGGTCCTGGTACAAAGGGCTGTGATCCCCGCGAGCACGAGCAAGGGGCGCTGTTGCGCTTTGCACGAGACCAAGCTGACACACAATCCTCCCTCACTTAGAAACGCAACACTGCATCTAGACAGGTTGACGGAACGTCGCTTGATTCGTCTTGCCGTATCACCGACGAGATCGCTTCGGGTGAACCCTCGCAAAAATACGATCTGCACTACATCCCTGGATGGAATGCAAATCTCACCATCCGCCACTCTGATCTGATCTGGGGCAGTTCTTATAATCGGGCCTCACTCCTCTCCGTCAGTGTGAGCTTGTTTATATTCCGACACCGCACCACAAACCGCCAGCATGAATCGCTTCAGAAATAAGAAGAAGGCCAAGGAGGAGGCCGCCGCCGCCGCCAACGCCGCCGCAGTCGCCCGCTCTAGCGAAGACTCGGAGCACTCCTCCTTGTCAGGCTTCAAGGGGTTCAGGAAAGGGAAGAAGGCACCGGTAGAGGAACCCAAGCTGGAATTTGATCTCTCGACAGCCCTTCCTTCCGACGACAACTTCCGCACAAGTCTTCTCATGACAAACCTATCTGCGCGCTTTTCCATGCTAAGAGAGCAAGACGACCCCAACACCAAGATTGGCAAGGCCAGCGACGACAGTGTATTACACCCAAAGCGACAATCGCGACTTCCTGACTTTGGTTTTGGTGCCGCCGGAGGTCTTGGGGACATTGCCGAGGTGGAGTCCATCAAGGCTCCTTCTCACTTTTTCAGGAGCGATTCGATTGCTTCTGCTGACTTCGACAATGGTGGAAGCATATTAAGTCGGGGAAAACCTATCGAGGGTAACAACCTGTTTGGTGGAAGGCAAAAGATCTACAAAGTGCCTGCTACCAAGTCCGGCGGCCTGGGAGGCCGGGCATTGTACGCCGATGACGATGTCGCCTTGTCCGCTTTTCAGCGTTGGCGTATTTCTGAAAAAGAAAAGGAGCAGCAAGAGCATGCAACTGAAGAGGAGCATGAGCAGGCGAAGGCCCATGAAGACCACCCACGATCCGAGTCACCGCCCCCCTTGGGATACAATTTCAAACGGGAGACGAGTTCGACCACCTCGTCGGCTTCCATCATGGCGCGCAATTCCACTGCTGCCAACTCGATCGCATCACAGCCTGCAGGTTACGTGTCAACTGCTCCTACCTCGGGCGCTTCTACTCCCGCTCTTGACCGATCGGTGACCCATAAGAGACGTCTATACGAGCAAAGCACGAGCCAAGATGGGCCAGAACAATCCTCTGTACTATCGAGGATCGAGTCTCTCAACCGCCAGAAGACCGCGGCCTCGGGCATCAAGGCCCTTGGTGACCGGTTGGGCGAGGAACGAACCCTCGCAAGCAAAACAAGCGCCCCTCAGCTAAGGTCAGTCAGTCTTCCAATCACTACTCCTGCGACTGGTACTGGGGACTTGGGAAATGGGGCTGCTCCTCAAGCGGATCCCGAGCTAAACTTTGGTGGCTCTCCTCCACTCAGTCCCCCAATCAGCGAGACTGGCGAAACGCTCCCTCTGTTGCCCATTCAGCCTAACGATGTTGGAAAAGCCACCGCTATGGGAGTGTTTCAGAAGCCTTTGCAACCATACGACGAGACCAAGTACGCCCAGCGCCAAATCCAGCTGCAGCAGGGTCGCGAGACGCCAACCCATCGCTTTCGGGCAGAGTCTGATGCTTCCTTCGCTACCGCTCGCTCACAGGAGTCATCTACCCACGGGCAGCCCTTTGAGGGACGAGGGGATCCTCTCAGGACTCAGCCAGCATTGGAGGAAGAGCCCTCGACTACCGATTTCGATTCGCAAACACCCGAAAGTCTTCAAGCTGAAGCTTTAGCAGCCCTTTCCGGTCAGCTCAGCCTTCAGCGTCCTGCCGATGAGGAACACCCTGCGCTAAGGGGGGCTGCTGCTCCACCCCCGCTTTCAATCAGCACATCAGCAAAGTCCGAAAACCCAACAATCTCTATCGAAGAGTCAATCGAGCCTGCATCGGCAGACTCTCCTACTCTTGGCCCCAACGCTGGACTTGGTGGCCTAGTCCGTTCACACCTTCGCTCAGGCAGTAATGCTTCCTCGATCTGGAGTGCCCCCACACAAAACAACGATCCCGAGCCGCGACCGCTCAATATGTTGCCGGACCCCAAGATCACTCCATGGATTGCGCAGGAACAAGAATGGACACTAAACTTTTACGGAAACGGTGCCAAACCAAACACTGACAACCAGGCAGCTGAAGCAGTGCAGAAGGAAACACCTGTCGTAGACTCCGCGCCCTCCAACCGGTCGAGCAGTGCGACCAATCACGGGCTATCCAAGCCTTCAAACAGATCCAGTAATACCGACAGCGAACTGGACGAGTTCGCAAGTCAACTGGCCGAAGCTCGGCGACGAGTGAAGGAAAGGCTGACTTCTTATGCCGAGTCTGATAGCAGCAGAGCGACATCACCAGTTAGACAGCCAGAACTCCCCTCCCACAAAGGCAGCCAATCTTCCCTGAACCACTTGAACATCAACATCCTCAAGGCAAAGTCAAGTAGTAGCTCTCTGGTAGATCGCTCATGGAATAATTCGGGAAGTCAACCCAAGTCCAGCCTAAAGCTTCTGGGCCTTGGGGGCGCCAGGAGCAGTTCTCGGAGCCCAACCAAGGATTCATTCGACGTGAGGGAGACAGCCGTACAAGCGATCCCAGAGAGGAGCAAGGCGCGCCAGGCCCGTCATAGTTCTGAGACTGAGAACGACAATTCAACTCAGTCCACAAATGACAAAGAGGATACTTGGAACGCTCACCCAGGTTTGATGGCATTCAGAAATGCCAAGCGCGAGCTGCAGAAGCGGAAGGAACTTGAGGCTCTTGCACAACAGCAGCTTTCCACGACCGCGCCGTCTCTTGATGTGTCAAACAATATGGAACCGCTGGCATTGCAATCGCCTCCAAGAGCTCCGAGGAGGGGACGAACGTCGAGCAGGGACGGGAAGGCACATCCCATGCAGTATAGTTCACGCGGCCCTAGTCAGGAGCGTGGATATGGAATGCATCGCGACTCTCCTACTGCTCACGTCATGCCTGGCAGCCGTGAGAGAAGTGATTCAGATGCCAATCGGGGAAGATCAACGTCCAAAAGCCGCCGGCTGCACCATCTCATGCTGCAACAAGACGGGAATATGGCGCCTGGGAGCCCTCGCGGCCCACTGCGCTCTCCTGGTCTCCCTGATACAAACGTCAAGCAGTCTCCCATCATGCCAACCCAAGGCTATTCAAACCGCGGTGCCCCTTCTCCCTTGCCTTCGCCTCATGTGCTTGAAAGATCCAAGTCTGCAGGCAATCTGAAAGCCGGTCGTTCGGTATACGGTGCTTACCCGGGACCGCCCTCACCCGCATCGCCAATGCCTCCTTCACCGTATACTGCAGGACCTGCGGGATCCCCGGCGGGAACGCCAACCTTCAGTTCCAAATCAAGACAGCTCATTTCAGAAACAGCGAAGCGCTTCGTAGACAAGCGGGAAATATCTGAGCCGAAATTTGTGATGGCAACCAGCCGTATGCCGACGATGGATCTGCCTCATGGCTACTCACAGGAAGGCGGGTCTCGCCCGAGCAGCCGTGCGGGAGTACCACCTGTACCTACCACGGCACCTCCAGTTCCACCCATCAACCCTCGTCGCAAACGCGAGAGCCCACGCGATACGCCTGATGGTGCCGGCATGGGAGTGCCTCGCCCTCCATTTGCAAATCAAACAGAGAGCATGGCTGTATCAGATGCTGAAACGCAAAGTGCCTTCTCTGTTAGTGACGACGAAGAGCCCGAAAAATCCGACTACCGGCGACGGTTGCGCAAACCTCACATCGAGTCATATGGACGTGTTGGGCGAGCTCTTGCTAATATGGGGGAGAATGGTTCAACATTCTCTCTCAAACAAGTCGAGTCACAGCACAAATAGCCCCATTGGCATGTTCCAAGCCGATCTCATGTCTTGTTTGTCTTGTTTGGAAGCCGATTGGTGCAAGCATCTCCGTTACTGATTTGCACAAACCATTTATCTGTCATTTTCCAATCCTCGAAACCCGTTTTTTTCTTTCTTCAGGGGCTGTGTTACTTTCGGGTTATGAGGCAAGCAGCAATGGAGGCAGGAGTGGCCGCCGTGTTGATTTGAATGGGGCTTATGAAATCCAGATACCTCTGCATTTATATCAACTTCGTGTACAAACTTTGTTATATTTTTCTTTATTTTTTGTTTGGGTTCTTTGTTGAACATTTCGCATCATAGTGTCTTAAACTTCTTCCCCGTCTCCAGCGGCTTGCGCAGTACCTGGGGTTCTGCGCGTTGAGAACAAACAAGATGTAGGATTCCGTGTACGGCAGCAGCGGGTTAGTTACTTCTCGAAAGAGACTGGCTCGGGAAAAGTGGTTATGGACTTCATCGCGTTGACGAGGAGGGGAATGTATTAATCAGGTGGAATGGGGAACGGAGAATGAGCCATGGGTGTACGGATACGGCTGGATGCCGGCGGTAGGCGGGGAGGTGGTTCCCAGCACTGTGCTTTTGGGAGGTTCTTAGGTAATAGGAAATATACCAACTTCTGTTCAAGACCCAAGTTCGAGAGCAGCTGGGTGAGATTACCCGAAGGCTTCTGGGTGTGCAAAGAGGGGGACAAAGGACGCTTGGCGCCCAGAAGCCCTCGGGTATACTGGCTGCTTTTCGTCGTTCCAGACTGGAGGAGTTGAGCTGACCCGCGTGGAGATATCAAATCGGTAGCACTTGCACTAAGAGGGAGACACGGCCCGAATATCCCAAGTCTCCCGAAGTTTTCCCACAGACTTCGTTACTCCGGGATAAGTCTCGGACTTGACCAGACCGCGAACAAGCAATGGGTTAAACTTCGGAGAAACCTCATCTACAATGTTTGTACTATTCAAGGTAACCAACCCCTCACCTGCTCGCTCTTCTGCTTCTTTCTTCTCACCATCTGGACGTAAGCTAAGATATAAAAAAAGAAGAAATACCCCAAGATAACAAGCGTCGTCGACCACTTCCTCGCATCAACAACTCAGCTAATCCTCAACCGCAAACATCATGCCCTTCATTCGCCCTTTTGAGCCAAGAGATACTGAGGCTTGCATGCACATTGTAAGTGCCAACCTGAAGCACCTCACTTGACCATGCAACACTGCTCAGTTACTCATCCCTCCTTTCTACCACATCCCTCACAGCACAAGATCATGTACATCCACCAACCTACCTAAGAACAAATTACTAACTCCAAAACCACCCCAGTGCCACGCAACCCAGTCCCCAACCGTCGCCGCTGACCCTGTCACCGCCCGCATGTCCCCCTACATCTGGTGTGTCCAATTCACCCATCTCTCTCCACAGACCTGTTTCGTTCTGGTCGACGACACCGATACCAACACCAACACCGACTTCTCTTCCTCCTCCAAAGACGGAAAAGATGGGAAAGTAGTAGGCTACGTAATCGGCACCCCCGACGTCCACGCCTTCGCTGCTTGTTACCCCCGCTACATCAAGGAAGTGCTGCAATCCCCCCAAGGTCTCATCGACGTTCCCCCGCCCAAGCAACTGGACACACTCGAGAGCTGGTTCCTTCCATCTTCCGGTGGTAAAACGAAAGAAGCTGCTGCTGCTGCTCAAAGGTTGAATCCGGTGTGTCTAGCTCAACTTGCGTATAACCCGCAATGGCTGGTCTTGTCAGGGCCGGAGGGCGGACCCGCGGAAGCGAGGAAGAAGGAGATGGTGGAAACGTGGAGGGCCATGTTGCATATTGATTTGTTGGATGAGTGGCAGGGGAAGGGGTGGGGGAGGAAAATGATTGACCGGTTTGTTGAGGCTGTAAGGACGAGTGGAGCGGATTATGGAAGGGGAGTGAATTTGGGGGTGGCCGGGGAGAATAAGAAGGTGGTGAAGTTCTATGAAAAGGTAGGGTTCAGAGTTTTTGAGGGGGGAGAGGTGGAGGGAAATGTTTGGATGGTTAGAGACTTGTGTGGGAAAACCGGGGGTAAGGAGAGGGAGTAAGGACTGTGTGAGGGCATCACTGCGTCCCCATTAGGGTTTCAAAAGAAAGAAAAATGTTGGTGAGATCGCAGTGTTCGATATTTTTCGACTCTATCGGGCACTAACTACCAGGTACTTCTTATGATTCCCACACAATGCGAACCTGAGGGTATTACCTGCCTGTCGTGATTGTGTCTTCGTAGCAGTTGGTACCAGGAATGCGGGGAAATGCAGTGCAGGACAAGACGTTGAAGCGGGTGCATAAAGCGGTCGCTCCGTCTGCTCTTGTCCAGCTGCTCAAGCCTCCATTATCCTGACATTTGGTCGCTCTTTCTCTCCAGGAAGCCTGCCATTTTTTTTTTTTTTTTTTTTTTTTTTTTGGAAATTCGGAACCCAAACTTGATTCACCTCTTTCTATGATTGGATTTCTGGCCTCTCCATGCAAACAATTCTCTGGAGAGTTTCTTCCCATTACATCCGATGCCACCCATTGCTTATCCGGCCGTCACTGGCACCCGAAACCCCAAAAGACCTCGTTGATGTCGACGGCATGGTTGCAGTTGCCCCGACCGACAGTGGGCGATGTCCAGAATGGTGACCTGCTCTAGGAGGATGGCTGAACCCTGCTCCCTGAAATGGACTTCGACTTTCGTTGTCGTCTCTTCTTCCACTCATCAGCACCAACCCCGGTCGCGACAAGTCTCCTCTAGCCGCGCTGGCCATTAACATAGGCTGAGGAGATCCACGTGGAATGCTGGCCAAATATTCTGACAGATACCTGGCAACTTCCTCTGGTTTATCGAGTGGTGGTGGCGGCGGCGGCGCTCGTCTGCGTCTGTACCTCGGCGCCGGACATCCTGGCTTCCACACCGGTATTTTCTCAGCCTCATCATCACAAATATCCATCTCATCGCCCGCGTACCCAGCTGTTCCTGGTCTAAACACATCTAGCAACACCGCGGTGGGTGGTCCGGTTGGTGCCGGCGGTGGATGTCCCGGATGTACTACCCCCTTTCCTTTATCTCTCTGACTCCTCTCAGGTACCATGCTCAAACCTTGTCTCTGCACCATCCATGGGCCATTTCTCTCGACAACTCGCTGATCCGCCGTACCCAACCGTTGTCCATACCGATTCAGCACCACGCTATCCGCCCTCAACACTCCCACGTCTCTTCGGTTTCGAAACTGACAGCGCGGATTCGCACACCTTGTCAGGTGCATCGTGCAACGGGAATCAAACACATTGCTTATCCACTCACGGCAGGCGCATTCCCAATGGCATGGGTCGATATGGAAAGGATGAGCATGTAGGCCGGCAACGGTTCGAACAACGGTTGGTCCCTGCATATGGACTCCCCTACCCCCTCCGGGAGGGAGCAAGCTGTTGAATAATAAGAGACCGCCAAATCCAGGTCCGAGGGCACAGTTGGCGCATTGAATATGAGAGCAGGCAGGGTCGTGACAGCGATCAAACGTTTTGTTGTTCACCATGCCGATCTTGTCGAGGCCTCTGTATTCATCGCTCTGCAGGGAATGGATCGCTCTGGTTGCACATTGACAGCAGAACCATCTGTTTAGTTGGGTCAGAAGAGGGATGCGCAGGTGGAAAGGAAAGTCGCCCGGAGCGGAGGGTGGATAAAGAACTTCATCTCGGCGGAGCTCTTCGACGCGCGGCTCCGGAAGGCCCTCGACTGGAAAGGTGGTAAGAATGCGAGTCTCTTGCGCCGAAGAAGTGTTGTTGGTCAAATACTGGTGCTGTTGGGAGTAGTTCATTGCGTTTGCTTGTTTGTGTCCTCTGATTGCCTGGTGGCAGTGGTCTAGAGGTACACGCATTGATTGCATGGGTCTCGACTGGTACAAGACCAAGCTGGAGGTAACCGCGTCGAAACGCTTCTGTTTTTCGAAGAAGCCTTTCAGACGGATCGAGGAGCAGTCCAGTCCCACAATGTTGGTTACTTCGGTGATACTGATGCATTTATTGAGGGGTCATCATGGATAGATGGTGGCGACATGCGGTGGGAAGCGTGCTTACGGTATGTCCTGTCCCCCAGTAAAGAAATTTGATGACCATGTGCTGCTTACAGCGCCCCAATAGTACGCAAGATGAGAATGGATGTGATCACGCAAATATAACGGAAAGACGAGGATATAGGGATGCAATAAAGGCAACACTGCTATGCCTTATCACCTGGACACACCACTCCCCGTCTCCCACTTTCCATCGTCGGAGGTTGACCTGAACTCCATACGTACGTACCCGTTTCCAATCCTCGCCCTCTCCTAGCTCCATTAACAGGAGTATCCAAGTGCGGTCGGGATAAGTTCCCTACTACGGCCAACTGCATAAATCTTTTAATATCGGGTTCCGTCGTACATGGATAAGACCGGGTAACACATTGACCCCATGGCAAGCACGCGTTCATAAGAGCATCGGGAGCCTGCCGGCCGGGAAACGTGAGACCTACATAGTCCCTTGGGACTCAGAACTTGCAAGGTGAATGCTTGGTTGATCATTATTTAACTACAGCCCAGGCATGCTTCTGCGGCTCCAAGGCGGCCATCAAAAGGGTGAAGTCTAACAAAACGGTGTAACAGGACGGCCGCGTTTCAAGCATAGTGTACATCAAACTAGCGTTGCTACTCTATCGAAGACAAACGCCACATGCGCATCGATACGACATGTCATATGGCGGAGCAATAGCACGGATACAGACGAACAATGATGGGAAAGTTTTTCGGAATGGAGGGGGCCAAGCTTTGGGCTAGTTCCCTTCGAGGTCATGGGACAACATTGCCGACAAACGCCTGATATTGCATAGGGAAATCACATCACGAGGAAACATGGAGAAACACGTTGACAAATCAGAAGTCTGTTGTTTTATTTTTTCCTAATGTGGTGATGATGAAAAACTAACAACCAGATTAAAATCTCACATTTATCCACGGTTTGGTAAGTCGAGAACACAGCTGTACAGTGGTTCTTCTACCAGAACATGAAATGAGAAACATAGAACAAAGCAAGAAAATATGGCTACTTGCCACCTAACGCTCTCCGCTAAAAGCCCTTCTTGATCAGGTATTCGAAAACATCCCCTACAAAAGCACTGGTCGTAGCCGCCGCCCGGGAGCCTTTAACCAAGTCGGTAGCAGTTTCACAGGCATCAGTCACTCGCCTCTTGAGAGTCGTGATCGCCATCGAAGCCGGAGCCTTTGGTTCAGGAATATGGAGATCCTTGAACGAAACAAGACTCTCACTCCTCTTCAGTGTGCACTCTTCCTCGTCATGGGTCTCAGTCTTCCGTGCGGGTGGCAAGTACCCTTCTTCAAGGCTGGCGATGATGTCCGTCTCGCTTTCATTGTTGGCGCAGGCACCGAATCCTTGATCACTCGCTTTGTTACCGAAAATTTCCATGTCAAACAACGGACGGAGTGAACGACGTACCTGTTCTTCGGCGGGAGTCATTGGCTCGGGCGAGGCACAGAACTCTCCACGGTGGCGCTGGTGGTCAGGTGGAAGGATGGTGGTAGTAGTACCAGTGGGAGAGTAGGAGGGGGAGGAGGAGGAGGGGGGGAACCACGAACCTTGTTCATACTGGGTTTCAGGCTCCAGCATAGGCGCATATTGTGCATGCTGCACTCGCTCGAGGAGAAGGGGGTCGGGACGATGATGCTTGTTTTTATGCATGCGTGTCCTCTTCGTCGTCGAAGTCGATGATGATGAGGGGGATCCCATGGATGACATGGAGGCCCAGGGCGAGGTGAGCTGCTCGTGGGGGAGAAGAGGGATGCCGATGGTCTCGTTGCTGTCGTAGCTTGAAGAGCTGGGTCTGTCAGATTGTTTCATGTCGGGGAAGGAGAACGATCCTGAAGACTTGGAGTCGCTTGAGTTATCAGAGTCAAGAGGCAAGTGGCGGGCTGGGCGTAGGGGCGTAGGGTGCGGCGATGAAGGGGGTTGAAGGCGCTCGTGGGGGAGGAGAGGCACTTCGAGGGGTGAGTCCATGCTGGACTTGCTCGATGAGGAGGAGTTGGTTGATTGCATGATGTTTGTCGTTGTGAGTCGTTGTCTTGAGTGTTCTTGACGCTTTTGTTGTCGAGAAAAGAAATGAATTCGCTTCGGAGGGAGCGGCATTGTCTAGAGGTATTTATAGTCGAGTGATTGCATCTTGAACGTCGTTGTTGAATTCATTATACGGCAGTCGTTCTCCTCTCAGTTGGGTATCATCTATCTTGTTCATCCACACATTAATCTTGTTATATGAACGATTGTCGGATCGTGCTTCCGAACAACAAAGAACAACGCGAAACAGCACTCGTGTCCGGCTTCTCAAGGTGCCTTTGTTTCGGAGCGGGAGGGCTGCATCCCCGGGACCAGTAGAACAAGGGCGTTGTTTCCGGGTTTCAAGTGAACACAGTTGAGTTATTCTAGAAGACGGGCATTGTTCTGGAAGACGATGTTCGATTCCCCTCGTTGTATTGTAGCCGGGATGTTTGGCCTGTCTTAGCTTGGAAATGAAGGACCTGGCCGGCGCGATTACCAGGTGAAACATTGTTGCTGAAGACAAGTGATGTTCATCTTCACGCCGCTCATCTTCCGAACAGCATTCACGGCTCAGTCATCTTTCCAGATGGCTAGAATACATAGCTCCTCAATAGGTTTAATTATACTCCCGTGTATATAGAATAATTCCATTGTTCACGGTGACCACCTAGTCTTGACTTGTCGAAGCCCCATGCTGACCACAAGTGTCGAAAGGACTCGAGGGGCATCAATATAGTGCCAAAAACACAGCAAAGTTACCGCCAAGTTCAAAGAGCTGTTCACGGCTAAGTCAGGTGTTCTAGCTGACTTATTTATTCAAGCCCAGCTAAGTGGACTTGACCGAAAGTGAAGAAGATGAAGAAGAATCCAACACAGTTAGGTATTTCTACCTATAAGGAAAAGGTGCGTGGCAAAATGATATCCATGGGCCGAAGATTTATGAAGGCTCGCTCGAGAGAAAGGGTGTTGAGAGGAAGGAGTTTAAAGAGAACGGCATCATGTAACGTCACATTAGAAATAGGAATGCCTTAGAAATAGGAGTACATCACAGCATTGCATCTCAGGCTCAATCATCAATGAGTAATCAATCTATTTGCCCTTTATGATCTATGCTGTAAGTCTTTAGCTTTGGTCAGTAAGAAAATCTACCACTTACTCACAAGCATCTGCTTCTCCACACGCCTCTACGCACTGTATTACCATATCATCCCTAAATTCACCTCACGCTTACTCTCCCCCAGCACTCTTAACTCTCTTCCTCGGCACCGAACAAGGCGAAAGAGCCTTGTCCTCATCATTCATTCTCCCCCTCTTCCGCGTCGAGGGCTTGAACCAGAAATCATCTGTCCCGTCCCAGTTTTCTTTCTTCTCCCAAAAGTGGGGGTCAAACTCGTAATTGCGCTTACCATCGGTAGGGTGGATTCCCTTTTGTGAGCCGTACCGAGAATTGCGGTAGGCAGTCATACGCCTAAGGAAGAAGAGGTCATTTTGAGGGGGGAGGTTGTTAGTACGTACCTCGGGAGTGGTAGATGTTGATGGGGGATGTACAATCTTGACTGATAGCCTTCTTGTGTGGGAAGGCGCTGGAGGGCGATTAACGGGTTTGTGGTAAGGGAAATGGGGGTTTTGAGATTGGACAAGGGTTACTTGGGGATCAAGCACTGATGCATTGTTCATGTTAGTAACCGTAGGCGATACTTGTCCCGGCATAACCGCCAGCATCTCCGGGTGTTCGAGGTAATAGCGGAAATCGTCCTGTCGGCGTTGTGCCATTTGCTGTCCATACGACTTTGGTGGTGGTGAAGGATGTGAATACTCGGCTGATAGGGGGAACAAGTTAGCAGACGGGATGGGAATGGGAATCGAGGGGGTCTTGAAGCCCAAGCCTTGCTGGCTGAAGACTTGGCGGGCGAACTCCGTCATCTGCGACAAGTCGTTTTCTAATGTTAGCTGCTCTATTTGAGCTTCGATCAGCTGTTTTTGTAACTCATCTATCTTGAAGTCGCTAACCTCAAGTAAGTCAAAGTCAAGAAGAGCGCCGGCAGCCTCCCAGAAGTTCCACTCCTTGTATAGGACTCGTAGTTTCTCTTGCTGTACCTTCAGCTGCTTCTCCAAGTTGCAAACGATATCCTTCACAGCCCCATGCAGGATGGCAGGAGGGTCAGGATGCATTTCAGACATGGTGAGTGATTTTCGACGAAGTTGGTAGTACTGTTTCAGGCCGTCGCTTGTCGCACTCGAGTGAAGTAACGAAAAGTGGTGGAAAGTGGTAGGTATTTACTCGCAGCTTGCAAGCACTTGTCTCCAAGTCGTTGAATTGTTGATGGCCCAGCAAAGTCTGTTCGTGGTGTCATGGCGATGGCTGTCTTATAATCCTCATCGGATTGAAATGAATAGACAAGCACATTCTCCTTCGGCGGGAGCGTGGACAGCCTAACAAGGCCATTATGAACAATGGACAATGGACAAAGGTCTCGGCCTGTTCTTTGACCGGACGGGAGCGGATCGTCTTCCGGTGGCTTCAGACATGGTTCGACGAGCTTGATCAAAGTAGCATACGGCCACACGGTGAGACGAATGAAGAGACAAAGGAGTGACAGTATTGAACAGACTGAGAGAACCGAAGGTTAAAGTTGAGTGTGCCGTGAACAGAATTGAAATGCAAGAAGGAAGGCTAAAGGACCGCACAGGTGGAAGCGTCCTGGAGCTGATAACGAATGGCATGCAACCGCCAACAGATGGCAGACTTGGCAAACGATGAGATACCCAAACTTGTCACATGCCTCACGGTGATTGGATGAACCGGGTAAGCGAGCCGGAAGAACTTCCGGTCTCCGATTGGTTGCTTAGGCAAAAGGGACGGCAGGCACAGCAGGCTCGGACTCTGCAGGGGCAGTCACGACACACTGACAGTCTGTGAACATTGACTGGAGAGAAGCATTTCTTCATGAAAACGCGTGTGCGCTTGCCGAACCTCCTGGACAACGACTTTGAGGATCTGTCGTGATTGAAACAGCAGATCAGCTTTGGGCAGCTGTTAGACACCGACAACTCACAGGCTCGAGGTGCAGAGCAGGGCGGGCACTTGCCCCGTCGTGCCACTTGAGCTCGTGACGTTGAATCCATTCCATCCTCTTTTCAGCCCGCCTGGACCTGGACTCCTCGGGCACTCAACTCCTTGACTCCCGTCTTGGAGCCGCGGGGCTTCCCCTCAGACTGGCTGTGCAACCTCGAGAGACAACAACCACACTAGGTACCCCCCAACCTGCTGAAGTGCGACATTCGGCACAATCCGACATGTGAAAGTCATCACCATCAAGGTACACCAAGTCACACCATGACAAACTTCCATGCCAGTTTCCGTGATGGATACGGGAATGCCAGCAGGGTCGCTTCACGTGAAAAGGTTGCTTCGCGACGTCGCTCGGGTCGGCATTTGAGATGTGCAGCGTCCCTCATAGAAATGCCATTATTGCTCCCAGATAATGACAGGGCATCCATCTCTCTCGATTTGCATCTGACAGCGATTCCCGGCGACGACCGTGGTAGCGCTGAAACCTCCGGACCCTGTTTGCGTTCCCAATGATGGCATCACCAGCCCGTCCACCCCGTCCTGACGCTTCATCCTTCAACCTCTTTTTCTGTTTGAGATAAACAAGACGGACTCACGGGCCGCCCCTGCTACACACCACAGTGGTCACTGCATATTGTCTAAAACAATGCAGGTGCAATCACTGGCACCCACGAAAATTCAAATGAACAAAAGCCAGCGACATCGGATGGCGCAATATCACAGACATTTCCCATGCGTCTTGGCTGCAACCTAACCCGCCTTGGTTTGTGATGCTGAGAAGTTTTCCGAGTCAATATTTCCATTTTAGAAGAGCAGACAGCCCACCATCCACCCGCCCTCACGAGTTCACTCGAGTTCACCGCTAACGGCGCCCTTCCCATTGCACCATTGCTCACATTGCTGGACAACGTGATAAACGGCGAGCTCGTGGCAATTCCCCACACTCTCAGTCTTTTCCTTTTCCATTAACCGCTCCCTAACGTTGATGTCAAAGATTTTCCATTTCCCCAGCCTCTTTTCTCTGCATAATCGAAACAGCTATCTTTATTTTATTGGCGACGTGCAGCAGAGTTGGATAATTTCAACCCCACGGTCTGACTCACAAACATCCCCGAAAATTTTTGCGATCTTTTTTTTTTCCCCCGCGAGGTCAGCGCCCTTGCAGTTTTTTTGCAGTTCTCTTGCAGCATCGAGGGGTACTGCAGCAGTTCGATCGAGTGAGCAGATAGCTCTACGGACGAGTGGACAAATCACAGCGGCCATTGGACCTCCGGCTCCGTTCACGAGCTCCACCGGCCGCCCCGCTCTCCGCTCCCGGCACTCAACGTGCATTGCAACGGGCATTGCAACTCACTTTCAAGACCTAAGAAAAGGCCCTGGCCGACCGACCGACCCGGGCTTGTCCGACTCCCTGTCGAGACAACGCTCAAGGCCCTGTCTCTCTGCGGCCTGACCGCCTCTTGGGATCCAATCCCATCGTCGACTGTTGCTCAACAGATGCACCCGCGATACCCAAATCGTCCAAGCTGCGATTCGCGCCTCGGTCACCGGATGGAACTGGTGGAATTCGCCCACAACGTCACCATCACTGACTGTGGACTGACTGACTGACGTTCCCGATCAGCAGAACGTCGACGAACGGATAAGCAAAGTGGACATTAACCGATACACAATCACCAACAGCTCCCGACCCCTCGTAGGTAGAGGTAATCTCATCTCTAACCGCTAGGATAGATAGAACCGCTAGAACCGCCAGCCGTTACGTCGACGGAGCCTTCCTTTTTGCCTTTTTGGAGCCCGGAGGACCATCCGCTTGGACGGGCCGAACCTCGATCAGTGCTCCCCCAGCTTTACAAGTGAAAAATTTCCAGCCGCCTTCTCGAATTAATTTCTTTTCGTCTTGGCTACTTCAAACTGGGGGTCCCCAAGAGAGGTTGCTTTTCTGCTGCAGTCCAGGGTCGGCTGCATCCCGCTAACGCGCTTCCCCGGCAGACCTTCCTGTTCACACGCTGCCCCTTTCTGCCAATGGGACTTTTGGCCTTGTTGTCACAAGTGGCTCCCTCTCCAATTCAGCAAGCTCATTCGCCCATCCCCAGGCTTCCCTGCTGCGAACGCTTCCAGGGTTTTGCTGGTGATTTCGGTCATCCTGCCCCAAATATACGCCGGCGTCTTGTCTTCCTGGATCCAAGACAAGGCCCAGACCAACACGCGATCGCTGACCGCAACTTTTGGGCTCACAAGTGCTACAAGTGCCCTTTCCCAAGTCCGACAAATATACCTCTAGGAATCCCTGCCAACGATCGAAGCTTTAAGAAAAAGGGCCCATCCACCCCCGTCCGGCTCCAGCACCGTTGTTTATTTATCGTGGGTGGCCTCCGGACCTCTTCGAGGGTTCCCAGCCTGCTTTATGCTCCAACAGAGGTCACACATTAGCATCTATACACACCATGGCTACTCAGCTGTCCTGTGACCGCCCGCACTCCCGTGTGAGCATGGTATCCAACCAGACATATCATAGCTTCAACGACATCGAATCTCATGAACCCGAAGTCACCTCGCAACAAACCACCATCGTCTGCCATGCTCCTCTCTCAAAAACTCTTAGTGAGGACCGTCCTCCACCGCCCATCCAGGAAATGCGTCGCCAAGATTCCGGCTACGCATCTATTCAACGCAAAGAATCTCGCTCGTCGTGCCACCTATCATCTACCCTCTCGGCGCCTTCCACTTCAGCCAAGCGGCGCTCAAGACCAGCCGTCCAACGATCCTCAACCGACACAACCCCCGGCACTCGCTCGAGCAGGAAAGCTGGCAAGACCGTCTCACATCGTCGGTCTTACCAGTGTCGTCCAACCCAGTCTCAGCAGCCAGTGACGTATTTTGAGTTCCCTGTCTTCACCACCTCGAACCCCGAATATGCCATCGACGAGGCCGAGGTGAATGAGGACGAGTCCGCGCAGACACATGTTCATCCCCTACCACCGCAGACAACACACTATTGGACCAGCGACTCTACCAGGAGGATGGAATATGCGGCTATCGATGCTGCCAGCCGGGGCGTGCGCGGATGGTTCATGCGTCACATTGTGCCAGAATGCGTAGTGCCTCCCAGCAAGAGGCATGTTGGATTTGAGGACGACCGAGGGAGCGTGGTGCGGTACCGTCTGGACCTTGAGGAGGACGACGCAGAGAAGACTGATGATCGTAGTGATCGGAGGCGCAAGAGTTGGTGGCTCAGCATATTCAGGCGATGAACATTTCTACCTGTGCCTCAACAACTTCGCCTTCCTACCGTCGAGATATCGACATGGAGCACACACATACACGAAAGAAGTGGCGCATTTGCATTTATCGGTCAAAGCGGGCGTTATCAGCAGCACTTTTCAGCATCGATTCGGCGACTATCATCCACCAACAGGCGTATTATACCCTTAATTTGGCTTCATGTAACTTTCAAGCATTTTTATCGACATGCTGGCCGACGTCGATAGTTCGGATCGACCCCCTCAACCTTGGTTTTTTTTTTTTTTTTTTTTGGGCATCACATCATGGAGAATTTGTACTTTTTTTTGGCGGCATTTTATGCGGAGTTTACAATTGTTTACGGATTATTATTGGAGGAAATAGCATAGGGATGATCATAACGATAATTTGCTTACCGGAGTATATTGGGCTGGATTTGCAAAGGAAAACCACGTCAATCCTACCTCTACTGAGAGAAGCATCAGGGAAAGAGGACACACTGGAGAGTGGGGTTGAAGGACAAGCCTAGTTGGAAACAACAGCCAAGACCTAGCCTTCAACGACGGGAACTTAGCGACGAATGTTTTGTTATTGTCTTAATGATCTAATCACTGAATGAAATTGGAAGGGATTCGCTTATTTGCAAACACTTTATCTGCAGGATTGATACTAGCCTTCTATATCTTCTAGTGAACACTGACATTCATTTTTTCTTCCATCAGGGCACCATTGAAACTCTATACCTTTGTTACACGTTTACATGCTGGCTGATCTTCCAACGCCTCACAGAATGATGTATACAGCTGTTGCATACCTCGCGCGGTGAGCTCCGAAGGACAGCATTGTCACACCTCACTGATATTCTCCCGATTCATTGCACCGACCTGTCATCCTCCTGATCGTTGTCACCTAGAAAGCTAGGTCCACGCTACGTGTAGCCGCGTAGCTGGCCTCAGACACTGGCAGCTTCGTGTCACCCTTCCATCACACGATTCACCAAGGTAATAATACACAAACAGAAGAGAACAAGGGTTATTCGACAAAACAATCGGTCACTCCGCTCTCCTCAACTTCACGTTCAACCGTACAAACCGGCAAAACCAGGCACAGACCGGTAAACCGGCAACGCGGCACAACTCAATGGCACATTAGCACGTGGCAGGCACGTTTTTTTTCCTTTTTTCCCATTGTGTCGTTTCATTGTTTTGATTGAACCGGTTGGACCGAACGACGACAACGGTTTGGACCCCTGTACCTTACCTCGTTTACCCTGATTGTTTAGTGTAATCCTGTTAGTGCACAATGTACAGGGGTATCTTCCAAGGCACAAAGAGAGGGGGGGGGGGGGCTGATCTACCGCTTACGCTCCCTGTACATCAATCTCCTTCAGCTCTGTTAGCTCGATACTTACTCACAGAGGTTCTCAACTATGGAAGCTCTGGGTGGTTCTGGCGATTTTGCATAGGCCGGAATAAAGGAAATTTGTGTGCAGGTGTTCAGATCCTTTCTGTTAACTCGTTGTTAACAAAGTTAGGTACATTGAGCCAATTATAGCGTGTAAATGGACGTGGCATGCCTTGCAAATCCCCTGTCATTCCCTTGTAAGAAAACGGAGAGACGCGTCCCGCACTAACAGTATTTTAAGCATCGATGTACATGTATGTACGTACCTACAATACTGTGTGCCCCTGTGTCCGTCCGACGACGATGATGACGAACAACGACGATCATCACCATCTCATGGAAGGTTGGGAAAAAGAAGAAAAAAAAGGAGAAAACGGGGTTCTCTCTCGGTTCTCGAATGCCGTTGATCTACGGAATCTTGTTTCTCATCCATCGTTCCATTTTGAGATACTTTTGTGGGTTCTTGCTCTTTTGTTGGGGATGTGCCGGCACGTACATACCTACACGTGTACATACCTAGTGTACGTCAACGAAATAGTCTAAATGATGGGGGGACATTCAGGGGGGGTTCAGGGGTACCATAACCGGCACCAGCCACCGCCCACCAGGCAGGCAGGTAGACACTGGGCAATTAGAAAGTCAGTCAGGGGCTTACAGGTTTAACAGTTCAAGATTTGCGATCAGGGCTATAACAGAGGAAATCATTGTCAAAAAGAGGTCGCCAGCCAGGCAGAAGCTGGGTTGGTCAGTGTCATGAAGTGTGCTTGATAGGTAGAGAGAGGTAGGGGCTTAAACGACACTCCCTTTTCACGAGACTAAGAAAAGAGGGGATGGTCTTGAGAGATGTTGAGGCTGTTGGAGGGCGTGCTAAGTTAAGTATTCCCTTTCTGTGAGTCTTTGTTTTGTATGCTGGCGTGATAGTTTGTATCCACGCAGCTACTTCCTTAGATTCTCCGTATCGGGCTCCAAACCACCAGCTTTCTCTCTCTCACCATATACTATTGGACTCTCCTCTTCCTCGCAGCTATAGGTCCTTTTTTTCCCTTTGTCATGGTCTTGAATATACTCCTTCCTATTCTTTTTTTCTCTCCCTCGCAGCTCACATCAACCCTCACGTATTACCCATTTCCCTCTAGAACGTCCCAGGACGTAGAACAGCCATTAACTGCTTCCCCTCGTTTTCCATTCCACTTGTCCCTACAGCAATGCAATCCCTCGTTACTCCCTGATCAAGCCTTTCCTACAATCTCCATTCCTCTTCTATCCATCCTTTGTCCCCCCCCCCCCCTTCTTCCCTCAGCTACTTCTTCCCACTACTTCCAGTGCTGCTTCCACTAGCGCTGAAGCTCGAAGTCGACCCCAAACCAGACGAGCTTGACCCGGAGGAACTGCTTGGCGTTGGGACGCTGATGGTGATTGTGGGGAGGAAAACGGGGATTATGGGGGTGTTTCTTCGGGGCTGCGACATCGTACTGTCGCCTGGGATGATGATGTCGGGGCGTCTCAGCTGTCTCTAGTGTCGTACGGTTGGAGGTGAGTCGCTACTGGCGGGAAGCTGGTCTGGGAGTCCTCCCGAAGGGTGACCCGAAATCTCGACGGGCGGATGCTTGTTGAATTTCCTACGGTATTCTCTTGTTGCTTCAGAGATTAGTGGGTGGGTGTCTGCAATTGAGATCACGATGGTGCTTCGTTAGGTACTGAAAGATTGAGGGCGTCGATGCAAAGTCACGGTGGTTCTTGCCTAGATAGATATTTGTCCCTCCAATCTTTTAAATTTTTTATTTTTGCATGGCTCATGTTTGGAGATGAGGGCAGGAGCGATACGTGATCGTGAGCCACGACGCGATGGCTGCGTTTGCTCCAAATGTGGCGTTCTCCGTTCGTTCGTTCGTTCGTTTGAGAAAGTTTTGGATGCGGTCACGAGAATTTGTACCAGTAATCAAGACTGCGTGATCTCAACCTCATACCAGTAGCACATTGGTAACCTTAATCAAGTAGGTAGCCGTCATTTTCTACTTGTTTGTGAATTTTCAGTCCGTCGTTTAACATCAACACCAACATCATCGCCGTTCGGGGCGCCTAATCCGTCGGTCATTGATATACCAAGAGTGCGACGTTCTCGGATCGCAAGAAACAAACGCGTTCATTATGAATTACAGGCTGCAGAATGGGACGGCTGGTATAGGTTGCAAAGACCGACGCGATGCTGCTAACCGCTGCTATGCTTTTCGCGAGACTGGTCACTGGCCAGTTTCCATCGCAGCTCCTATCGCACCGAAGAATGGATGCTTGAAGATATTGATGAGCCATAGATACGGGAGTCATGCCCGGGCTGCATTTCATAGCTTTCAGGACAGACGGATTGAACTTGACCAGCGATCGTTGTCGAAGCATACGGACATATTTCTTTCGTTTGCTGCAGGGTCCAAATCCTTGTCCGGTGAGGACGACTGCACTGCGAACGTGATGGCCGAAGGAAGTGACGTTGCGATAGGCTTGGGAGAAAGAAGGGACCAGGGGACGAGCAAGGATGGTCGTTGTCCACGATGCATCCACACTTCGACGACGAACCAGGGTAGTCATGACATAAAATTATACGCTAAGCGATGCCAAGATCTCATGATAGCTTCATTATCGTTAACGTTTCTTCATCTCATGATGCATGCAAAAGAAAGCATGGCGGCTGTTTGCTTCGCCCCAGAACCAAAAAGTGCAAAAAAGTTGCAAAAAATTAAGTGCCAAGAGCAGGGATCGAACGGCTGACGTACGCGAGATGGAAGGGAGTAGAAGAGCCCTATTTTGCATAGCCGGAAGACGCCATCTCAAGAAGTACTTCCCTGGAGTTCCCCCCGCCGTCAGGGGACCTTAGGCTACGTTTGTAGCGGTCGTGGGCGGTCGTAGGCGGTTGCGAGGGAGTCATCGGCGTCCCCTCGGGGGCGGGGGCTCCAAAGCATGTGGTGCACAACCCTCTGTACACAAGTGCAATGAGAGCTCAGCACACCACACCGCTCGACCACGCTGCCACTTGTCTGTGTTGAATATCTGTTGACTTGGGGTCACTTATTAACCCCCATTCGAGGTCATTCTGGGTTCACCTCGTGCACACCACAGCCACACAGCCACGCGGCATGTGCCCTTCATGTCTGCAAGCCTTGAACTGCCGCGCCACGATGCTGGAAACAGAAAGTTTGTTCTCCGTCGACCTGTTGGCAGTCTTATTTCCACTGATGGCGACAGCAATACCCAACAACGCATCGCAAGTTGGAAGAAATGAAGAGTGCAAAAAGACCAGCAGTTAGGAGTCATCGCGACAAGTGCAGCAAACGGTCGAGCCTTGAAGACGAGGGCAAGTGCAGACTTGACAAACTTCCCTTCCAAACGATTGATCCGACGTAGTGACTAAGTCAAGTGGCATCATTCAGTTGTAATGCTGATTTGCAGATTGTGGCCCGGGGCAAAACTCAACACAAGGTACTTGGAAGTTGCGACTCGGATACAGTATCAGTCGTTTACGCCTGATGGCTTCCACTTCGTGCTTTGACGTGTCTCCTTCCATCTCAATGATGAGCAAGAGTGAGCAGAAGCAGGAACGAGAACGGCAAGTGCCTTCCTTCTTGGCCTATCACGTTGCTATCCGTATCTTGCCGACGGATTCTTCACGGACAGCTTCGTCAGTCATGGAGTTGAGGCACCCCTCGCCCTTAGAGCACAAGCACTGCACTTGCCTCCTGGAGATTGAAGAGGAATCCATGGTTTCTTTGGATCCCGCGCATTTGGTAATTCCGATCGTGGAACCGTCTGGTGTTTTTGTCGGATTGGAAATTGAAGGCTTTCCCCTCAATGGAAGTATCCTTCATGTCAATAACTACCGGTATCCCACAAATTCATCATCTACCAGCCATAGAAGTTATGATCAAGATCCATAATCTTGGTGTTGTATACTCCTCTCCATTTCCCTTCACCCGAGAAAATCTCAGTCCTCAGTGTCCGCTGAGTGTTGACCTTCCTCGTCGTCGTCAACTCCTTCCCACGAGTGGCCCGGTGGGTGTCCTCCATCCCTGCATGAACAAGGGTTTCCCTTCCTATAAGTGGAGTAGCAACAGAAGAGGGTCTCTCTTCTTCTTGCTAACCATCTTTGCGTGATACGCCCAGCAAACATGATGTTGTGCAGTTATTGGTTAGGAAGGATACTAAGTTTGACCCACCTCGTTGGTGCGAGATGGAAGGAAGATCGGAAACTGGCCTCTGCCAGGCCCGGAGAATACATTTTCTCGCTTTGGACTCCAGGTTTCTTTACCTCTCCCTTTTGCCAGACTGTTTTGGCTCTTCAGTCGGCTTGCCGGCTTACTGGCCAGCATCAAGGAAATGCTTTGTGCTGCTCTCAGGCTTGAACAGCTCAGCGAATCTGGCCACCCAATATGCGCCGTTGAACACTCGCTAACATTCCTGGTGGGACTATAATTTTCTCGATTTAGAACAAAAATGGAAGACCTCAGGAAGCCGGTATCCAAATTGAGGTCTTGCCAAGATGCCCAACGGCCCAAAGGAAGAGGGCAAGTACAACGTTGAAGGGACTTGGAGAGCCTCCCGGTTTCGTTGGCCAATCATCAGCCTGACTCCCACTCAAATGATCGTCATTACCATTGCACCAATACAAGATCAGCACAGAAACGCAAGATCCGTCACATCACGCCGTTCAAGTTGATGGCGATACAATTTGAAAACTGTGCGTACAAGCTTTTCACTCTTTCGATACCCCAGCAAGGACCAGCGAGGGCCGGCGAATTGTCGGTATCCGAAGCATCGAAGGAAAGGCAGATTGACTGCCGATTTTCCGGTACCGCATTCCCATTATTCACAAAACTCCGTGGTGACGAGAAATGTTAGTCACTCATTGCTGTCAGTCAGCCAAGACCGAGAATGGACAAAGTACTCAAAGCAAAAAGCGAAGTGATTCACTGGCTAGTAGCAGCCTCAACTCCTCGCTTTGAAGACATGCAGTAGGGAGAGAAAACAAAGCTAGAACATGATTATGTTTTGAAAGAAAGAAAGCTATGAACAGGAAAAGAAGAAGATCATGCCCAAATCATCCCACCAGGTGCAGTCTGTTTGTCAATCACAACCCAGCTCACTCCTCCAAACCATCTTTTATTCGATTTTTGTTGTTCATTCACTCAAGGATGAGTGAAGAACGGAGAGATCGCGAAACCATCAGGCCCCACAAAGGACGGTAAATGTTTCTTTTTGTTTGCTTGCCAAAAGAAAAAGAAACAAAGCTCAGAAACCGCTTAGAAGCCAATGAGGCCGAGGAGACCGCCAGCAAGGCCACCGAGGACGGCGTGGAGGAGACCACCGACGAGGACGAGCACACCGCCGACAACCTTGTCGAGACTCCTGAGCAGACCAGAGAGAGCAAGGAGGAGAGGTGTGAGGAGGGGGATGAGGCAGCCTGTTTGATAATATGTTAGCTTCAGGTCTTTGCCCTGAGGGTGAGGGCGAACATGAAGCAGGAAGAACAACATACCGAGACCGAGCTTGACAATGAGGAACTTGACGGTATAGGTGATCTCAAGGATGAGAACCTGGATCTTGACCTTCAAGCAGTCATCGTCACAGAAGCCGGCACCGCCGCGAGCAGCGAGCTCAGTCCAGAACTCGCGCTTGGAGAGAGTGGTGGTGGCTTGCGTGAGGGCATTGGTGACGGCCTCGAAGTCGGGCTTGAGCTTGTCGGCGGCATCTTGTTGCTGAGCGAGGGTGGGGTTTTCAGGGTACTGAGCGGCAGTCGCGTCTGTTTTCGAAGTGGTCAGTAGGTATCCTACTAAAGTAGAGTCAAGTCGGAGATAAGTAGAGGAGAATACATACTCATGTTCGCGGTGTGCTGGCGAACGAGAGTGGTCAACTGATCGATCTGAGCAGCCTGGCTCTCGAGTTGGTTCCCCGCAGCGATGGGAGTTGCAAGAGCCGAGGCGGCGAGAGCGAAGAAAGAGAAAAAGATTCCGGCCTTCATTTTGATGATTGGTGATTGAAGATCTTGAAAGAATGTTTGAAAGGAAGCTTTGTTCGTAGACGAGAGGCTGAGAGGGTTGTGAAGAGCTGAGAATGTCTGGAACTCTGAGGCTGCTGATGCTGATGATGATGAGAAGAATGAGACTGAACTTGAGGAGAGGGAAGGCCAGTATTTATGTCTTTCGATTGAGGTCAAGATGGTGTTGATTTTCGGTATTCAATTGTCGGTGACATCGTCTTTCCTCCGGTTAGCACCTCTTCCGCCTTCCCGTCGTCCCCGTTGTCCAATCGTTGAGTGTATTCCCAAGTGCCGATGGTTGATGAAGTTTCTTTTTCTTGTTTGGCCCCTGACAATAGAGGTAGGTGAAGCTTGCATGATCCACCAAGTCCAACCACCAAAGGAACATCATCAACTTGTGGACTATGTTGAAATGGTGGTTACCACTTCAAAATACTCCTTCGCCAAAATACCTAACCGAATGCATGATGACTATACGTGGCATGCCTCTTCTGTGGATACATGCAGCTATTCCTACCTACCTAGGTGTGATTTCCTAACATGGTTCTGGCAGCTGAAATGAAATGAACAGGGGAAGGCTGTACGAATTGAGAACAAAGACCAGATGGAGTCAGGGTCCTCGGCTTCATAGTGAACGGCTTGTAGACGGTTCTTCTTGCAGTTAACTCTCTGTCGATCAAAAGCCCTTGCCGCGTCCAAGACCAGCATTAGTCGCACAAACTAACGCAGAAAAAGCGAAATAACTACCCGGATCTACCCCATCCCGTGAGAAATGGTTCCTCTACAGTCGATACGCCTATGTAACGAGCGTGGATGAAGGTGCTTCTAGAGGTAAGTTTTGAGTTACAGAGAATCTTCAAAGGAGTCCGACATCTTCACAATGGAATGTATGTCATGACGTATCTACATCTAGTGAGCCTCATCTCTTGCTGGTCAGGCGTAACACGAGGGCGTACAGGACCACTCTGAAAGATAATACAACCAGTTCTGTCAGTAAGCATGTCAATTGGGTACTTGGGCTGGACTTATTCATGATGGACCCCTTTTTGGGCCTCTGGATCCTACCTTACTGTGCAAGGTCAACTGGTGGCAAACAGGAGCCAGACGCATGGTTTAGGCTAGGCGATATCCTATTGGCCAGCCAATATTTGCGGCGTATAGGACAATGACTTCACACTGCGAGATCTTGACAATAATACGGAGAAGCGGATCAAATAAGGTATCTTATTGTTCTGCAAGCTGAAAAAGCCCAAACCACTGAGCCTTGTCTTGATGCCACCCAATGATGTCAGACATCATGACCATCATGAATGTTCGGGTAGCCGCGGAACGAACTCTTTAATGAGAAGTCCTCACTCATCATGTATAGGGGTGGAAATGGGCCAGACTCGAGTACTGGACTTACATGACAAGTTCTGAAGGAAATTTTTGCAAACTTGTGCGTTCGTGCAGTACTAGGCCCGGCAAGGCTGATAGCCTGGCGAAACTGGTAATCCGCTTGAAGATCCTACAAGGATTAACGAGAGTTGTCTCACCGTAACTGATCATCATTGCTCTCCTCGTTATAGACCGCCCTGTGGAGAGATCCTGGAAGAACACGAACCCTTCGGTCGCAGGCCGTTTGCTCAATGTCTCAGTGCGGGAATCACGACATTTGAAACATGGAGTTCGATCAACAGGGCGAAAGCTACATACAGTGTTTACCCAATACATGGACATATAATCGTCGAGTTACATACTGTATGGAATCACTCCCTATTCATCTTCCTCATATGAGCTCTACGGAACGGCCTATGGACGGATAGACGGATGTAATCACCTTCCCCATTGAGAAAATAAAAAAAATAAAAATAAAAAGAAGAAGAAGAAGAAGAAAAGCGAGGTGTAGCTGAGCCGCTGCAATTTTCCAGCTGCAACTCTGAGCGCCCCGCGCTTTGCGAAAAGATGGTTGGACAACTCCGACAATTGCGGGGATGTTGACTCGTTATTGTTGCATTCCCGATACCCGCGAAAGTATCTAAATCAGGGTTGGCCATTAGCGACACTAGAAGATTGCACGAACCAGGGCAATATATGAACAACGAAAGTCCTTTGGAAAGATTTGGTGTCCGGGATCTCCCTAGTCTAATGCTCAGAACATGATCCAAGCGAATACACTACCATGTTAGATCTTGAAGATATCTGAGGGGTATGCATGTCTGGCCATGATAATCCCAAGATACGGTGTATCATCTATCACTTGTCGATTTGGATCGGCGGTAGTAAAGCTTGCTGCAGCCTATCAGAGCAACACAACACATTCCGATCTGAACCAAGGCTACAAGCTGTGAGATCTCGTACCTGTAATTACTTCAACGGCAGCCCAAAGGGTATAAGATCTACTACTATGCAGCACTGTGTCGCGCTACAGAATCTGTGGAGGTGGGTGCGGAGATCGCAGCGTTACGATCCGATAGCCGTTAGCTCGAAGACCCGCGATTGCTGGAGTTTGATTCGCAGGATTCGATTTCAGCGCTACAATGGTCGCGTCTTTTCAACCACACAGGCGCCAGCTTGGTGAAGTCTAGAACCCATTTCCGATGCTGATTCCAATTTTCCTCTTTTTTTTTTCCCTGTTGATCCACCAAGCGAGAGGACACTTGCGCTCCATTGCAAAGACAAGTGTAACCGCAGGAAATCTTTCAGCTGCGCAGCCAGCGAACTAGGCACGGAACAGGAACAACGATCCGGAGCACGTTGGCCCGCCCCATCTCAGGCTTCAGCTCACCAGCTCCACGACAAGGTTGAATATGTTGCATGGTGGCAAGATTGACCACCAAATCAGGCTTGCCCATTCCAGAGCCAGGGTTTCTATGGCTGCTAGCTTGTTGCAAGAAGCGACGTGGAAAGGCTCATGGACGGCAGTGGATGGTGGCACGGGGAGGTCAGGTTGGATAGCGCCGAGAGCCCGAGAGCGGACGGGTCACGAAATATGTAGCAGCTTCGGCCCACGGAACAACATGCAACCGCCTTTGCCGGATGACGGCTCAGCGAGGGCAGTGTTCTGCAGACTTCGGCCGGCGAGCTGCCATGGTGTCGGATCAACACCTCCTGACGGCCAGCCAGCCACCCCTAGGTCATGGCATCGTTGCGTGAAACTCGTAACCGGTGAGCGCCCGGTCGAAAGGACAAAGGTTGGTGGCCGTTTTCGAGCGCCCTGACCAGTTGTGTCGTGTTAGTTTAGCCCACAGTCCACTTTCATAGTTTCCCGGTCCGACTAACCGTATCCGCTCAGTCGTACAGAAATGTGTTATGGATAATGCAAGGTTGTTCAGCCAATCCTGTTGGCAAGATGCTGCACATGGAACTGAGAGCAAGCTCAAGATGCCCGCACAAGGCGTGGCCTTCTGGATCTGAGGATTTCTGTTACGAGCGAGCAGAAGCGGTATCAGGATGCTGTACAACAAATGGTCATGGAGCGTAGTGTTGCGAGTGGTTCAGCTAGTCTAGAAACAGATGAGATAACGTGACCGTGGAGCTCTGCTGCTCAATTGAGACATGGCGCCGTTGAAGACGCACAAAGGGAGAAATTAGATGCCAGTCGCTTTGGCAGGTACGTACACTACATAGCGTCGCCCACCCTAGCAAGTGCTCCAGTTTTGAATGACAGCGGGAAGGGCTGGAAGATCCACCGCACTAAACACGAAGTTGTGGATCGCTCTAGACGCATCCGGGCCCACTCCACGCCCTGTCGAACTGGGCTCTTGACGGGAACTAAGTATGTAACCTAGCACCCCCAACTTCACTCCGGGATCGATTCGGCTCTGGTAATCCCGTCCTTTTAATAGTGAAAACTTTTCTTTTGAGCGTCATGCACCTTTGAGTAAAGCGCATGTCCCCTTTTCTCTGCAGTATACAACCTGAGCTTGCAGATACCTCGGAAAGTCCTAGCCTTGGTAATACCGACGAGCGTTGTGAGCTGAGTGCTTAACTGACAAGCCACGTCACCGTGTCCTTCAGGTATCTAGTGTATATCTTACGTGGCGCACCGAAAATATAACCTTTCCCTGTCAAAGGAATAGGTATGGGTACGGGATTGATCGGCCGCATTAGTGGATACCTCGCGGAAATGGTGAGCCCGGGGCGGTTGGCCGGAAGGAAACGGCTATAATTAATGGTGTATTTTGCTTCCGGTATTCCGGGCCGCACTCAGCCACCGCGGGATGAATTGGAGGGCAGGCCGTTACTGATTCACCGCGATAGCGTCTTGGAAACCGGGGACGACATCGATGACGATATCGGTCACCTGATTGCCGGCAAGAGCGGATTCTCTCTACCGTCATGTTGTTCATCGTTTACACAACAGCCAAGTTGAGATGAGCATAGGAAATGAAGAGAGGGTCTTCAAACAGATGATATGATATCACTGTACAGGACAACCTGCTGTTGCTCAGAAGTGCACAAATTGGCGACAGCTTGAAAGTCTCGTGACTTGACGACTGCTAATGGAACGTTTCCGCAGTACCAAAATAATACTTGAGGAAGGCGATTTCGCGACGCCGAGATTGCAAGTGCGATGCCATCAGTAACAGAGACCAGTTACATATGTAATGAGCAGCAAGAATTTGCAAATGTAAAGTCGAATAGGTAGTCGGTCATGAAAATCCGGGGAGGGTCGGAAATGGGTACGTACCGAACATGGCTTACTGATGTGGCTTGTATGGATTGACTGTCGACATAACCAATGAGAGTTCACCACGATGAAGTTGTGGGTCTTGTCCTTTGTACCAGGTACAGTACCCACTTCCACTTCGCCATCTTCACTTAGTTTCATTCAATCTGTGTCTCGGTTGTTCCTTCTTGTCGAGCTTCGAGTTTGAAAGACGCAAGCCGGTTATCAATTACTTCAACCCAATTCAGTTTAGCGGGGCAGTTACAGAAACCCGAGGAAAGCAGTAGGGGCATCGGATACATTTATGAGACTGGCATGGAACAAAACTTCCCAAATTTCCACCTCTATGATATCCCCCGTCTCCCCGTCTACATGAGTTATCGACATCATCATCGGCTAGGTATCACCGACAGGTCCCGTTATCCAGAATGTTTTTCATTCTCCAACAATTTTAGTCCATTACTGCCCTACCTACTACGACAAGAAGATTGCTGGTGATAAATCCAACTATAAAATTGATAGATACCTACCTATCATCAGTTCTTCATTCTGACTATCGGTTGTTGACAGGTGTCGGCTTCTCCGACTGTTCCTGCACTGTTCAAGGCGCCCGTCATCGGCCCGAGCACTGGATATGACCACCATCGGATGCCCCGCGATTTCTCTAGAATCCATTCAGCTGGACATCTTGTGTCACAAGTTCATCGGTTCAAAGCGGCAAGTAACAAATCCGCTGACCACTGGCATCCGCGGGTTGAACATTGAGCTCGACTGCTGGTGGAGTGGAAGTTTACCTATGTTGGCCATCAGTCAAAGCGGCTACACTACAGTCGTCCTAAAACCCTCAAACATCGTATAACCTTGTGAGATTGGGATTCGGAACTGCATGGTTAAGAATGTCCGACAACCACTTACATCCTCGAGCACTGGCAAAAGCGGTTCTCGGACCCTCAACCATACTGTTTCTTCACGACCATCAATCCCAATTTTCTGAAGCGTTACGCCAAATCACCTGAAAACCCCGGAGGGGGCCGAGGTGATGTCTGTCCTAGGTAAGCAGGCCGTCAACACGTAGGAGCTGTATCTCTTCCGAAGCCACGCCGCAGTCTTTCAAGAGAAACCAGATAGGAAGTACTCAGGCTCGAGCACAGGCTACATGCATGGCCAAGGCATCGCCAAACCATATCCCGTGAATTCTAGAGTATTTCTATGTTGTGGCTCTGAACCCATCTATAGCCGGTAATGTCGCTCGACCATCCAAGTTGAAGTGGAAGGCAATACTTCTGAATGGCATTTGCCTTTGCTGTCGAGTAATGTATAACAATCAGGATGGACTTCGCCGAAGACTGTCGTATCTAGAACAAGGACATGTAAAGCTGAGGCCGTTATATACACCAGAAGTGGCTTTGAACCAAGAGGCTGAAGTAAAAGTCGCTCGTTGACGCTTTCTTTATCACTTCCTCTCAAGACCGGTTTGTCTTGCCTCCTTCGGGCGACGCAGTTTCATGACGTTATTACTGTCCGCTCGATTGGCTGTTCCATCTGGTCTGGTAACTGACAGTGATGAGAGCATTATTTACCTACTCAATGCCCAAATCCATATCATACTTATTACCTGGCAGAATCTTCCCAAGGTCGCCTCGCGCACGAGGTTAGTTCATGAATCACTTCTAACTAAAGCACCGATCTCGGTATGGCGGAGGTAGTTATTCCCAGTATAGCAAGCACTCTCGTAATATAAAGTGGTCTTCGGCTGGGATTATGGCCGGTACATCCATCCTAGCTTGGGTTGCCCCTAAGGTTCAGTCCGGAACTAAGCATCGCTACCTAGGGATACATATTTGAATACCTACGTTGGTCTGGAAGGTACATTGCCATCTGCTGAGTGATTAAATGGGATTCGTGTTCCTGCCAATATCCAATCCAGGCAACGTTCCCAGGTACATGCTTCTTTTCTCTTTTTTTCACATAGGGAGAATAAGTATGGCGTGTTCCTGGAGACGATGTATTGAACAGATGTGCTAGATGCACGGATGATAGACTGTGAACACTGCTCGGATGAGGGATGGAATGAGCTGGGAGTAATGGGCGGCCCAAGTCCTGAAGGTAGTAGTATGCGTGGAAATCGTCGCGAATCGAGCATTTAGCTACAACGTGTACCTCACGTTGGTTGCAGATTATCAGCATCCATTCTCAGGGTTCACAACTTAAAGTCGGGCATTCCGTATCACAGTGGTTCCTTTGTGAACATACGTGGACAAACTCGTTAATGAAAGTTTTGAAGTCATGCTGAATGGCCGGTGGCAACCAGAATAGAGAGGCGGGCCTCGTCCCAGATGTAGGAACCCCTCGGTCGCGAATCATCATCATGTTTGCAAAGACATGATCGGACACTTTGAGTTTCCGTGTCTTTCCAGAAGGCTTGCTTTGTTGAATTCGGGGGCAATATCGGTTTGGGGGTTGCCGCGTTGGCAGTGGTGTTTACTCTTTCCTTTTCTCTTTGGAAACTGTGACCGAAATCGCTTTTGCACTTGGGATGTTCCTTCCATATCCAACCGATCATGCATGACTCCAATCTCCCATCCGGTCAATCATCCTTCTAGGTTCCTCTCTCCTCCTCACCAGTTATTTCCAGCAAGTACTTATTCCTGGATCATTAGATATCCTCAAAGTCATCGTGCTCTCTCTCGACCGGTCCAAATACACGTTTCGGTTCATCTTTACCCATCCAGCCTTCGATTCTTGACACGATGTCCCGACAACGTCGACACACCATTAGTGGTCATCGACCCAGCACGCAGGATATTTTTTCCGCGGGTCCACGAGAATCATCAACCAACTGTGATCCCGGCTCTTTGTCGAGAGGTAATCTCTCTCAGGCTTGCCATGGGGTGGTCGATGCGATGACGCAGACAAGTGACCATATGGCTGATATAGCCAATATGCCGCCACTCACTGGAGCTGACAGTAATACTGAAGATGTCTCGACCGTCGCACAATCCAGATCAGACAGATTAGAGGTACCTGAATTGATCGAAGCCTTCACGCAACTCGAGACTGGCGATGAATCACGACCCAACCCAAAATCTGTTGCGCCTTCTTTAACAGTCCCGATACCTGTGGCAGACCACGGAACGTACGAATTATTTGAGCATGTGCCTCGTCAGACCATCGCCGAACTTATGCGCGATATACCAGGGACCTCCTTCAATGAGTTTGTACGGGTACTGATTGACTGCGGTTTATTGAACTGGGAGGACGACGACCTACCCATAGACCCAAAAACAAGAGTCGCGATCATGGCCTTGACATTTCAGCAGCTTGCATCGCCCGCTAACCTCAAACTGCCCCCAGATGTCGTTGAAAGGTTCGTGCCAATGCCCATCTTACCACAAATGTTGCAGGCCGCACGCATAATGGCCACTGACGTGATAATTTTTCAGGATCTTCATCGACGTCTCCAAAGCCATCGGTATACTGTGTGGTTTAGGTGCTCCACAATGGATCTTGGACGTCGCCACGAAACTACGTGGTCTCAAAGACATGTGAGCCGGATGGATAGTTCCCTGGCGCCCGGATAAAAAACTTCGATTTGGTGTTTTGGAGCAGCGTCATTGTGGACAGACACTTGCACATATCGTGATAACATCGATGTAAAGCGTTGACATGCGCAATGCTAGCGAAAAACCGAGGACCTAAAAGGGATAGAGACTGGAAGAAGAGAGAGAATAGTTGTCGGAAAAGGATCGAACGGACAGTGCGGAGAGGATACGTTTGTTGCATATACAACGGCTTACTCGATGCTTGGACACGTGCGCTGCATATGTTGGTGATTAGGTTTAGTTGTCGTCGCCCTTCGCTTGACTTGTCCCGGAACTGCTGTCCGTAATTTAGATGTTTGTGTCTTGGTCTGTGCGAGTTGTGTCTATGGCCCTTTTTGTATAGTGTACTAGAATCTCTTACGTTGACAGTTGTGGTATCAGATGTTCGTTCCCGTCTTAACTGTGTAATGTCAAGGATGTATACAACACGTAGTATCATTGTTCCGAATCATTGACAATGTCGTGCTCACTACCGTGATTTATAATTCTTTCTCGTGCTTCAAATATGATTTCATCTATCATGGAGTACACAGAAATCAATGAAAGCAGTGCGAGCCTCTTAGATTTAGCATAGTTATCGAGTCGCTCAGCTGCGCATATAGGACAGTACCTGGTTGGGTATCAACGTAAGTTTCCACATGCACTAGGATTACCTCTAATCATTGCCAGTCCTACCCGAGGTCCACTATTACCACCATACGTGCCATATCATTGGGCAGCCGCGAGCCAGTTAAACCCAAAATGGCATGCGTATGAGATACGATACGGATCATACGAGCTGCCATAGCGAGCGCGTGGCTGGACATTGGTATCGGCTAGGAAAAGTTATAACCATTACAATATTACAATACCCCGTCTAGCATACCCCTAGGACAAAATAGACAGCGCCATTCACTTCAATCGACCACAATCAATCTCATCCTTCCATCGCACAAACCACCTCTCATCAACCATAAGATTGGCTAGGTAATTTTTTGACCCGGTGCTCACCCACCGTCCCTTGTATAACTCAACTAGTGATCGCTTTCCCTTCTTCCAGGCATGTTCTTAAACCTCAAAACCTTTATACGGTTACACGCGGTTTATCTCCAAGCGGAGACGGAGAACCTGCACAATCTAGACCACACACACATCGATTGCATTCACTCGAGCCCCATCTAGCTGGCCTCAACTTCCGGTCTCCAACAACATCAGCTCGCGAGTCGCAGCTTTCCGCGCGACACCAAGTACTGGAGGGACCTTGTACTCAGCGCAGGCGATCGGGAAGGAACGCCCCAGGGGAACATACTACCCTTCACACGCGTTCACGACGTGACCAACCCCCCACCGAATACACTCTCAGCTACGGCTAGGCGGTTGACACTCGGCGCAAAATGGATCGTTATCGAGCCTATGAGCTTCATTTTCGCTTCAGCAAAGAGGTAGACGAGCTCGAAAAGGAGCTCGAGACCGAAAAGCAAAATGCATCGCAGGAGCTGCAGAAAGCGAAAGATGAGATTGAGAGCAGAAGGCTCGAGGAGAGGTCAATGCTCCAGAAAAGGCTCGGTACAATACCTCTACCTCCAGATCTCACGCAGTTCATTGAAGACAAGCGAGACTTCTATCTGCGTCAAGCTACTCAAAAATACGAGGAAAGGTTGGAGAATGACCGGAAAAGGTTTATTGAAAAGGTTTCCGCCGTGAACGAGAAATGGAGAATGCTACCATTCGACATAGAAAATTCTGTAAGTTTGATCCTCCAACGAATTCACAACTGGTTTGACCATATACTGATCACACGATGTTATCTAGTCTACGCCACCTACGGAGCTGCCAATATCGAGACTATCGTTAGATACCAAAACACCCATTTCCATGCCCTCTCCCATGCAAAACCATCCGCCTCAAGCTCAACCGGCGGTAAAACTTCCTGTCTCTCACTTATCAAACAAGCGCCCTATTACAGAGATTCAGTCTCCTAACGAGAACATCGCAAACGAGCAACCGGCAAAGCGCCCATCTGCGAAACGATCCATCACTTTCGATGAGGTGTACCAAGAAGGCAATGCTAAGTTCAAGCATATTATAGTCGAGTACCCTCCCGAAAGCGGAGAGTTTTACATTCTCAAGTGTGATGACCATGGAGTTCACTTTGGAGCTAATCCTCTTGCGGGAGCTGCTAAACACCTAGCAAGCAAGATGCATGACCATCAATCAAAGAACTATAGTGTTGCTATTGACACACTAGGTTTTCGGGTCATTGGGTGTAATGCAGAACTGGCACAAAGGAACAACACGGCGGTCGAAGAAGCTGCCGTAAACGGCTACAAGCCGGTTAACTTGCTTCAACTAAGCGTGGGAAAACGAGCGCGATATGTGGAGGCGAATCCCGAGTTTGCTAATTCCTTTTCCACTCCCATACCTTCGCTACCTCTAGCCTCACCAGCCGCTGAGGCACTGCCTCCGGCAATGGCACCGCCTCCATCTCGAGAAACAGCTAGTCCGGCGATGGCACCACCTCCATCTCGAGAAAGAGCTAGTCCGGCAATGGCACCGCCTCCAGCTCGAGAAACAGCTAGTCCGGCGATGGCACCACCTTCGTCTCGAGATACCTCTACCCCTAGTCCAGCGAAAGATCGACGGAAGAGCTCACACATACGGACACCGTCGGATCGCAGCACGCGCTCAGCTGTCCTCATCCCTAATCCCAAACCAGCTAGCCTCTACAAAGGGTTTTGGGTTCAAGACAAGCGGCATTATCCTGTTATGGTATTGCCGGTGAAAGAGGCAGACTTGAGTTCAGTCGGACTTGAAAAGACGTTGGAGGATACCAAGCTCTTGCAGACCGTGCCTCTCTGCTATAAACTTGACAAAACAGCAGGAAAGATAAAGTTCGAAGGGTGGGCCCCGGGATACGAGGATGGCGGGCCTTTAGTCAAGCTTAGGCAAGTTCCGGTCATGTATTTTGACCGAGATATGTAAGTTCCATTTCGAAGCCGAACCTGGGCCGTTGTTCCGGTCAACTAACATTGCTATACCATATCCTTAGGTCGTTTGGCTGGCTCTCAATCAAGGATATTTCAGCGTTTGACTTTGATGACCCGGACTGGCGTCAGATACCCTATTTTCAGAAGGCCGTCGAGCACTGGGAAAGTCTAAACAAGGCTGAGGCTGGCACGACTGCTAGCAGTGCGACAACCGGTGGTGCAGAACAACCTCGCCTGGAATCCAACTCGGCAGGGGCAACTCTGCCAGAACCCACACGAAATCCAACAGCCCCGGCGGCAGCAGCAGCAGCAGCATCAACGGAGTCAACAGCATCAACTGAGCCAACAGCAGCTGCGTGTCGATCCCAATCTGTCTCGGCGGCAGCCCCAGAACCCACAAAGAAGCCGGCAATTCCAGCAGCAGCAGCGGCACCAAAAACAGCACAGCCTCGACCTCAACCTATTTCTGCGGCTGTCTCTAACCCCCCGGCACAAACTACCACAGAGGATGTGACTCTAGCTGCTCCGACAGCAGTAGCAACACCACCAACTACCGCGGCAGCTCCCACAATGTCGACACCCGTTGCTTCTAGCACTGTAAATACACCAATTCCTCCGGCCGTGGTACGGTTGGCGGAAATCGCCAAGACCGACCCTCAGCTTAGGGCTCTGATAGATAGAGTCGGATCGAAAGAGGGTACCAAGGAGGAGAATGAACGGTTAGAGCGCATCGTCGACCAGATTGCTTTGGAGCTTAGTAGCTCCGGGGAAGCGGTAGCAGCTACGGTTCAACTTTTACAGCCCAAGTCGGTCAGTTCAGGCCCCAAGAACATGAAGGGTCACGGCACAGGCCTCAGATCGCCAGAGTCATCTAAGCCGCCCACTCCGCACTTGACAAAGGCAGCGATTTCACCGGCGGCGGCGGCCCCGGCTCCCTTGGTAACGGCAGGCCCGACGCCAGACTCTAGCACAGCTAGCTCGCGTACTACATCTCCAACTGAGGTCCCCGCCCCTACGTCTACCTCAATCAACAACCCGCACGTCAAGCCCCCGATTGTCAAGCCGGCAACCTTTGTCAAACCCGAGAATGGGGTCACGGCGACGGCGAAGGCGACGCAGCCTCAGAATCAGAACGAGAAGTTTGAAGTGACCATCGAAAAGGGCAGCTGGAATGTAGATACTAATTGCCCCACGGAGGACAAGCTCTCAGTCCGGTTGATAGCATGCAACCAAACCAAGATTGCTTCCACAGCGCCCGGTCTTCCGTACAAGAACTGCCCATACAAGTTCGAGATTGATCCCAACAAGTTTGCCAACGTCGTCGTCGAGAATTGCCCATCGAGCCCCAACGCGAAGACGATCGTGACCATTATATTGAAGAAGGGGCGTGAGGGCAGTGGAGACAGGACGGTGGTCTTGACGTTTGATCGATTCGTAAATCCGGACACCAAAACGGTAGAGAGCGGGCGGGTGCAGGCGAGACGATTCTGTCGATGGTTGAGGGGGGTCAATACGAGCATTGCATACTCTAACAAGAGGTGAGTGGTTTGGGTTCCTGTTTTCATTGACTGATGACCGCTAACTGACATTGATCCCTTTAGTTTCCAATAGATGTTCAATCCTCGTCCGGTCTCGTTGGGAGAATTTGTTTCAGTGATGATAAGACCGGCAAGAATTAGACGCGCTTGCACTAGGGGTGTCAACGGACGACGTTTGACGGTCAAGGTCAAGGAGATCAGGGCGGCCCGCCAAGATGATGTTAATTTGGTTGGCCGCTACGGTCATGGCTTTTTTGCCAAACAGTACCTGAGGAGACCAACATCATTTGGGTATGGGAGGTTAACGGTCTGGTCAAGGTGTACTTCAAGGTACATACATATTACGGGTTACGAGACTTTAGAACGGCATATCTTTATATGGGTTCTCGCAGGATTGCCTGGGTTTATCTTTAGTACCAGCCTCAGCCCGTCGAGCCAGTGTGGACGGCTGCGTCTGTCCTGGGCACTCGCCCTGCCTTTACAGCAAAGATTTGGAGCGTTGATTTTCAGACTCTAGGGAAATCCAGCATGGTCTATAAGCCTTCTGCAACATTCATGCCCACTTGAGATTCGTTGTGTGCAAAATGGTGGTTTTGAATGTCTCCACCCTCTAACGCCGTTGAAACGATAGGTGTGAAAAGGCAGGACGTTGGAAGAAACGGATTTACAGTGCTACAGGGTGGCAACACGTTGGGTCTCCCCCACTCTTTTTCGCGGGCATGAAATGCACATATTCGGGCAATATAAACTATACTTACAGATTCACAGATTCAGTAGAAGCAATTATAGATACGAAAGAAAAGTGCATAGCGTGCACAACAGTGTATTTTCATGGAATGCTGTGCTGCGTTGTTCCCGGTTCCTTGTGACATCATTGTCGGAGGAGGACACCAGCAGGGTCCTGTGCCGGGTAGATTCGGTCCACAGCGTGCTTCAAATGCCGGAGGTTTTACATATGGTGAGCGGGATTGTGCCTAGGCAGGTATGGATATGAGGCCAGGAACAATTTGCATGTGATTTCCGTCCATCCGCCCCTGTAGCGGGAAGTACCTAGCAGGAACTGAAGGAAAGCCAAACAGCACTCGTCCTCCGCTGCCCTGTTCCTAGGATGAAGCAAGGCAGCCGCTATAGAGAGATATGTATCATGGTGACGAGATACCTGTAATCGCGGGTGCGAATGCTTCTTTGCATGAAGTGCTAGACCGCCCCGATGCTCCGCTCGAGACCGCCGTAGGTATTCCGTCTTTTAGGCCCCACCACTACTTAGGTCCATGCCATCTCGAGATCGTAAGAAGGAACTCACGTGGAATGATTCTGTCTGACAGCGGCACCAAAAGAGTTCAGTTGTCTGTCCACTTCCATGATTCAATCCCAATGGACCAAAAATCCGTCCGCTTTCCCCCTACCGCTCTTCGTTTCTCCTTGGTTTTGCGCCTCTTTACTTCGTCCAACATTTCTTACTACACCTACCTTTATCATGAATACTAAATATCCTTGACCGCACGACCTGACTGTACACTACACTACAACACGAATAGTGTATTGAACCCCAGCTAACCACGTGCGCATCTCCGCTGTTTCCTAGCGCCCGACTCCATTGATCTGACCGCGAACCGCGAACCACCACAAATCCAAAAGCCTGGGGAAGACGGTCGGGGCGCAGATTCGCAGCCTATGACGTTGGGCTACGACTCGAGGGAGCCATTCATGGGCGCGTGCTACCTTCCGTTGGGCTTGCGTGCGGAGAGCAAACCGTACACAAACGACCATCATCACCATCAGTTCCGGCCATCATCATCATCATCATCGTCATCATCATTATCCTTCTTCTTTCTCCTCTCCCTCTCCCTCCTCCTCCTCCTCCTCCTTCTCTTCCTCCTCCTCCCCCCTCTACCTGCGGCTGCTTCTGATTCATGGCTGCATTCGTGAGTTCTGCCCTTTCTTACACACCCTGAACATTACTCCTACGGGCTCTTTGCCTTGTCCTCTTGTCCCTACCTACCTACCTACCTCCCACTATCCTATCTACCTTCTCTGTGCTACCATCACCACCTACCTACTATACGGCCTAGGTTGCGCCAGACAAACATCTTCCCGACGGCACCCCATCGTCGTGCATAAGACTCTGTCCTGTTGAAGATCGATCCGCCATCTCAATAGTACCAGGCATCCTTGCCAGGCCCCCCCTGGCCAGCGATCTCCTTCAAATAGAAAGGTCTGTCGGCGATTCCCGCTGCCGCCGAATCAGCTCCAAGAGCTCCCACTCCAGCCCGTCGTCATCATCAGCACCCCAACCACGGCCATCGTCATCCTTCCATCAAGGCTACAGTCCAAGGCGACACAGCGACGACCATGCTGCGCCGCCCCTCTTCACTGCGCACCTCGATCGAATCATGACCCTATCGTTGCATCACCATTCCCGCTAGGGATAGCTAGACAGTACAAGACTGACACTTTCCTCCATCAACATACAGGATCCTCCCTGGCTTTCGCATATGTCCGTTCCTCAGCCTCAGCGCAGCGGCGATGCGCTGAACTCTCACCCATCCACCCCTTCGAACCAGCCAAAGGGCATCATATACTCGAATGATGGCACCGCAAGCAATCCGAACCCGACCCATGCCTCCTTCTCGCCCGCTACCCTAAGCTCAACCGCGCCGAGCGCCACCTCCGCCGCGAAGAGGAGGAGTACCATCCTCGTCCACCAAAAGTCGCCGCTTCTCCTCGCGACACCACCCCAGATTACACGCGCTTTGGCCTATAGCCATCCGTTCCTCCTACCCTTGAATACGCTTGCCGGTCTGATAACATGGACGACGCGCGATCCCTGGGAAAGCTTCCTAATGGTTGCGGTCTTCTGGGCTGCCGTTCTATATGGTGACATCATTGTCCGGGTTGCCGGTCCCGTCGTGCTTGTCCTACTCTTGATCGGTGGCATGTACGGCCGGCGCTACAGCCCGCTGAGCAGCAGTGGTTGGACCGAGCCAGGCGTGGCGGCTGGAGACATGGCGGCGCTCGCTGGGACAGATGGAAAAGGGAGTGTTAGGGGCAAGAAGGCTCCCAAGAGCAAGAACCTCTCCGTCGACGGGCTCCCGGACAACAAGAATGGCAAGGCCAATGGCGGGCTCGGTGGCGGTGTGGGAGCGGGCGCTGGAGGAGGCGGACAACTGAGGAACCAAGGATCGGTATCCGAAGTGACAAACACGCGGCACCAGAAGACGTTGGACGAGATTGTCGAGACACTTAAGGAGTTCACGGCGCGCTGCAACATTCTGCTGGAACCCATGCTGGAACTCACGGATTTCCTCAGCACTCAGCGAACACCTACATCGGCCACCACAAAACCCGCGCTGACGACACTTTTCATCCGGATCCTTCTCTGTACCCCGTTTTGGTTCGCCCTGACGCTTCCACCTTTCCGTCTGATTACTACACGCAGGGTTATCTTGATTTTTGGTACTCTCATCCTAACTTGGCATTCTCGCGTTATGCGGGTATCTCGCGCCATTCTATGGCGTAGCGCCTCCATTCGCAGGTTTTTGGAATTGGTTACTGGCTTGCAGTTCGAAAAGCCCGTCAAGGTTTCTCCTGCTGAGAAGAGTGGCGTTGCATCATCCGCTGCATCCACTGCTAGCGGCAGTTCAGCGAACAAGAAGACATTTGCCAACATCAAAAGTACAAAGGCGTATAACGCGCAGGAGTCTGAGCTTACTAAGGCCCTTCGACGTGCCCGCGGCGGACACGACACAGGCGTGCGCTTTACATTTATCATCTATGAGAACCAGCGTCGGTGGGTCGGTCTGGGATGGACTACTAGTCTGTTTGCGTATGAAAGGCCGGCATGGACCGACGAGCACAACAACGCGGTCCCGCCGCGAGACCAGTTTGAGCTTCCCGAGGTCGAGGACGGTAGTAACATGCGCTGGCGCTGGGTCGAGGGATCGAGATGGCGAGTCGATGGAGTACCCGACGAGGCTGTTATGCCTGGAGAAGACGCGGATGGAAAAGAGTGGGATTATGACAGCCCTGGGGGGCGTATGGGCTGGGTTTACTATGATAACAAGGTTTGTTCTTTCCGTTTCTGGAGACATTTGTTTCAAAAACAAGAGAAACAGGCACACCGTGCTAACCAAGATGCAGTGGCAAAATGGCCGCCGAGGTCAAGACGGCTGGGGACGCTGGACAAGAAGGAGAAAGTGGTATCGCGATGCCGAGCTCGTGGAAGCAGACGATGCCCTGATCGAAGAATTGGCAGAGGATGCGATAGTTGACCAACAAGGAAACAACTATACTGTGAACGGATCCGCCAACGGCAACTCCAGCGCCGATTCAGTTACACCAACCGCGACACCGGCGCCCGGACCAGGAATAGGTGCTCGGGCACAACCGCGATCGCTGCTCTCCGATCAACTAGCCGCGTCGGGTGAGATTGCTTCACCCTCTACCGCCGTCCCTAGAAAGACGTCGATCAAGCTGAAAAAATCCACACCCGAAAGCGCGGTCGACAGCTTGGCAAGGATACAAGCGCAAGATATGACGAAAAGCAGAATGGATATGAAGGATAAACTCCGCAAAGATAAAGACGCAGAAACAGAAGGAGGAGACGAGGCCGCTTCGGTGGTTTCCACGTCCAGTACTAGTAGGTCCCACAGATTTTCTAGTGCTTTATTCGGTAAGTCGCCGACCAGCGGTGCTTCCAGCGCTGTCACCATCCGGGGTGGTCGTGGTTCTTCCACCGGAGGACAACAAAGACGGAATTTCAGCGATATTACCACTGCCCCCACCACCACCGGCAGCCCATCAGCAAGTTCCTCCGGTGGCGGCGGCGGTGGCGGTTATGCAGGTCACGATGGTCGCGGACAGAGCCCCAGTACCACGCCCTACTCCTCCTCTCACTCTTTATTCGTCCCATCAAGTCAGAGTCGCAGTAGCAGCATCAGTCGAAACACGATTTTGAATAACAGTGGTAATAACAATTCTTACGCGAGGAGTAGGAGGTCGAGTCACAGCAACGCCGTAAGCAATAGCAATACGACAACACCAACGACAGCAACGGCAAGAGGGTCATCACCAGCGCCGCAATCCACGCTGATGGCGGCAAAGACCAACGAGGAGGATGAGGTGGTGTCGTCGTTTGGGACGCAAACTAGGTTGGCGTTGCAGGATGCCGGGAAAGATGCAGGCAGTTGGGGGTTTGGGGATGAGGTCAGGATGGGATTGGAGTGAGGCTAACGGATGAAGATATATACCTACTGCTATATACATAACGGGATAACTAAGGAGATAGATGGCCTAGGTTAGACTATTGGAGATGGGATACCCAGGAACGGAACGGGACGGGACGGGGATCGGATGGGGAGACTGAATAGTTTGGATGTTGTACACGTCTTTTTAGGACAGGAACAGATCGAATAAAAGAAGATTGAACCACCTAGCATCCGCCGTGACCATCTAGTATCCTTCTACTTCATTACCAGCGAAGTACACCCTACCTCTTTCATCACTCGTCAATCCGTTGATGGTACTGCCGGAGCGGTTGTCAGTTGAGGCCATCACCACGTCTTGGCATTTCTTGGCATCTTTGGTCGACGCAAAACTCGGCTGTCACTCGTCAATCCCAACAGCAAGTTCCTTCTTTTCTCATGCATATGTTAGACCCAAGACAGATCTATGGAAATATTTGGAAGAGCATGAACAGGCCTATAGTGTTATCAACGAGTGTCTTTGCATTCGAAAGCTGAAAGCGTTGGAACGCCATCGCCGGTTGCCTCGTCTGGAGAGATCTCGGAGCCATCTATGGTCCAGACCTTTTGCCCTTTTTTTTCAACTTCCAAGTTGTCGCTGTCATTCTTATATTCATACGTCTGTTTGTATATCGCTTCGGATCGCAATTCCGCCCGGAAAAGCAAGCAGCTTGCCTGTCTCGTTTTGACAGATTGTTCCTCTTGGACAGTTGGATGAGATTGGATTGAACTCGCTTGGTCACTGGACAGTGCATGTTACCTAACTGATCTGGATACTGCGGAATGTCAGTCGACAGCTATGAGTGAACATACTAAAAAGAAGAGGGGAAAAAAACAAACAGAAAGGAAGACTGGCTAAATAGTGATGCATTTACCAATCTGACAGTTACGTACATGAAGACTCATTACAGCAAAACGACTATATAAGTAGAACTAACAACCCTACCCTACTTTAAAATCTTCTCAACCCTCCAAAAGACGAAACAAAAAAACTCGAATGCATTTTGAATAGTCGCACAACCCTTCGAGATCCCGAATGACTTGTTCCCCTACCAGATCAAGCAAGAAAAAAAAAATTCAAAAAGTTGGGGCTCAACCGGGATTTGAACCCGGGACCTCGCACATTCATGGGATACCATGAGGGTGATTAACCCGAAGCGCGAATCATACCACTAGACCATTGAGCCATTGCTGGTTGGTTGTTGCTGTTGGTACTTGTGCCAAGTGATTTTTACTATATTGTAATTCGGCGTGCCAAATAAGCCCAATTGCAGTGGACATGCTGGCAAAGCTAGAGATGGCGTGCCATTGCAGACCGACTACGAAAACTTGCGATAATAAACTTGCAGATTCGTTTCAGTTTGTCTTTTTGGTAGTCATTTCCATCTTATTTCAAGCGATCTTGTGATTTTCATCTGGTTTTCCCCCATGTGTATAATTCAATATACGGATCGCAGTGCGTTTGGCGCGGCTTGGACTAAAGACGACGGATGGCTCGCACCGAATGGTATCGCCCGGATATGGCAAGATGTGAGAACCAACAGAGGACAAAGCGACTACCTTTCGACGTGCAAGTCTTCCCATTACTACTTTTCATTAATAAGGAAATTGGATTTTAGAAGCTGTACTTCAATTCCTTTGTTTCAGGCCCGAGGCCGCCACGTCTCAATTGACCCCCATTTCTTCGTGTGCACTTCAGCATCTACCCCTTTGATAGTTGAGACCCGGCTGATGGTCTACTGAACAAGATGTGACAAATGTGACAATGACATGGAGGTCTCGAAAGTCGGTTTATTGTTCTTTTTCTGTGTCCCTCCCACATGGTCTGGAGCACCCTCACGCAACTCCCAGGCACGTTCCACAAGCCGCTGCATTGCACATTTTACTTTGCAGTCACCTGCGTATTCCCCGAGTCTGGTTCTGCGGTATAGCTACCTCTACCGAGCATACATTTCCTGGTCTCCATTCCACCACAAATAATCACGAATCATCCACCTCTTATCCTCGTCATTTCCCGAGTCACTTCACCCCCAGACGACACCGTATCCCAAGATAGCGGTGCCGCGCAGACTTGCTAGGTCCAAACTCATCATAAACCATCGCAAACCATCCAACACTTGTCTTCATCATCCCCCGAGTCACTCCGCCCTCAGATCCGACATACTCCCACATGACGCCCAAACCAAAAGCAAAACCCTCCTCTTACCCCAAGACCAAAGCCAAGATCAAAGATCCTCGCACCCTTCAAGCCACTATGAAGAAGACACCAACCCCCAAAAGAAAGGCCATTAGGCACCACGCTTGCCGTCTCAACCCACCATGCAAGCAAGGCCACGGCGGCCCAGCAAAAACCATCTTGCCGATCGGCAAGTATTTCTTCAGCGAAGAAGCACTGGAGCACGACTTGGGTGCTCTCAAGAAAGGTGCCGTCTACAAGGGCGACAAGGAGTTCTACAAGCGGGTGAAGGCTTGGTATAAAGCCGAGGTTGATCGTTGCATGCATCGGAAGTTGGTTGAGAGTGAGGTGAGTGCGGACTGAAACCACGATGGGAGAGAGGGGGGGTTGCGGCAGAGGTGATGACGTACATGACTGACTAACAATTATCGATAACAGGCAGAGAAAGAGAAAGAGAAGAAGGAACTCAAAAAGCTCATGATCAGACCAATGGCCGTCACACGTCCAGTGACTACCAAGCGCACACTTGCCGCTGCTGCTGACTCCGACGATATCGATCTGTCTGACGACCGCTCAACCTCCCAGTCCGACGAAAGCCCCTCGGAGTCTGACTACTCGGACTTCGAAGATGAACATCTTCGAAAGGTTATCGCCTTGAGGGCGAGCACCCCTATCCGTCAAAACCCTCAAAAACTTCAAACACCATCACCTTCCCCAAACAAGTTAACACCAACACGCGTCCAACCTTCCAGGGCAGCCAAGCGCAAAGCCGAGCCACCGTTGCTACCACTAACACCAATTCAAACCCCGAGCCCTAAACGCCAGAAGGTCACGTTGAACATCAAGCGTCCGAACCCGCTACCGAAAGCGGGACATCCAGGAAAAGAGCCAGCCGAAGAGACCAAAGGCGATTACAGCCTGTCAAAGCTGGACCTCGATGAGTTCCAGCCCAGCTACGCTGACCGGGGTGAGTTGGCCGACAGACTAGACGTGGCTTCCTTCATGATCAGCGTCGAAAAGGCCGTAGAGACCGCCGTCAGCGAGCTAGTAGCTGCTCGCTTGGGGAACGGGGTCCTTCTCTATTCTCTCCGAGGGAAAGTGATCAAGGTATTCGGGCAAAATGGAGGAGGTTTGGCAGTATCAGCCAAGGCCTTTTTTTGGAAGTGGAAAGCAAGGATGATGAGGAGGTGTTTGAACCAGCAGGTGACGCAGTGCCGGGGGAAAACTGGCGGCCACCGGCACTGTCGCGTTCTGCCCTTGCCACTATTGAGTTGGGGGTGGTCGGAGGGAAGAAGAAGGGTGTGAAGAAAGGGCTTGAACTTCGACTCGCATCTAGGGAGGGAACACCGGCACCAGAAGCGGAGATGAAGCTCAGTCCAACACTTGGTCGGTGGCAGCTTGCGGATAGGAGAGGTAGTGGTTTTTCGGGACTGGCTGGTCCTGGGCGGCCGCGGACTGAACAACTGGTGAAATTGGAACTGAAAGTCGATTTGAAAGCAGTGGTAGTGGATAAGGAGTGTGGTCCTGCGTCGGAAAATAGAGATGCAGTGGCCAAAACGCCTGTCGAGGAGTCAAACAAACGATCGGTGCAAGTTTCTGGGTTGAGGTTCGATGTGGAGCTGCGTTCGCTCGAAGTTGGACGAGATGGCGAAGGACAAAAGGAGATACGTTTCCATATGCTGTGATTGGAACAGTGTAGTAGCGGCCATTTCCAAGTTCTCAGCTTCAGCCTATTATTTGCCGTTTTTGCTGGAACCGACAAGGAGCATTGCAAGTCCGAGGGGCAGCGGAAGGGGGAAGGGTATAGGATTGGCGGGACTTGCAATCATGGCAATGGATAATGTCTGATTCATCTGCGTCTTGATTGCGGCTTCATCAGGCCGTGATGGCTTGTTTGAACTTGGGCCGGATTGGGGAGAAGACCGATTATTTGCTGATGGCCGCCGAGGAGCCGATCTAGGGTTGTTCGGGGGCGATCTCTGCTCTGAGGGTCGACGTGGTGCTGGTCTGGTGTGTGGAGTTGTTCTCTGAGCATGGGAAGCAGAGTTGTTCACTGATGGTGGTGCTCGTTGCTCTGGTGTTTGCTGAGCTCGTGGATCAGTCCTCCAGTCCTCTCGGCGCTCCGATGTTGACTGTTGATATTGGCCTCGTCGTCGTCCGTTGTCTCGTGGATCTGTTCTCCAGTCCTCTCGGCGGTTCGATATGGATTGTTGATATTGACTAGATCGTCGTCCGTTGTTGACGGATGGTGTCGGAAAAGCCTGGGTGCTACTGCTACTGCCGGGACGCGGACAGGTTGAATTGGACCTGCGTGGTGCGGCGGACATGGCTGTGAATAATTGCTTCTTTTTTGTCAAGATAACTTTGCTTGCTTCGGATTCCAATGTATGATGGAAGTGGTTCGCCAGCTTCTTTCGACTTTTTTTTTTTTTTTTTTTTTTTTTTTAATCAAAGTTGTTCGGCCAGTTTATGTGAGAGCAGAATTTGACAATTGACTGAGTCGTAACGTCGTTGCCGTCTCAAGAACGGACATGAGTCGATAGTAGTGACGAAGCGGAACTCGAAGTGTTTCAAGATGCCGAGCTCGGCCTAGAAACGTACGACAACCGAAAGATCAGCTTCCCAACAACCCGAATACCTACCATTATAATATCCCTCAGTATCAGGTGGGTTTTGAGCGTTTGGACAACATCTCAGACGACTGTCATTTGATGAAGTCGGGATGCCATATCCAAACGTCTAGCTTTGCCAACCCAACAACGGCCCCATACTGCCCCTGATAGAGCTTCGCAAGCCTCGCTACCAGCATAGAGATATCATTATATACCCCACGGCTTTCATAGAATTGTGCCATTGACAGTGTGCACTTTGGCTTGATGCCATCATGACACTCGTGACTTTCTGCAGCAGTCGTGAGTTTGTTGATGGCGGCAGACTAGATGGCGACGGACTATACTGGCCGTGCCTGGAAGTAGGTGAATAATACACTTCCGTGGTAAACAATGTCGAACAGACACAAAGGGATATGCTGAGGACGAAAACATGAACACGCGGGTTGAATATCCATGGAACTGACGATTTGATACGCGGCAGGCAGTAGTGAGCTTCTCGGTTTGACACTACCTTATCTTATCAGTACTGCCCGTGCGTGTCAGCTGCGTCCGGCTGTTAAAGATGAAGCACTGATGCTAACTTTGAAGCTGGAAGCTGTGCCGATGCACTAACACGGTTACATTATTGGGTCCACAAATCTTTAGGGCAGGCATCTCCTTCTGAAAGCCAAGCGAGCTTCAGGCGAGTCGCGACCCCGGAGAATCGGCAGGTGCTGGGAATTGGCCGGTCGATAGCTCCTACCGCCGAAGTGAAGTCATTGTGCTCCCGATGAGGTGTCAGTGGCAGCATCATCACCAAAACTCAGGCAATGAGCAGTTCACATTCATTGTAAGAATACAACACCTTGCTATTTGGATTGTAATACCTCAGCTTAATAATCATTGCGAAATCGATGGCACTCGTTTGAGCAACCAGAGCGGAATGCAGCCGGCACAAATATCGCAACGACAAGTACTGGTGTAAGTAAACTGCGTACTGTAGCGTTGGCACTACACAAAGCGGCGGAAGTACTGTACACTATATACAACGACAACTTCGACTTAATTGTCAGTCGTCATCCATCGGGCAACGTGCTAACATCATCTCGGGCGTGATGGAAGACCCTTAGAAACTGATCTGCAGGTTCTGAGACATCACATGAACATTGCAACCATTCACGCTTTGGAAATCAACCATCTCTATCGTCATCGCCTTACATACTGTATGTAGTGTACACTACACTGTACGGTACGATGAGGGTATTTCGCCGCGTTGAACCAGCTTGACCTGAGTGCCAAGCAGGTGGCCCAGAACGCCGCCGCACAAAAGACGCAGCGAACACCTCCACTCTTGATGCAGCCGCTACGGCACAAATATCGCAAACCCGTGCAGGCGGACGTCCCCGATAGGCTCGGATCGTCGCTAACATGCCATGCCGTCGGGGTGTCGTGGAATGGAAGGTAACAGACAGTCACAGTCACAGTTCCGAACGGTGCGTAGCAGTAGTGTACGTGACAGCAGGAACAAGATACTGTAGGCATCATTCAGGGTATATAAAGCCACGGGACCCTGACTTCTTTTCGAATTCCTTTACTTGTCATCAACGAACTACATCATCATCACTGCATTGAAACACTCACAAAGACAACATCAGTCTTTCGTCAACCTACACAACAACAACAACAACTCAATTCCTCTCAAAAGAACAACCACTTCTATCAAAATGGGTGACTGCGGCTGCTCCGGCGCTTCTTCCTGCAACTGCGGCTCTGGCTGTAAGTTTTTTTACTTCCTCCCCCGTCGCTTGTCCGATCCCATCTTCAACTCCTGGCATGGCACTAACCTTGGAAACTTTCAAGGCTCTTGCTCCAACTGCGGCAGCAAGTAAATTTACCTCTTCGCACTGCTCAATGCAACCACGTACCCGAGCGACCATGAGCTTTCTCTAAATCACTAGTCGCAGCGACAGCGCGTAAGGTTGGAAGACCTTTGCCTGCCTGACATAACCGACCGACATACCAACGTACTTGCTTGATGGAATCTCGCCTGGAGCAATGGAATGGGCGCCGACAAAGAGTGGTCTCTCTCTTGATTTCAGGGAAACAACGGCAGCTTTGGGTTTCGGAGTTTCGGGGGGGTTTGTTCTTATTTCGCCATGACGCCCATTGGCACTTTCCCCCTTTGGAGAGATATGGATTAGATGAAAACAAAACAAATCTTTTCCCTCTTTCACAAATTCTATTACTCCAGTCTTATGATTATGTTTTGACTTGACTGTGATTACAACACCCGAACTCAATGCTGATGATCCACATCCATCCTTCCATTAGATAGTTACAACCTCTATCCTTTCCAACATCCTCCTCTCCACCACCTCCCCAAACCCGCTCCCCATCATCTTCACCACCACCTGAACATCAGGCGGCTCCGGCACCTCTTTTTCCACCAATCTTGTCAGCGCCGCCGAGTCCCATGCAGCCCCATTTCCGTTCCCATCCGTATTACTACCAGCCACAATGGCGCTGCTGCCCACCGTCGTCTTCGCCTGCGCAATCACCCCCTTGACGTCCTTGCCGCGCCGCACCTGGCCGCCTGTGGGGACTTGGGGGGTAATGAGCGTCTCGTCCATCAGGCTCTGCCATCGCGAGAGGAACATGCCGGGGCCACACATGCTTGCTTTCTTGTTGCTGTTGGCGCTGTTGCTGTTTCGCCTGCTGGGGGCTCGAGAACCAAAGGGGGAGCTGGCGGATAGGGAGAATTTGTCTCTTAAAGAAGAAGTTGTTGTTGTTGTTATTGCGGCTTCTGGCAATGAGGAAATGGAGGGGGCGGTAAGGTTCATGTCGTTGAGAATGTGTTGCATTCGCTTGAGGGAGAGGTCTTCAAGGGAGGAGAGGTAAGCCGCGTGAGCGTCTGCTGCTGCGAGGATGTCGGGTTTTACTTGGGGAGGGAGGGCGTTGAAGAGCGACTGGATATCGGCGCTTAGACTTCCGGCTGCTCCCTTGCGGAGCTTGGTGTCCATTGCTTGGCTGCTACTATCGTTTGAGGGGATGGCCGATGATAGTGATTGCTGCTCGGGCTGCTGGCGGAACTGCGCCAGCGTCTTCTTGCAATACTCGAGGAATTCCCCCTTGATTTCGGGGCAGTTCTTGGCCACCTGGTGGACAAAGTTGTAGGCCGATTGTTTATGTCTCCTAATCAAGCCGACGTAGTCCTCTATGGAAGGAGCGCGGGTCTCGATCGTTGTTTCTGCTGTTAATGTGCTGGAGATCGCCACTGGAGAATCCTTCGCCTTGCTTGTCTCGATAAGGTCGGTTAGGAAGCTTTCGGCTGCAGAGACGTGTTCGCGAAGGTCAATATTCTGGTGAACAGCTCGTATCATGGGCTCGAAACTGCCGATAAAGTCCCTTACGGCCTGGGTGAAGAGATCGGGGTTTTGCTTGCAGAGAATCTTGATGATCTCATCCCGATCTCGAATTGCAAGCAAGGTTGAGAGGTATTCCAGACATTGCTCGTGCTGTTCTTTGGACAGGGACTCCACAAGCCCACGGCGGGAATTTTCGAAGATGGCGGCAATAATGGACTCGGACCGCTTTATGCTGATGTTCCGGATCCTCAAGTGCTCTTCCCTCGACTTGGCGACGTACTTCTTGATGACTGCGATATGGACCTTAGAGGGACCACCCTTGGCCTTTTCTATCCGTTCAGCGGTCTTCCGGAACTCTGCCATGTCCCACGACAAGACCAGTGAAATGATTCTACGCCTGTTAGTCTTGAACTGCCATCCGCATGGAAACTGTAGGTACTTGCCTCTGTAAGAGATTCATGCCATCATCCGCATTTTGTGTCAGGCCGAGCCAGTTAGTGAGGCCTCCGATACTCATTTTGGCCAGGAGGAGCTTCGTGATCCCATTGATCATGCTGGCTGCATTTCCAATTCGAAAAGTTTGTTTGATGGCCGAATAAGGTACCATCTTGTGTACGCTCGCCACCATCTGTAACAGATAGGACCCTTCGGGGGAGAGGACGAATACATGGTGCATGAACGTCGCAAGGCTGGAAAAGTAGATTAGTAAAAGAAAACAAAAGGGTGAAATCAAGAGCAGCATCACATACTGAAGGATAATATAGTCCACAGCAGTCTGCACGGCGAGTGAATGGCCTTCGATGTCGGGTTTCTCTGCTATACGATCAAACAACGTTTCAACGAGACTTCCGTAGACAAGTTCGTGCAACACGTCTTCCCAGGCGCGCACAAGGTCTTGTGCTTTCGACCTGTCATAGTGACCGTTTAGGTCCCTGGGTGACCCCTTGGGAAGACCACCGATAAGACCCCGGGAAACAGCTTCGTGAATGACCGAGGCAGCAGTGGCCAAGGTTTTCCTACTACCCAAAGACCCTTTGTCATAGCTCTCGGACAGGTTTGCTTCACCAAATTTGGTCATAATTCCTTGGAATTCGAGTGGCCAGAAATCAGTTGGAAGATCGCGAACTCCTGGCACCGGAAGGACGATGGCGCGCAGCAGGGTTGCCAGAAGCGGAACTGAAGACTCTTTCTTGATGACGGGCTCGGAGGCACCCTCTATCGACGACGCAAAGGGATAGCCATATTTGGAAATAGCATCCGGATTCTTGAAACATTCCACTTCGGAATATGTCCCATAATGTGTGAGAATGTCGAACAAGGCATGTAGTTGAAGCGCGGTAAGGGTGTCTGGAGTGGCTGAGGCTGATGGCGGACAGATACTAGAGCTTTCGTTTCTTGTCATGGTGGAAAGAGCGAAGGAGTTTGGTTTTGTCCTGAATAAGCCTACTATTACGTAGATAGGTAGAGGTATTGAATGGTTGAGGTAGACTCTAGGGTGTGATAGGTTGGGGTCCAAATGATGGTCGAGTTATCTCGTCAAGTCGTTGAAAGTCTGGGCCTCGAACTTTGGATGGGAGTTCGGACGGCGTTGCAAGGATCAGCTGGTCGGCCTTCGCCGTGGGGTATCTTGAGGTTATTAGGTTGCTTTCCTTGGCATAGACGTAGCCGAAAGAGTGGAAAGAAAAGAAGAGAGAACAGGATATTAGAAGGTAGCTAAGAACACTTGATGTATATCAGCGGTATCTGGGGAGACGGTGACAAATGTTGATGTTGATTAGTTCCGACTTTGGAGGGCTTAGGGGAAGTCGGGCTGGGGCTAGACTTGACCCATTGCTGTGACGTCAGATATTGTACACCGCATCCAGTGGCTCAATATCGCAAGCATTTGCTTTGCTTGAACCTCAGGCAATGTAAGGAGAACTCATCACCGATTCAGCCGCTTCACTTCCATGACGAGTTCCAAACCTCAAAAGAATTGCACCTGGCGGCAGGCTGAGGTGTCTGGCTCGAGTCCGAGGAACCTGAACGGACGGCCCTCATGCATGATTGTCACATGCGTTTCTTAGCTTCACATGCACGTCCTCTTTCTTTTAATCTAGGGCGTGGGATGGGGCGAGGGGGCATTACTAGGTATCATATAACTGTGAACAGATTCAGGATCATCCAAACAGAAAGGGATCAAAGTGCGGTAAGGTTGTCGAACCGCTCAGTCAGACCATTGATGGGATACGCCGCAGGTTCGTAGCAGGAACTGAAATTAGCCATCTTGTATAGGAAGCAACTTTCAGGTGTCTCGGGCCTGTAAATCGATGCAGTCCAAGTGTCGGGTCCGGGCCGTGTTGGCAAACCCGGTACGTACCTATAAGGTAGAGAGAGAACCCTACCCCAATCAACTTGGCACTAGTTTTTGCGTTGGCGATGTATGTGATCCTGCTTGAACGTCTTCTCATGGGTGTTCCTCAGACCGAAAGACTTATGTACTATCAGCCTGCAGTTTTTGCAGCAACTTCAGTTCCAAGGGACTACCGTATCGGCGAGACTATCGAAGGACCGGCGTTATTTGAAGTTCAAAGAAGCTGGATTCGGCGTTGAGCATCTGGGTTGTACCACACGGGCGTGTGAATGATATGCCTTCAACAACAAGTTGTCGTCCATTTCAGTAGGATGGATCAAACCTTTGATCGATTTAAAAAGAAATATGGTTTGGGCGAGGAGAGGTGGTAGTATCATGTATCGCCGAAGAGGAAGTACACGACAGTGTCAGCAAAGACCGACAAAAACATTGGTCGAACGTGTGTTGTTATTTACTATACGATTGCTTTTAAGACACATAATAAAAAGTCCTGAAGTACGATGACATTGATGCATAAAGTCAGTCGCTTTCGCTTTCAGCACGAGGTTGGGCCATTTGAGTCTGGGTTGGAGTTAGGTAAAGTTCCCCGCACCCGTGTCAAGCTCGACAGCTTGGCATCCATAACGGCCAGGCGGTAGGACTGGGCGAGAAAAGGCTTGTGTGGTCTGCTCCTGGGCAACCAGCTGCTGGAGCACAGCAACAGCCTGCCATTCAGCATTCTGTCGGGTGCTTCCGACTCTGGGCTGAGCTGCCCGCCCGCGCGCTCTTCACAACAATTGAACCAACGGACAATCAACGGCTACTGGACAGACAATCTCCCGCTTCCCCACCCCTCATCGCTCTCTTAGTTCATCCTTCAAAGTTCCAATCCAATTCCCACACATCATCACGCATTTGCCGCAATCGACACAAAGGCGCCCTCAATAGGTACCCACGCGTAGCTGCTTACAGACGCCGGTTCCGAATTGATGAAGCTACACCTTTGTTCAGCCCTCGCTCTCCGCCCCTCGTGTTTCCCCCTCTCTCTTCACCCAAGGTCGTGTCGGCACCGCCTTGAGAGCTTGCTGCCTACGAGTTGTCCTCTGACCTATCTTTCAGCGAGACAAGTCAAAGTCTTGGCGGGACGGCGCGTAATTCAGACATAGCAAGCCATCCACCACCGCGGGCCATTGCGTCGAGTCACCCTGCTCGGGGGGTCCAGACCACAGCGCGACCAGTCTGACGATCCCAATTCGAGCACAGCCGAGATCCATATCCTTACACGTACCGAAGCAGATATTGGACAGCCAACCGAGACAATGTCAACCACCGACACAGAGGAATCGCAACTACAGTCAGCACAGCTGCTGGTAGACGCCATGTCCAACGACCGTCGTTTCGGCCTCATCCAGGATCCGGCACTAATATCAGAGGACGACGACATGCGCAATCCGTCATCACCGGAAACGATACCCTCCACCCAGGTCGCTGACACGCCAGATGAAGTCGATAACGGTCCTTCGGGGTTCAGGTTGCGGGTCAACGAAGAGGGTCCTGTCGATACTATCATTCCCTCGTCTGTGACCCCCCCGCCTTCTTCACAGATGCCCAACGCCGCCGGGACGGGGGCCGCCACCTCGTTAGCTTTTGCAAGCTCACAGCGTTCTGGGTATTTCTCCCCTCCCGCGACGACGGGTATGTTTGGAAGCAAGAGGGAAGCCAATACTGCTCTGGAGTTCAATCCACCCGCGTCGCAAGAGATTGCCGACGCGTCTATTGACAAGCTTCGCAGCATGCTGCAGACGTGCATTGCGGAGAATGCCAAGCTGAAGATGGAGACGGCCCATCACAAATTGCAATACAACTTGCTTAGCCTCCAGGCCGACGAAGATATGAAGCGAGCGGCTGTCGAACACGAGATGACTCGCAGGGAGGTTGAAGCGCTTAGAGTGGCCGAACACACACGACAGGCACGACGCGACCTCGATGCTGCTTCGGAAACCCAGCAGACAAAGTTCATGCAACTAAAGGCCTTGTACGATCAAAGGGTGGAAGAGGTGGATTTCCTGAACCGAAAACTCAAGGCTGCTAGAAAAATCATACAGCAGAAGGAGGACGAGAACATCAGTCTCTGCGACGAACGGGAACTTCTTCTAAACCGAATTCGTGAAAATCGCGAACACTTCCAGATTCTATGCAGTCCCGGAGGCATGTTCCATGGCGCGACAATAGGGAGGCAGACAGTTGCGGTTACCGCGCCTTCTCAACCCCAACACCACACTCCACCTCGGCCGACATCTCGAACCGTCTATCGGGAAGCTCAAGCTCGCGCCGACAAGGACCACAGCAAAGGCAACTTTACCATGCTCCTTCAAGCTATCGACCAGGAAAATACCAGTGCCCCGTCGACACCTCGGGGGTTGTCTCACAACGCTGCCAGGCATACGCGAAATGCTCAGTCCATGTCGTCGCTTCCCACCACGCCCACACAGCGCCTGCGTGGTGAGACAGGCGGACTTCTGCCATCTGTCGATCTGGTGCCACAAACCGAGCCCCCGTACCGTCACAACCGATATGTGCCTGAGACACCTGTTCGATCTGCGACCCGAGACCGACGCAGGAGCCGGGAGAGCACAATCTCCGCCGAAGATAACGAGGAGCTCGCTCGCCAGGCTCTCCAGTCAGTAGCAGCCGCTTCTTTTGCCTCCCGTAGCTCGCAGCACCAGTTGGGTCCTATGCAACGAAACCCGACCAATGAGGAAGAAGAGGAAGCCTTTGAGAGCCAGGCCAGCCAAGCTGCGACGCAGATGCTTCGTCGTGACCCCCGAGAGAGCTTTGAGGTAGCTAGCTCGGTTGAGCACTCGCGGAACGGCACGCCAGCGCCAGCGGATAAGACTGCAAAGCTGCAGGCGAAGCTGTTCGGCGGGCTCAATAAGAGTGGGGTGTCGAGCGGCGAGAAGCGCAAGTTTGCCGGACACGGTGACCCAATAGAAGAGTTCTCACTGCGGGATAGGTTGAGCCCGACAAAGAAGCTGAGGACCGTTGGGGGGCTGCGCGATCCGAGCAAGGTTGGACTTGGGATCCAGTACAGCCAAGACGCATAGTGTCGAGATTGTTGGCTCGCTTGCATTACGCCTCAACACCAACGTTTAATATCTTATTTCTTTGCTTTCTGTCGTCCCAATCTTGGCTGATGTTGGATTATCGCTTTGGATTATGAAGAATGTCGGACCGGTCTGAGAGCATTGTTGGCCTGAACTCGTTATGTATGGTGTATTGCCTCACGGCAATCTTTGCAAAGGAATGATGCATTTGCCAGGTGGGAAGAAAAGGGACATGAGGACAGTCAACTTCGCCTCTCAACATGGTTTGAAGAACGGGCTGTTGGATACAGCGAACGAGAGCATATACTTCTGTACAGTCAGTCATTATTGGACGAGGGTGTATTGAGTTTTAAGTTCTCCTTCTCTGGGCTCACAAATCGTTGCTATTTGTTTGCTCCGTGTTGTTCTACCCCTGGTTTTTTGCTGACATCACTGCGTCTTGGCTTTACCAACGCTTTGTTCACTCTTATAAGGCTGATACGCAGACCCTTTCTGTCCGCTTCTTGGATCACTATTCTTTGCGATGTTGCTGTGTGGTAGATTCGTAGTGCACGGGAAACTTCAACAGGAGGCTAGAAGTGGGACTATAGATCTTCCCCCGGGCTCACTGCTGCCGAGTTACATTGCCGCCGCTGAACCCCCCAAGGTCCCCTTGACCCCGCTGCCGGGCGTGTCATCTCCACTGGAATTCCCCATTTTCCCCATGATTCCTCCATTCCCGACCTTGGAACCCGGCGTGTAAGAGGGCCTCGAGGGTGACAACCTCTCCCACCGTGCTCCGTTCGGTTGTCCAACGCGACGGGCGGGCAACGGGTCGCTCTCCGATCTCGTCCTTGTTAATCCGGCGGTGTTCGGATGCTCGGTTCTTCCTTTCCTTTTATCCTAACAGTTTTCCCGTCTTTCTGTTGTTACTCATCTTCTCTTCTCTGCTTCGTGGTCTTTGCTCGCCAGTTTTTGTATTGTTTCGTGATACCCTCAGTTCTGTCTCATCTACCTATCTCCGGTAACTAGTGTAGCGTATTAGCTAGCCGTCTTCACCTTTAACAAAGCACGGCACACGAACAGCAACTGAAACGGGTTCGCCTTTTCAAGCAAATCACCAACGACAAGTTAACCAAACCCGCCAACCACCAAATCAATCACAATGGGCGTCCTACCAAAAGGCCTCTCCTCCGTCCTAGCCAAAGCGCCCACTGACGTCGTCATCCTCTCCTCTCTCCGCACCCCCATCACCCGCTCCTACAAGGGTCACCTCAAGGATGCCTACCCGGAAGAGCTCCTCTCCGTCGTCCTGCGCGCCACCCTCGACAAAGTTCCTGAGTTGAACCCGTCCAAAATCGAAGACGTCGCCGTCGGCGTCGTCCTCTCCGAGCTTGGCGGCTCCAAAGCCGCCCGCATGGCCCTGAACCACGTCGGCTTTGATTCTTCGTCTACTTCCCTCTACACCGTCAACCGCGCCTGCTCCTCCTCGCTGCAAGCCATCGCCTCCATCGCGGCCTCGATCCGCACCGAGGCTATCGATGTTGGCATTGGCGCCGGCATGGAGAGCATGACGCGCAACTACGGCTCGCGCGCGATCCCGACTTCGTACTGGCCTGCTCTCAAGGAGAGTCCCGTCAAGGACGCGCGGGACTGCGTCATGCCCATGGGTTTGACTTCGGAAAACGTCGCGAGCCGGTATGGTGTCTCGCGCGAGGATCAGGATGCGTTTGCCGTCAAGTCGCACCAGTTGGCAGCGCAGGCGCGCGCTGAGGGCAGGTTCAAGGAGGAAATCGTTCCGGTGACGACGCAGTACCAGGAGGTGGATAAGGCCGGGAACAAGGTGGGCGAACCGCAAACTGTCACGGTGACGGAAGACGACGGCATCAGGCCGACGGCGTCGCTGGAGGGCATGGCGAAGCTGAAGCCTGCTTTCAAGCCGGACGGCGCCAGCACGGCGGGTAATTCGAGCCAGGTCAGCGATGGTGCGGCGGCGACGCTGTTGATGAGGAGGAGCACGGCCACGGCGTTGGGATTGGGAGACCGCATTATCGGCAAGTTTGTGGCTGCCAACACGGTGGGGTGTAAGCCGGATGAGATGGGCATTGGCCCCGCGGTGGCTATCCCGAAGCTGTTGGGCCAGCTGGGGTTGGAGAATAAGGATGTGGATAGGTGGGAGATCAACGAGGCTTTTGCCAGTCAGGCGATTTACTGCTTGAGGGAGCTGGGTCTTGAGGAGGCTTGGAAGGATGGTAAGGTTAACCCGGATGGTGGTGCGATTGCTTTGGGTCACCCCTTGGGTGCCACTGGTGCGAGAATGGTGAGCACCTTGTTGCATGGTCTCGGAAGGACGGGTGGTGAGGTTGGTGTGGTCAGCATGTGTGTTGGCACTGGCATGGGCATGGCTGGTGTCTTTGTTAGAGAGTAAGTTTGGGATTGTGTAAAGCTTTTGTACATTTACTGGGACGCGATATCATGGATGATAAACGAAGTCTGAAACGCAACCAACTCTCATTTTATAAGCCGAGTTCGATCAGTGAATTCGTACTGCGAAGGCTTCGTTGCTTCTACCAAAGCGTCATACAACACCGAAATTTGATGTGAATCGCTTTTTAGCGGTAGAATTCAAATGATTTGATCTATCTAGTTGCGTTTCTACGTCTGCTCTGGAACTTCGTGATTTAAAACCAGAGCACCATAGCCCAGAGTAGTGTTCCTTCCCCATCGTTACCATCCATTAAGTTGCTACTCTACCACTCCCAGTGTGGTTTTCTTTGCATTTCCTAAGCAAACCCGTTGCCCAGATCGCATAGGTTAGAGATTCAACCAGCCTCATTTGTTACCCTTTAGACTCTGGTTGCTGAAGCTTGGCTTCAACGACCACCATAAGTATACTGTTCGAAAGAATGCACCCAGATGCCTTCAACCACAGTTACACCTACTGTCCAAATATGGTCTTCAACCCCAGCATACCAGCAAGTCGTCCACTCAGGTGTGAACTCGAGGCTTCTGGTCAATCCGAGTCAACAATTTCCTCCTTGATCTTCGTGCTATCCTCCACTAAACCAGAATTGAGATGAAGTTCAATAATCGAATCAAACGAATCCTCCGCCATTGTATCGTCTCCGTCATTCACCAAAGCTCCCAAGCTGAAAATTGTTGGGATCTCGCTCTCCTTCACACAACCCGTCTTCGCACCCTCATCCTGATCCAGTTCCTCCACATCGTGCATGAGAACATCACCCGGGCTCATGTCCCACGCAAAATACCATCGATTGAGCATCGGCCTGATTTTCTCTTGCAAGCCAATCTTCTGTTTCCTCAACTCCTCCGAGACGCCGGCTTCGTTGATTTCGCTGCCGTCGCCCTCCAAGCCTTCCATGCTATCATCAACCTGCTCCTTCTCATACTCGACGATATTGTCCATGATAAGACTGACCTCAGCCTTTAACTTCGCCAATCCTATCATCCAAATCGTTTCCAGTCGCTTCGGAAATTTGTTAACCTCCTCGGCCACTACCTTCTTCAACTTGGCCACCGCATCCTTGTACGTCTTGTTGTCTTTATGAGTAGAGAACGCTCTCAATATCTTATGCCGCTTTTCCATGGTCCCTTTTCCCTTGAGCTTCGGGTCTGAGGCTCTCTTGAACGTCGTCTTCCATTTGGCCTTGATATCAACCGCTAGCTCCTTGTGCACATCATCAGCATTGATAGCGACGTCGTGGAGTGCTTGAGCAACTTGATCTTTAACCTGCTCCTTGATGATTTTCAGGCTGGGGACCTTGGACGCTAGGTAATCCTTCTGCCTAGGGAATTGCTTCTTGAGAACGGTGAGGATAGTGTTAATGCGGTGGTCCCATCTGGCGTCAAGTTCGACAAGCGCGGAGCCTTCGAGAAGAGGAAGTTGTTCATGGAGAGAATGTACCCATTGGGAGCAAATCTGATTCTTGAAAAGGTGGGAGAGCCCTTCCATCCAGTCGAACGTCTTTTTCTGGCCCCCAGCGCGGCTGCAAAAGACGCCGCCGCCAGCTTTGATAATGGCAAGAAATGTGCCGTAGTGGAGTTTCTTATGCGGGTTCTCGCCTTCAGGGTCTTTGTAAACCCAATTTTTCACATGGTCGACACATTGCTTGATGCAAGTGTCCATTGCTTCGTTGGTGTCTTTGAGGGGGTTGCAGTCAGAAACTTGTTTGGAAAGTTTCTTCTTGTAAGCTCCGAGTTTCTATGCGTCGTACAGAACGAGTTTGTGTCAGTACGTTTAGTCATGATGGGGATTGTAGGTACAGCTTAAAAGGACACTGTAATTCGTTGACTCACCTTCTCCAGCAGCCTGTACTCTCCGTCTAGATACTCTTCCCGCAACTCATCCGGCGTCATGTGCAGTTTGATTCTCTCGCATTCCTTATCAGACCATGTCTGTAGGTTATAGTAGAGGCCAATAAGTCTGTGGAGGAGCGCCTTCATATGGCGCTCCCTCTGTGGAATCGTGGCCTCGTACAACCAGCCTTTAAGAGCTGGAATGCCTGTGTAGGCTTCCTCAGGAAAACCCATAATGGGGTCTTCGGAGATTGCATCGGGGTCATCCTCGATTTTCCTCTGCAACGGCCAGTACGCCCTGACGCTGACGGGAAATATCTTCGGCGGACAGAAGGGTGCTTGCGCACCAGGACAGCTCTTCATAAAAATAGCATGTCGATCTTTGAGATAACGGTTGATCTCGATTGCTAAGAGGGCGCTTCGAGATTGGACTGCCGTGAAAACCTGTCCCCAGTGTGCCCTCTTTTTCTCGCATTTGAGCTCTCTCTGGCGCTTCAGATGACATTTTCTTTTGTCGTACAGCTTTCTCAACTCCTCGAGCCTATTCCTTTTTTCCTCTACGCTGACCTTCGTGTTCGGTTTCACGGAACCGAGAACTTTGTTGATCTGAGGCCGAAGTTGTTTCAGGGCGGTGTCTTCAGCATTGAACTTCTTTCTCAGGTCTCTGACCATTTTAATATCCTTCTGCCTTTTCTCGTTTCGTGCTGTAGTCTCCCAGTCAACACCATCGTCGGCCTTAGAAAGCACGATGCAGTAACCATGGTCGTCGAGCTTTCCACTCATTCGCATGTTTATCTCCTGGTTCTCTGTCATCAGGTTAACCGCTGTCTTTTCACCGGCTGCTCGGACAGAAGGTGTGACGACAATGGACACTGTCAATTTGTTGTAAAACTTCCTGGCGACGGCCGCTCGGGTCTCCACGATTTCACCAAGGCCTGGCAAATCGACTAAGACGATTCCTCCACGGAGGACTTCCGACTTGACATAAACTTTGACGTGGTCAATCAAAGGCCAGACGGCCATTTCACGGGTCTCAGCGCCCGCTCTCCCCGTAATCTCCGTCGTCGTCGCATCTAGGTACGGCTTCACCGCTGGTGCAAAAGTCTCAAGATCCGCAGCATTGATTGTTTTTGTTGTGCTGAGCAGCTTCACTGCTGGATCAGTCTTGGCCAGAAGATCCTGCGTGGACTTGCTCTCCAGTTCGATCCGAGTGTAACCCCAAACAGGTCCGATCTTTTCGGCAGTGGCATTGATTCTTTCGGTAATCTCCCCAATGTCACTGTCGTCAGAGCCGTCTCTGTCATCGTCATCTTCTTCATATTCTCCCCTGCCATTCAACAGCTGGTCCCGCAACTTGATGTCTTGGAAAAATTGGTTCAGCTCATGTTTGACATCCAAGAGCTTGCGAAATGTAATTTCCGCACGAAAGGCCTTCTTCGGATCGTCGGAATAGTTATAGGCAACCTGACAAATTGCAGCTGTGGCAACGAGAGCGTCGTTGGGCGGTAGGAGGTCCTTGTATCCGAGGAGTGCATTTAGCAAAGATGTCTTTCCCGCTCCAGTCTTTCCCTGTACGCCAACGAGGATCTCAAATTGCTTGTGTCCGTCGTTAATTTCGTCTTGCATTGGTCAGCATTGCCCGCATAGAATCAACGTTTAGGTACTACAGGCACTCACCTGCGTCCTTAAGCCACTGCTTGAGATTCGCTCTCCCGAGTGCCTCCGCATCAGTGCCGTCTTCATCAACATCATCCGTCCCTGGAACTGCCTGGTCAATAAGCTTGGCAATCTCAGAGGAGTACTTGAGGCCAGCGTCAAGGCAGTCCTCAAGCATCCGCATGCGAGTTGGCAGCGGGAGAACATCGAGGGCGTCGATGCTCCGAATCGGGTCAACCGTATCGGCCAATGACATTTTGAGGCTGCCCACCTTGAACGCTCGTTGGCTTTGTTGAAAATGAGTGATAGGTGAGGTTGTTTCAGATGATGAGGAAGTAAGAGGATCGGTGTAATATTGACGAATTCACCAAACGGTAAGTTTGGGCAGCTCAAGTTGAGAGAACTAATACGACTGAAAGATGAGAAATATCTACCCGGCCAATACTGTGTTTGAGAAGGGAATGAAGGGCGACAACGAAGATAATTCTGAGATGTCAAGATTTATATATTGTGGTGTTGAAGAAAGCTGAGAAGTTGGGCTGTGCAGGTGGAGATGTAGAAGGAAGATCTGGAGAAGAAATCGGGAAGAGAAGACGTCAATATATAGATCGTGAGAGGGCGAGGGGAAGAGAAAGAGAACAGGGAAGAGGAAGAGCAAAGAGAAGATATATTCCGTGAGAGGATAGAGGAGAAAAAGAAGGATCGAGAAAGGACAACAAGAGAGATCAAAACATAGCCCGCAAGAGCATAGAGGAGGAGCTCGGTAGATACAAGTTGGTGGTTGGGATGCCCAGGGTGCTAAAGTTTGATGTCGAGGTCAGGCGGAAGGACTTGAGACAGGATGGAAGATGGAATGAGAGGAAATGTGATGTTTGATGGCGTCTGATATAGCTTGCACATACCCCATGAAGGAAATATGCGCGAGTTGACACCGTACCAGACCAGACAGAAGTGAAGTGGCGTTGTTGAAATCAACTGCTTCCTTTATGTCTGGGTGATTCATCGGAACGAGATACCATAGTTTTTCAGTGCATACCGAAGTCACTTGTAGGGTCGGCTCCATGACGGGATTCGCAAGGGTCGAGACACACACACACAAATATTCCCGCCGTACTATGGGATTGACGATAGCTTCAAGCCGCGCCACAGAGATCGTGGAGTAATGACCATCGCGAGAGAGCCGTCTCAGGCTGGTGGCAGACTTGCAAGAGGGAAACCGGATGAAAGATGGAGCGTTTACGTTGCAAAGAAGCTAAGATAGAATGGCACCGTCAGAGACGAACAGAGGTAGTTGAATTTTCAGATGGAATATACCGGCCGTCTCACCTAGTGTCCATCGGCATCTCTCCGTCGACATCGAGCTTACGGTGACATATCCTTGATAGATTGATGACACTGCACATCTGGTGGAAAACGACTGCGTGGAGAATTTCTTTTGGCAGACAAGTGATGATCGGTTGATTGAGAGAGAAATCTTGACGAGTGTCGTGTGCTCCAAGAGCTTTCATGCCCTTCCCCATCAACCATGCATCGCGCCTTCCCGCTGCTAAAACACAAACCGTAGCACAAAGCACTAGGCAAATATTCAAATGTTAAAATAATGTTACGATTCCCATACCATTACGTACAGGATAAAATACACAAATTCCAACGATGCATCGCAATGCTGCCCAAAACCTCACAAATTGCGTCGTAATTGACTTGCTGATAAAAAAAAAAAAACCAAACGGGCTGAAACCGACCGACCGCACACCTCCGACCGCCGCCTGGTATCCCGTAAAGCAATGCATGTTGTGTGAAAGCCAAAAAATCAATAGAAAACCCCTCTCAAGTAGTTGAAGTGAAGTTCGTTCTGCCCGGGTATCAAATTCAAGTTGTGTCGTCAAATATAGTCGTACAGTCCCGTTATAAAAAGAGGACGAAATGGATGCCGTTAGGGCATGATGGCTGAGTGGAGGTTGTAGCGAGTAGCTGAGTAATCGCAAGTAGAGACAGTGATGTATGTAGGTTCATGTCGATGGGATGTATCGATGTTTGTCTCTTGGATCGGCCCAGTGAAGGTGCTCGAAAGGGGTGGATGCGATGGAGCTTAGACGCAGGAGGAGCACTGGTGGTGGGCGCAGTGGCAGCAGGAGTTGCTGATGACGAGCATGGTCTTGCACTGGCAGCAGCGAGGGGCCATGGAGGGAACGAGGACGACGGGGGTCTTGACTTCCATTTCTACAGAAAGCATATGTAAGCGGTTGTTCCTGACTGGGGTCATGTACTCCATGAGTTGACTTACTGAGTGAGTGAGGAGGGCAGTAGATTTGAATTGTGGTTAAAGTGTTGTTGTGGGTTGGTAGTACCAAGCAGCTGGATTGCAATTTGGAATTTTTTTGATGATGGAGAGAAGAGGGTGCTCAAGAACAAAGACGTTCAACACAATGGAGGTGGTGGGAGAGGGATATATAGACGTGGAAGGCTGAGCTTTCGTCCGATATCAGTGGCAAACGTTGACTGAAAGTAAACCGTAACAAAAAAAGAGAATGACGAATCAAAGAAAAGATGGGATTCCCTATCAGTCTCTCGGACGCCGCATCTCGGAGCTTCATGCCTTGCCAAGCTTACGTAGCTTACCACCTTGACCAGCAAAAACTTTATTGGAGATCCTCCAGAATTCCCCCCCGCCGCCTATCATGACGGTGGGTGTGAAGCCTCCGGATCGGGAAAAAGCCCTTGAATACGGGAGAAATAGGAAACAAATCGCATGCTTGGCCTGGCCACAGATGGACTTACACAGTTAGTGTACCCTGCCGCTCGTGTGGACACGGCTTGCCGCAGCGAGCTGGGCAGATGTGTGGGCAGATGGTGGGATGTGGTGCGAAACCGGGGAGATCCCCCCCATATTTTCGAGACAATTGGAGCTTCTTGGCCTTGGGGGGGAGCTCATGTCGAGGACGGAAGCCAAGTAAACGCTAAAGTTACAATATGCACCAGCATCTGCAAGTGGGCCACAAGTGTGCTGCATCACTGCCCTTGGTGCGTTAGTGGATGGTTGGGGGTGCAGTGATCGGAGCCTTCCCCGCAATTCTTAAAGCCGGACTGGGGTGTTTTGACGCTCGGAACGGCTGGGGGAGCTGGGTCTACTGTGTACATTACATACTGGGGAGCGAGGATTGGGACGACCAAAGAAGATGGAGGACTTCCGCTTGTCTACAAGACGTCCAATGAGAGCATGCGATGAGCTATGCAGATTTGGTAAACGCTTATTTCAGAAAGAGGCGTGGGGGAAAGGGTGTGAGGGTCCTCTGATAGTCGAGTCCAGTCCCAGATTCACTCCAGGGTATTCATCGCGAGGCGCCGGTGGCTGAAGGACGGTAAGACGGGTGTTTGCAGAACACAAACGTCTCAAAGAGCGTGGAACCGGGGTTGTCCGTCAGTCGATTTTCGGACGCTTCTTTGTCCCCAACTGCCCATCCAACTGCCATATCAACCCACCATCCCATTCGTCAAGTTTTGGACATAGGCTGATGGTGCTAGGTAGGTGGTGCTTGTTGGTGGTAATGATGGTGTACCACACGCATGCGTTGGTAGAAAATAAAGAAAATGGCGCCGTCGTCATCGCGCATAAAGTGGATTCCACGGGAACGAGGAGGCCAAGACAGTTAGGACCACGACTCCGAGGATGGAAACTTTCGGAGAGGCAACATTCGGCGTCTACCTACGTAGGTAGTGTGTGATGTCTTTGGAGCGAAACGGAGCACATGCCCAACTACTTAGTGTACGTGTTGTCGTTCTGTTGACCACGTGTATGACGATCAGGATTATCCCGTGTACTAGTGTAGTGCTGCTGCTGTAGTGTAGTCTATAAATCCTGCCAACAACTGCTACGACTTTTCGTATATATTTGCCTTGTTGGCAGGGAACGGAAGTCGTCGAACGCCGAGTTGGCCGGAATCCACTGAATCAGGGCAGTGGTGGTTTGCCAAGATGCATCGTTTTTTGGCTTACTTCGTCAAGCGCCAATGACCTTGGCCAAGCCAACCCTGACTTTTGAGGCTTAGATGCGCCCAAAGACCAAAAAATGTCCACAAAGGGCGAATGCATAGACATGGTTCAATGGGCGTCTTAGCTAATCCATGGGAAGCATAACCTTTGGAGACAACTTTGGGTCACGGTAAATCCCGCCAGGTTCGTGAGCGAAGAACAAAGGAAGTGAACTGTTCGAAATCGGATTCCAACACAAAGTTTCGTCATGATGGGGGGGAAAATGGCCCGTCTACGGCGTCGTGCAAAAGCACCACAAAGCCGTGGGGAAAACGGGACCACCTGCCACATGGATTGGATGCTTGCGGGGCTCGCGGGGAACATCAAAAGTGGAGAAGTCTTGCAGTTGCCCCACATGGCGGGGTGCACGACCCTTCACTCCATCCCATTTCCTTCCTTCGTGACACAGACAGACTCCCTTTCTCTTTTCGCTGTGGATTGCTCCAGTCCAAAGCTTAACATCTCGCTTCAGGGCGTCACCATTCAGCCTCACGTCCTGCTGCCTGCCAACGACATGCCCGGAAGAGGGACCGATGTGTGCAGCTATCTTTCCAGCGTGTTTGTCAGGCCTTTGCCGGGTTGCCGACGCCAAGGGATCCCGGTCATCGACGTTGGACTCAGCCAGTCTCATCGCAATCGAACAAAGAAAGCCGATTGGCTCTTGTGCTGCGACACACTCGAGGCAACACAGCAGCAACATGCAAATCGGTATTCACTGCCACTGATTCGGTCATTGGTCAATTCCTCATTTTGCAAATAATTGTTTTGTCCACCAAACCCCATAAAAACCAGCTTTGATTGGAATATGCGCTGTGTTGCCAAGCGCTGGGCGATTTTCAAAGCCGCCTCTTCTCCGGATAGCGGCCCTCACTGGTCCCGGTTCTATGGGTCATTCTCGGTCTTTTCTCCGGGTGAGTAAACGGACGAATAACGAAAGACCGTCTCGGACCTCGGCCATGAGCCGTATCGTTCTCCACACATTCTACCAGTTCGATCCATAGTACACTAATTTCTCAAGGAAGGCAAACGCTTCGAGGGATGAACTAGTCTGCTAACTAAGTTGGCTGCCTCTTTACGTTTGAGCAGATCGTGGTTGTGACTTTATAAGCGCTGTCTTGTATCAGACAAAGCGTCACATGTTTGTTGGTCTGAGCTGCATCTGATGGGCATCTGATGGTGATTCATAACCGCAGGACCAACGAACCTTTTCGTCAGCGGTTCAAGAAACAGCAGAGCAACTTCCTTATATTTCGGTGCATGCACTTATCGACTGGGACCTTGTGCTTTGACACAACATCTGCAACGGCAACACCGTCACATCGTCACATTTATCTCGAGGTAGAAATCGTAGGTAGGTACCAACCTGAACATCTTCAATACCGGCAGTGTGGTTCTTATCAGTTGCACACAGATACACAACTGTCCAGTCACATCGGCGTTCTGCCGTCAGCTTGGCCCCCAACAACCTGCAGCCTTTCGGATATCTTCCGAAACACCTTGTCGCCTATCAAACTTCTCAAACAAACCTAACCCATCCAATCTTTCCAACATGGCCGCCCCGATCACCATCCCCATAGTATCCGCACCATCACCCTCACACTCAATCTCGCCAAGCTCCAGCTCAGAAATTCGACCCGTCGCCCCTAACCTCGAAATTCACCCCCTCCCTTCTCACACTTCCGGTCTCCTCCTCCGCGTGATTCCCCCTCGGTCTCCCCCCAACCTTCCAGACCCAAACTTCCACCATGTCCCCTGCGACATCGTCCTCGCCATCGATGTCTCAGGCAGCATGTCGGCCGACGCCCCGGTGCCCACCACCACTTCTGCCGACTACACAAACGAACAGCCCGAGCACAACGGCCTCTCAGTTCTAGATCTAGTCAAGCACGCAGCCCGTACCATCGTCTCCACGCTCAACTCCTCGGACCGTCTAGGCATTGTCACTTTTTCCACCGAAGCCAAAGTCCTGCAACCCTTGATGCCCATGACAGCGCTCAACAAGAAGAAAACAGAAAGAAATCTAGGCGGGATGCAACCCTCTAGCGCGACGAATCTGTGGGGAGGGATCGTGGAGGGTTTGAAACTTTTTGACGGACAAAGTGGCAGGATGCCGGCGCTGATGGTCCTGACGGATGGCATGCCAAATCACATGTGTCCGGCGCAGGGGTACGTGGCGAAGCTGAGGGCGATGGAAACGTTGCCGGCGGCGATTCACACGTTTGGGTTTGGGTATAGTTTGAGAAGTGGGTTGTTGAAGAGCGTGGCGGAGATTGGAGGGGGTGGTTACTCGTTTATTCCGGATGCGGGGATGATTGTAGGTGTTTCCCTTTCTTTCTTCTTTTGGTCATGGAGGATGGTTGGTGACCTGTTCTGGAGAGTGAATTGCTGACTGCGAGACTAGGGAACTGTGTTCGTTCACTCGGTTGCAAACCTCCAGTCAACGTTCGCGAATAATGTGGTTTTACGCCTTACCTACCCCAAGTATTTGGGTCTTGAGGAGACAACGGGAGAATCGGTGGACAAAGTAGAGTCTGTCCAGCTCGAGAAGGGGGATGTTGACCCCGACTCATCGATGCAACTCACCCTCAACCTCAGCACCCTTCAATACGGCCAGTCCCGCGACATCTTCCTCCGTTACGACAGCAAGGCCCAGGATGCCATTGCCGACGGTTTCGACTTTGAGTCCCCTCCCTCCGTGTTCGCCACGCTCGATTACCAACACTTCACAAATATCACCAACACCCTGATTTCAGAGTGTAATGACATCTTCCGACCAAATCCCCAAGTCAAGCAGCTAACCACCGCGCAAACGGCCTACCACATCTCCCGCTCCGCCCTCATCTCCTTCCTTTCCTCCCTTCACCGCCTTCGCCCCGATGGCGAACACCAACCGCGCTCCTTCAACCCCGGCCTTGCCACCTCCCTGCAAACCTTTCTTTCCACCCTGCCCGCCGCCCAACCCGCCTTCGCCTCCGATCCGCACTGCCGCTCGCTAGTCCAAGACCTCATCGGCAGCAAGTCCGCCATCAACGACGCCAACCAAGACGGTCAAGTTGCCCTGGCCCTGACCGAAGAGGACTTTTACAACCGCTGGGGCATCCACTACCTACCTTCTCTCGCGGGGGCGCACGCCAGGCAGGTGTGCAACAGCTTCAAGGACCCTGGCCCGCTGATGTACGGCGCGGAGAGCCCGCTGTTCGTTAGATGTCGAGATCGGCTGGATGCGGCGTTTGATTCGCTGCCGGCGCCGAAGCCGAGTAGGACCACGGGGTTCCAGGGCGAAATTAGTATGCGGGCGTATAATAGCAGTGGCAATCCTTGCTTTGCTGGGGAGATGAGGGTGAGGGTTGGTGTTGCCGTTACTGAAGATGTGGCTGCGGATAGCGATCAGTTGATGACAAAGGAGATTGAGATCAGTAAGCTGCGGAGAGGAATGATGGTGCAGACGCCAAAGGGGTTCAGGAAGGTAAGAGCCGTTCTGAAGACGCCTGTTTGCGAGGAGAGCATGTGCTTGGTTATGGCTAGGGATGAAGGGGCAAGACGACTGCTGGTTACGCCGTGGCATCCTGTTTCGCTTGATGCAAAGGACTGGGCGTTCCCAAGGGTTGTTGCGCTCGGCGACTACGTCAGTTACACCGGGGATATCTACTCGGTCCTGCTGTCAGCTGATCCGGATGTGGACGCCCATGCCATCATGGTTGAGGGCGTGTGGGCAGTCACGCTAGGCCATGGGCTGACGGGAACGGGAGAAGGTGTCGTGACAGCTGCGGAAGATGTGAGGACGCATCGCTTCTTCGGTGACTACAAGCTTGTCCTTAGGAACCTTGAGCGGTTGCAGAGCAGCCCCGATGGGTTGATTTTGGGTGAAGGTGTGGATAGAGATTTACAAACTGGTCTGGTGAAAGGGTTCAGGGGCAAGACATCGGCACCTGTCAACCACCATGGCGATTGATAACATGTTGGAGGTCATGCCAAATTAGAGGTGAACACCGATGATGGGCTGTTGGCTTCGACCGATGGGAACTAATGGGGTCCATAAATGGAATGAGGGGAATGGGAGAAGTCAAATCATGACAAATAGCCCGACTATACTTTGAGGACAATAAACAAAAAGAAGCATCCAATCAATGGCTGCGGAGTCTTCATCACTTTTGGTAAGTGTCTTGTCGGATGTGAAAGCTGCATCAAGTTGAACCCTTTTGAGACCCTTTGTGACTTATACGTCTTCCATGCAATGACGTCGCACGATTGTGCACTAGAAGCTGTTCTGCATCGATGCGATGCAAAGTCTCGAGTTCCCTCTTGACGGCAGTTTCATAGGAGTTGCAAACATGAAGTTTCAAAGGAACCAATCGGCCAGCGCCGACTTCTCTCGGTGCAAGTTGTTGACCATGATAAACGCTGTGAATGTTGTTTTATTTACCACTGTCGCGGCACCTTTCATGAACGTCGAGGACGTTTTGTAGGCAAAGACGAGCTCGACCAGACTGAGGCATCGCTGCCAATTGAAAAGTGGGGAATATGGTTGTGTGCGAACAGAATGGCAGCCGCCAGACGGCTGGCACAGGCTGGATTCTGCCCAAGCAAGGGCGAGTCTGCCCCACCGGCAGGCCGGTCGAATCACCAATCCCCACCGCCCTCCATAGGGTTTTCAAGCCCTGCCAAAAATTTGGCCAGCGACTCCTCCGTGCCGTGTTGACCTCGAAATTGCATCTGCCTTTACTGACCGGCGGCACCTCTTCGACAATCAAGAGCGCTTGATCCACAACCGTCACAATGGTGAGTACCGAATTGCTGCTGGACGATTGCGACAGCAGACGTCCTGTTATTTTTACGATGGGAAGCCAGTTTGACTGACCGCGACTTTTTTTTGGTGTAAATAGGCGATCAAGCACAACCAGCAGATTCCCAACAACCGTGAGCATCCCCATCCCGAACGACAGCCCGACAATGACGACGACGACGACGACGACTTTTGACCCCGAAAAGAACGACATGGACTGACTCGAATTTTTCAGACTTCCGCAAGGATTGGCAGAGGCGCGTCAGGTGCCACTTCGACCAGGTTCGTTAAAACCACACACAGAACGGGGGAGGACGATACTGCGAGCTGGGAACTCTGATTCTGACGGATGGGAAAACAAATAGGCTGGCAAGAAGGCTTCCCGCCGTGTCGCTCGCCAGGCCAAGGCTGCTGCTCTTGCCCCTCGCCCGGTTGACAAGCTCCGCCCCATTGTCCGGTGCCCGTTAGTACAACCTTGCATTCCGACGATATTCGAAGAGAGCGTGGAGATCTAACAGCAGCTGTGTGCAGCACCATCAAGTACAACCGCCGCACCCGCCTCGGCCGTGGTTTCTCCCTCGCTGAGCTCAAGGTACGATTGATCCGAGAGAACCCTGAGAGATGGGAATGCAGCGCGGCTCGCTGACATGGATACAAACTATAGGCTGCCGGTATCCCCAAGCTTGTTGCTCCCACCATCGGTATCTCGGTTGACCCCCGCCGCGCCAACCTCTCCGAGGAGTCCCTTGCCGCCAATGTCGAGCGCCTGAAGGCCTACCAGGCCCGCCTCGTCGTCTTCCCCCGCAAGTCCAACAAGCCCAAGAAGGCCGATACCCCCAAGGACCAGCAGACCGGCGAGTTCGTCAAGAGCGTCGAGGCCGTTTTCGGCGTCGAGCGCCCCATCGCCTCTGGCTTCAAGGAGATCCCCAAGTCCGAGCTCCCCTCCAACATCGAGGGTGGTGCTTTCCGCGCTCTACGCAAGGCTCGCTCCGACGCCAAGCTCATTGGTGTCCGCGAGAAGCGCGCCAAGGATAAGGCTGCTGCCGAGGCCGAGAAGAGCAAGTAAATTGCTCCTCTTGGACGGGGTGGTTGAAGCGGCATCTCTATGGCGGTGTTTGGCTGGTCTGGTCTCGGTTATGCTTTTCCTTGTCACCTGGGCGAGGACCACCATGTTGGACATCCTCGACCAAGGGCCGTGTAGTTCCGGGGGATTTCACGTCACTTTTTAAAGCGGGACACGGTTCAATTACTACACGCATCATAGGGATTTGCTAGAGCAGCGCACAATGAATGGACAACGGAAAAAGCATGATTCTTGACCAACTTCAATAGGTCCTTGTTTTTGGGTGATACCAATCGGGGAGTTCATACGGATTGCAACAAAAATGCCTGAGTTCTTGTTTAGTTTTTGATCACGTCTTGTTTCCCTCGTCTGCTGAACCGTTGACTCCCCTGGTGTGAAGATGCACGCCATTGTTATTTGCTAATATCAGAGTCACTGACGCCCTCTCGATCTAGTTCCCCTTCCTGTCCTCCTGCAACAACTCGGTTCCTTTCTTCAAGATCTCCTCAAACACATCCTTTCTCGGCCCCTTCAGTTCCTTCGAGTGATTCCTCAGAATCTCCGCAACCAACACCAATCCGTTCTCGCGGTCTTTAGCCGTAGCAGCAGCCGATGGCTTGGTCTCAGCCTGTTGAGGGTTGAGGTTCAGTCCTTCCATGATGGACGTCACCTCAGCTGGCTTATCCTCCTCCTTCTCATCCTTGACTTCTTCAATCCTCCCACTATCACCACTCTCGCCCTCCAAACCAGCAGCAACCTCCTCACTTCCCGTAACCGCCACCGCCAACTTCTTGACCGCCTCCGTCCCCTCGTTCAACACCCTCAACACAACACTCGCTCCTCCATCCGTTGACCGCGCAAGCAACGCCAGCACAAACAACACCTCCGACCTCAAAGCCGGGTACTTCCCCTGCGCAAGGAGATGCGTCAAGTGCCTCGCAATCAACGGGCCATGCACCTCATAAAACTCCTCGCGAGTTGTGCCCCAGTCCTTCTTATCCAGAACTTCGACCTTGTCCTCTCCCTCCTGGGCAGTAGTAGCCTGCAATGCTCTGACCACACTCATCACCCCCCTCGCCGTCTCGATCTTGGTCGGCTCCAAATCCGATCTCGCGCCAAGCGTCATCAGTAAATGGAAGTAACTCTTGACCTCTTCCTTTTCCGTATGCTTGAAGTCTGCAGCCAGGGGTTTACACAGCTTGGCGACGTTGCCGGGCGCATTCACCAACAACAGCCTCGCAAGCGAAACAGCAGCGAACTGCACCTGTGGCTGCACCGCCGTCTTGATCCACGCGCCCGCAAGCAAATCCGGCAGGAAGGCTTCGCCTATCGGGATCTTGTTGCCCTGCGGGATGGCCAAGTTCTTGGCGAACGAAAGAATGGCGTGCAGCAGCTGCGGGGTGGCGGGGACGGCGGTGTTGGAAGGGTCGAGCGCTTGCGCGAGGAGGGAAGCCAGGTGGGTGTGCACGTGGAAATCAGGGTCCGCGACGAGCGCGGTGCTGGCTTCGTCGGAGCGAGACAAGTTGCCGAGACATAGGCAGGCGGCGGTGCGGAGGTGTTGGTTTGCGAATTCTGCCGAGGATAGCCAGAGGAGGAACTTGCGGGACACGGGGCTGGAGGAGATCGGGTAGAGCTCGGAGAAGGAAGGGTGCGCGGACAGGTCAGCTAGCAAAGTGACAAAGGTCGTGCAGACGGTCTTGAGCTGGTCGAGGTCGTCCAGGTCGGGTTCGGGTAAGTTCTCATACGAGAAGCACGCGTTGTAGAAGGCTTGTTGGAGGTGGAGGATGTTGGAGGCTGAAGAGAGGAAGGCGGGTTGGAGGGATTCGTAAGTTAGGTAGGCGAGGGCGACGGTGCAGAAGCCGTTGAAGAGCTCGAGGGAGGGAAGGCCGGAGGGGGAGCCGCCGGCGAGAGCGAGGAAGACGGCGGGGGTGGAGGGGTCGGCGAGGTCGGGTTCGGGTTCTGGCGGAGTTTGTTAGCTACAAAGGGAGATTCGAATATCAAATGGCTATGCGTACTCTGAGACACCAGTAACTCGAAGATGTTGTTGATGAGATGGAGAACTTGGTCGTGATCTCCTCCCGGTTGAAGGGAACCCTCTTGCAACAGAGCTACAAGAGCTTTGCTCAGCCCTGCTTCACACACCTGAAGTTGTGCCGGCTCTAGAATAGAATTAGTTGAAGCTTCGTTTTTCCAGTGTTCGAGGGCACCGTACCATAATCAACAATGACATTGTATAAAACGGGCAACAACAAAGGAAGAAGAGACCTGTCGTTCAAAAAGCGGATGACAGTACGAAGTTGACCAGACTCTACCAGCTTGGCTCTGTTCTCATCTGTGGTATGTTTAGCTTAGGTCCGTTTTGTCCATGGCTGCATACAGAATTCTTACCGCAGTCGGCACACCCATTTCCAAGCACACGCAAACATTGACGCTTCAAGCTCAGATCCAGCTCTTCTGTTGGTAAAACTTTCAAGACGAAGTCCAGGATGCCGGACTCTCTGAGAGGATTTCTTAAACTGGCTATTTGATGAGTTGATTGATTAGTCACTGATCTTATAGAACAGCGTTTGCTGTCAGGTACTTTGAACGATCTGATATGTCCACTGAAATAAAAGGGGAAACTCACGATCTCTGACGCCATCACCGATTCTTTCCAGAAGACCGGCCAATGTGTCGAGCGGTTTATCTCCGCCATTCCAAGCGACTTCAAGCTGGCTCAACAAATTCTCATCGAGTGTAAAAGTCATTCTGTCTTCTTATTTCCGTCGCGGTATCTACCAACGAATGAAAAGAAATTGGTTGCGAACAAGCGGTGATGTTTGGGAGACAAAGGAGAGGAGGTTGAGGTGAGAGCTCCAAACAATAAGCTGAGTGGGGCTCCAGAGTGGGGAGGTCAACAAGGTACCTACAAGCTGTTACTGGGGTGAGGTATCAAGCTGACAGCAACAACTCCCTCCGTACCGTGGAATGACTGGTCCAACAGCAGTCAGTGTCTCTTTCGTTCGTCTATCACCGTGGCTTTGATCCCCTCCTGGGTATATACTTAACTTGTGATAAGTTCATCATAATTGATTGCAGCTTGAAGTCCGGTTGTAGTGCTGGCCAGTGACATACCTTGCAAGTCCTGCGCTAACACTGGAACGGGTTGATAGCTTCCCTTGTCAATTCCACAGGACTTGGTATCTAATTATTAGTATCGATTTCACAAGATTGTAAAACACAGTGGGTATGATGTCAACCGCGGAGAAATAGTTCAAGAATTCTAGCCCGTGGGCGTGAATCATTTGATAGCCCAAAGCTTTCACGTTGAACAGATAGCTCGTGCGTCCTCCCATATTCAGGGGTAATCATCAAAGCAGCGCAAAACGACAAGAGGGTATACAACAAGAAAAGACACCCGTATATGCTACATGCCACATTATACACTTTACCGGTACACAGCAGTAGCCACTGCGACCGAGTAGGGAGACGGCTACACGTCCATCTTTTGGGCGCATAGATAGTATACACATGGCCGGCGCCGCATCGATCCCGGCCAGGATCATCTGTAACCATCGCCAGACCCACACCTGCTGCGCTCACTTTACTGCCAACCACAGAAACCACTCCTTACTGCTTGCTACCAAGCCACTTGAGCTCGACATACTTGCCGTGGTTACCCGTACCCAAAACAGGAAGCTCACGCTTCTGGAGCTCCTTCTGGATGACCTTCCAGCGACCAACCATCTTCTCCTTGTCTACAGGCGTGACTCTCCTGGGGTACACCTTGACGTTCGGGAGCTCGGGCAAGATGCTGCTCTGCTCGATCTGCTCAGCAAGCTTCTTGGGCTTGGGAGGAGTGACGAGAGCATCCATAAAGTTGGCGACAGTCTGGATGCTGGTGAGTTTGCCGTCGGAGAGGATGTGACCGGTCATTTTCTGGATGCGCTTGGCAGCCTATATCGAATGGAAAGCTTCTGTTAGCTAACTTGTCATGGATGATAGAATTTGGAACTAGACGTACGTAGAATTTGACGACAGGGTCCCGGATGATAGCCTCCTTCCAGTCGTTGTTCCAAGACTTGCGGAGCTCGACGGCCTCATCGACAGTCAACTTGACCAGGGAACCCTCCTCGCTCTTTAAACGATAGCCGAGCTTCTTGCCCTCCTCGAGCAACTGCTTGGCCTGCTCCTTCTCGCCGAGAGAACGTAGCCTGTTTATCTCCTCCTGCCACTCGCGCTGGTAATAGGTCTTTTCCGCCGCGTTCCGCATGAGAATCCAGACCTTCTGCAAGTCGCTTTCGTTCTTGAGCGATAGCTCACCGTTCTCCCCACGGCACATCTCCACAGAGACAGTCCTCTGCCAGTGATCGCCGTTGCCGATAATGGACGCCATATCCGCTGGGTTCTTGGGGCTGGCGCCGAACTTCTTCAGAGCCAGACCCTCGACGAGCGCCCTCCTCAGAATGACCTTCAACAGCCTGGGGTCTGTGATCTTCTCTTGCGGGGCAAAGCCCTGGTATTCGAACTGCTTCCCGCCATCCCTGAAATGCTCCGGTTTGCTCCACCAGTCGGACATGCCACCGATCTCTTGCAGCCCCGCGCCGGACGTGGCGGGCTCATAGTTGGGGTCTCTGATCTTCTCTGGGGCGTCGGCCCGCGTGGGTTGTCCTGGAAGAACGAGATTGACCTGCCTCTGGGTTTCGACGAATCCTCCTTTCCTCTTCCTCTGTTGTTCAACGGTTTCGGTGGACTCGGTCGCGGTTTCGGCGGCGGCGGCGGCTACCGGCGCTTCGGGAGTAGTCTCGGGAACAGTCGAGGCGCATCGGCGTTGTGTCTGGACGGTGTTTTGCCAGACGCGGTTACGGGTGGCGGAGATTTGTGTCGAGAAGTTGCATGACTGGCAAGTGGAAGAGAGGTCGGCAGCGGCCCTCAGGGTGCGAAGGGGAGCGGCCGATGTGGAAGCGACAGACGACGAAGAGCTGCACAGGGCAGAGGCCGTGGACGGTATCCTCGGAATGCGGCGCATGGCTGGTGTGTTGAGGTTGTAACTTGCGACAACGGCAAGGTGCAATGGGTTGTCCGGGGGGGTGGTGACCGGGTTGGCGATTGCGTTCGCGGGTGCGGACGGGGCGACAATATAATCGGGCAACGAGCGGGCGACTCGAGGCGCGACGGATGGAGTCTTTGCCGGTCAAAAAAATCGAGCCCCGTTCTGCCCGTCCATCGGCCCAGTTGCCGGCCCAGACACACCCCGGTCGGCCAGCCGGGGCGGGTGCTTGGCACTGTGGCAGCCACTGAACAGTCTTCAATTGCGCGCAGAGTGCTCCCCTCCAGCTGTTGACGGTTCCAGTCGAGCTTCCGACCCCGCGATTGAAATTCAGCCACATCTACTGGTGGCTGAGTGAGAAGCTAGCGGCCGGGTAGCTCGTAGCGGTTCGCAAGCTTCCGGCCAAAAAATCTCTTGAATTGGATGATCGGATGGGCTCCCGGCAACATCTACAAACTCCATATTTCCCCTACCTCGCCTGTCCAAAAAGTGTCAGAGCTCACCCGAGAGCCCCATATTGCCCTTTAGCCTCGTCCGGACCCGACTACTCGACCTCGACGCCGATTACATACTTGCCCAAACCGGACATCCTATAAATATACTTCAAAGCCGATTCAATGGCGCCCCCGTCGAACCCCCGCAGCGTCTCGGACGCGACACGCTTCACGCCCACGACTCCCCATGCCAGCTCCAAGTCTGCGGATCCCCGGCTCAACACCCCCAAGGGCTCGTCAACAGGTCCCAAGGAACCCAAGATGCCCGGCACACCCAAGTTCGTCGAGACACCAGAGCAAAGGGTTGCGCGGTTAAGAGCTGCGCACTTGAAGGCGAAGCAGGCGCAGGTTTCGAGAATGGACCGGATCATCGACGGCAGCAGACGCTTCTTCGACTCGGCTCACAAGGTCACCGTCTTGGGGTTGATTGGTTTCACAGGTTAGTGCAGTCCAGTCTGGCCCCTCTCTCTCTTGCCGCGTTTCCCACCACTTTCCCGCAAGCAACCCGGTACCTAGTTCCGGGCCATGAGATCCAAGAACGAGAAACTAACATACGTCATAGTGATGGCCGGCTTGGTAACTGCCTACACCGCCGCCGACATGATAATCTACAACAAGAACCGCAAGGCCGAGTTCATCGAGGCGCAGAAGAAGATGGAGGCCGATTCGCTCGAGGCCGCCCGCCTGGCCTACATTACCGGCAAGGCGACCGAGGAGCAGACTGCGCTGGTGGAGGAGTACCTGGAGAGTGAGCGCGAGGCCGGCCGCCCGAAGCCCTCCATCTTCTCCAAGCTCCCCAGCGTCATCGGCGCCCCGACTCCCATTACGAACGAGACGACAGAGCAAACGACAACGAGCGTATCAGAGGCGGCGACGTGGCCCGCGGCGACAACACCGAAGACGACCGAGGAGCAGCAGCTGCAGCAGCAGCCTGCAGCGGCGGAGGAGAAGTCTGGGCTATGGGGCTGGCTTACCGGCTCGCTGAAGAAGGAGGATGTTGCTGCGGGTGCGGGACAGCAAGCCCCCACGTTGGTCGGCGCTGTGAAGCAGGAGACGAGCGCCCTCAAGGAGAAGGCGCAAGCGGCGTTTGAGAAGGAGAAGGAAAACCAAAGGAAGGGTGGCCCCCTTGACAAGGTGGGCCTGCCTGAGCAGAAGTGAGCGAGCTGAAGCAAATCGAGGAAAAGTCGAAGAGTCCATTCTCCGGGGCGGGCGATCTGAAGATGGAGCGGTCTTTCATGATTATGAGGGACAAGGTGAGGAGTGAGGACATCAAGCCGATTTGCTCATGATGATCATCTCCTGGGAACGCATCCTACAAGCAGGCTTGGTCGTTTGTAACCTGGCGTTCTTTGGCGTTGCCATGTCTCGAATGTGGTCACCAGAATTAACCAAGCATTCGATGAGGCTAAACAGATTTTGGGCGGGTGGCGTGGGCGACGGAATCACACAGCAACCTTTGTAGAGCTTGGCTGCTCCTGGGAGACCGCCATGACAGAGCGTCGCGGGACCTGTAGTACGCATATCATGCGTACAGAGCACGGTTTCAACAACACGACAAGAAGTGTTGATGAATGATAGGAGAACGGGCTAGGATATGTGCTCGACAAAGAGCCCCTTACCCCCATGTACCATAGTGTAGAAAGGAGTTATTGCATAAATCGGCGCAGAGAAGATGGATTACGTATATACATGTAAGAGACAACATAGTCGTCGAAGTATTCGAAAATGTATTGGATGTTTTGTATGCCTCACATTTAGTAGAATCTCCATCACGTTGAGTCAGGCATTAGAAACAATGGGTCAGATATGTACAGCCTGGACTCAACACTGGCACGAGACGTCCAACGAATAGACTTCAGATATTATATTATTCGTCAATCATTGTTATCTGCGTAATGCAATTAGTCGAGCTAGTAAACTTGAACTTGGGTGACTAGTATCAGTCACCATCTCATAATCATCTCTGCTTTCCTCCCCATGCGCTGTGTTTCATCCCGATCTTGGGAGTCAACTTGGTAGATAAACGACCGTGTGATGTTTGTAAATGTCAATGACGACCCCCGCCTTCCCCTAAAAGGCCCCGAACTCCGAAAGGCAACCCAGTGAAAGCAAAAGAGATATATGTCATAGGGTTTGGCTTTTTTCTTCTTTTTTCCCCAACGCTGTGTCCTTAATACTCCTCCGGACCAGATAAGAAATGGTGCAATACCATTACATTGCCATGGCGGTTCGAAGTCATGATGTGGCCGTAGTAGAGCAGTCAAACTCAGGGCACTCGATTTCTGAGAGCCCCTGGAGGCATAGCTCCGTCTCCGACCCCATCAATCCTCTCCTTTCCCATCGCAGGTCCTCAGGAGCCACCCCACAAGGTACTCTTTCCCAAGCTTCCGCGAAGCCCCCCACCCCACCCCCCCTGCTCTCCTCCTCTCCCACCCAGAAGAATTGAATGGAATTGAAAAGGAAAGATCAGCTGATCATCCGCCTACCGCCATCCTACGACACAATAATATGGTTGAAATGCCCCGGAACCTTCATCCGGCACTTCTCGCAGTCATCCCGATACCCTATGCTGAACGACCTCTTCATGCCCGGCTGGTTGGCCATAGTCCACGAGCTGACCGTGTGTTTGGAGCGCTGATGGCCCCTTTTGTTAGGGGGTGACGTGGTTTTGGGCGATGTCTGTGGGGATCCCATGTCTATCTCGACACCATCGAAACTACCATGACTATGGCCATGACCATGGCCGTGGCTTTGGTATTCTCCCTGGGGAATAGGCGTCGGCTCGCGGGGCCCCATTTGGCTATTAAGAGAAGAGTTGCGTAACGGCATGGCGGAGAGGAGTGGATGACTGTGGGTTAGTTGGTCGAGGCTGCTGAGGCGTTGACGGGGGAGGTGTTGTTGGCTGTCGCGGTGGTCGTGGTCATGGTGATGTTGATGGCCGGCGTGGTACGACTCGAGAATCATCCGCGGACTTTCCCCCATGCCACTGTCCTCCATGTCCCCTCCTACCTCACTAATAGGAGAGGGGAGCCGACGGTTCTGCACCATGCTCCAGTCCTCCATCACCTGTGCGGTAGCTGCGGCGCCGTCGAGAGAACGAGGAACGCTTTCGTGGCCTAGTAGCGAGACAGATGGCTCGTGGTGCTGCTGTGTAGGCGGAGGGACCCCATATGAACCCCGGTGGTCCATGGTGATGTTACCCGCCGCTCCACCCCAGTGCTTACCCCGGCCTTGCTCGGCGAAGCTGCAATGAATGGGCGTCGGGATACGCTCACTGATGCTGGGTTCAGGCGCCAAGTGGTCTGGTTGAAAGTTGCCTGGTTGGAGGTACTGCTGCTGCTGGTGCTGTTGCTGCAGTTCTTGATGTCTCGGTTCCGGTTCGCAGTCCATCATTTCCATGTCCATGCTGTCCGGGCTGTAATTTGACGGTAGCTCCGGCTCGGCCGCCCATACGTGCTGCTCTGTGACCGCAGGGTCATTATGATCTGAGATGTCCGGCGCCCCATAGTACTGGTAGCCCGAGACGACGGGCTGTGGGTCCTCTTGCGGAAAACTCGGTGTGGACATCCATCTTTTGGCAGTGGGTGATGTCCGAACAGGCAATATTTGTTGGCGTTTCTGGAGCGGGTGTTAGCATCCTAAGTATCGAAGGCAGATGATATGACGGTCTCGGATAAAGGAAGGTTGACAGCAAAAGTCGGGCGAGGCAAGGCGGGGCAGATATGTAGAAGAAGACGTCGGGTGAGATGACCCTTGACCGAAGCGAAAGAAAGCGGCTTACAGATCGGTGCTCAGAGAAGCCTGATACCCCTCCCATTGCGGCGTCTGCATAATCGTCCTCCCGCGATCTCTTTCGAGGGCCTGTGGCCCATGCATGAGGAGCCATCATGTCGTCCAACCTGGGTGTGCGCAACACGAAGCGGTGCGTAGGCGATACCCAATATTGGCAGTTGGCAAGGGAATCAATCGGGCTGTTACGGTGTAGAAACAAGCAAGGGTTGGAAGAGTGCAAGCTTCTTCTTATTATAAGTACAGCCCGGCTGGAAGGTTGGTGTTTGTGGGGAGAAGACTCTGGGTAGCTGACTGGGACTGAAAGAATGCTGAGCGCTGTGTGTATGTGTGTGTGTGTGTTGGCCGTGGTGGTGTTATCAATCTTTGTAATGCCGAGATGGATGTCACGGTATCGGCATGTCTTACGAAGACCACAACTTCAAACCGCCTGACGAACTGAAAGAGAGACCGGAAGATGCCCGAATTGCCCAGCTCACTCAGCACCTCACTCCTTGCTTGCCCTTTGGACTGTTCGATATGATAGGCAGAAGCCGCTTGAATGGTGAATAGGAGACCGCCTTCTCGCAGGGAGACCAATGGAAAGGGCGTTGCGACAGCGACAGCGGAGGTGAGGGGGGGCTGAATTGTTCCGTCAGTTCCCAAAAGAGCACCACCTATGGGGAAGGCTTTGCCCACTTGGTTGCCATTTGGGGTCCCAAACTGGGGAGTGGGCTTGTCACCGACCGACCGACCGACCGTCCCTCCAAGCCGCTCTTCGTTCCTTCCCGTGCGGAGACAACGCTGTCTAGGATCTTTTTAGTCTGGTCTTGGTCTCTGACTTGGATGCCGCGATCGACAACTTTCACGTTGCAAATCTTGAACGTATCCGAGAAAGCAGAAAGAGGTGACCGCTGATACACGGGATTCACTGTTTCAGAAACACCAGAAAAGTTCGTAGAGGTAGTCGCTAAAATTCAAGACAATGGAATGTGCCGTGGTGGCGGGGTGCAAGTAAAAAAAATAAAAAACCTGAGGTCGGCGCCGTTTACCCCCTGGCTTTGATAAACAACTGAAGCTAGTATGAGCTAAAAGAGGTCAGAGTTTGCAGGGTCTGGAAAGGTAAATAGTCCCGTAAAACATTCAATATTCTTAACCCTCTCTTTCACCACCAGTACAGAACCTCATGGACACTTTCACACGATAAAACACCAATGTGTGGTGGAAGAGACTGGCAAGTGTGCGCCGGCAGGCATCTACGTCAGTCACTGCAAGGATGTCAAGAAAGACATCTGTTGTGGACTTGGTGCAGGAGAAGAACAGCAACTGAGACATTGCCTGCGAGGCACAAGAATCTGAGGTGTAATTACTCTTCTGATATCTTGTCCATTGACGTAGGTATACGGTACAAGTATCACAAAAGAACACTTCTTGTGTTGTGACTGGCAATGGTGAGCTGACAATTCCATGGTTGGGTGTTTTCAGAGTTGTTTACCATGTGAACAAGCCCGCCGCCATTCTGAAGAGTTTCCGCCCTAGTCAAGGACAAATAAACGGAGACTCCACAGCACGACGTCAACGGCAGATTGACAAGATGGCCACTAGTTCTTAGGGCTGTAAACACCTACTGGGTACTATGATTGACCAATGTAACCAATGAGAAGAAGTCAACATGAGGAATCAAGACCGTCTTGGTGTTTACAGCGATGTCATGGTTCAGATGATCTGATCTGGTCCTGCTGCAGTCCATGTTATTTTGTCCTGGACAACTTATTAGCGTCTTTTACTGAGAAATGTGGGGAAGACCCTTTCAGCCCCTCGCCTTTGTTGAGACGAACAAGATCACGGCACATATGCGCGCCGTGCAGCCACTGTAAGTGGCCCAATGGTCCTTTCAAGTCTTCAGTCCGTTCTTCGTCGTCGTGGCGAAGATGTCGGGTGGTTTTTTCACAAAGCGAACAATACCTCTAGAGCAGCGACCTGAAGAGCTTCAGCCCTATGCCACCAAACGAGCCCGGTCGAGACGCATGACAAATGACTCTTCAATTCTAGGGTTGCCTCAAAAATCCAAATGTTACAGACCCTCAGGTCAATCTTCAATTGTTTCTCGGTTTGGATGGGCATTTCATTGGCCATTTCGTCCAGACTTGGCCTCTGGTTCCAGACCGAGGACATCACAAGCGTGGACCTTGATGTTCTGGTTTCCATCAGAAATTCAGAAACCAGGTCCCTTTAGACATACTATAACCACACAAGCTCTTCACTCTACTACTTGTCCGTTCCGTCCGCCTCTACTTTAGGAGGCGATGGTCTGTCCTTGAAGTGGATGCTGCAAGATCAGCAACAGTTACCTACGACAGGTTCCAGCATGGTTTGGGTTTGAACGGTCCCTGATCACCTCATAGCGAGATACAGATACTTGAACCCTTCAACTTGGAAATCAGGTATAAGAGAGTATCTCGCAGCTCATCGATGCCAGAAAGCGCGAGCTCGCTACAGCACCTCAAGCTGCAGTCCGTCCCAACGGCCCCTCCAGTCGAGATGAGCATCAGGTTAGGCTAGGTGGTGCTCAGCCTTACAAGGCAACCTATGGACGAGTTCTTATTAGTCAAGCGAAATCGATAGATCGAACGGTATGCCATGCTCCGCAAGATCTGCCAGACCGTAAACCACAGACCGACGGTTTGCTAGAGGCATTGTGTGTACCCAGATCGGTACTTACCGAACTTGCCAGCCAAGGTTGTGGAGTTGCAACTTTGAACCTAGAGGTAAACACTAGACTTTCCAGTTGAAGTCTCTTCCCTCACTTTGAGGCTGTAACCTCTCCACAAATCATACAGGTACTGGGAACACTTTCATATGTACTGAAACAACATATTCGGCCAGTATGTCCATGTGGACAGGTTACTACCCATATAGGTTCTTCTTAGCTTCAACGGCAACCAAGCCATGTTGTCTGATTCAGGAAAAAGAAGCCTTTGGTCTTTCACCGTGCAAGAGATGGCCCATTACTGAGTTGTATAATAACTCCAGTCTCATGACAAGAAAAAGATAAGAAGAAAAAAAGAGAAAGAAAGAAAAGTCAAATACCGACGCTGTATAGAACGAAAGTCAGAATTTGACATCTGTACAGTCTACCACTTACGCGAGGTTGCCAAGTGAACCTTGATGGCCAAGAAGGGTGAAACTTCGGTGCTCTGCTTCCTTGGTATCCTCAGTAACCGCTCCGGCTTTCGGAGTCCGCCGATTCACATGCCCCCGGACAGGATCCATCCCAACACGTCACTCCTCAAAGAACGTGTCAACGAGTAGAGTCCACTCATTCTTGGAAGACATTGTTGATATCGAGTTCTCTTTATCGGTGCTGTTAATTGTGAAGATGGGATGAAGGAGCAAACGTCTTTTTGCTGATGTCTCTAACGTGGTGAAGAGACTTTAGAAGAGACGCGGGAAGTTGCAGAGCGAGTCTTATATTGTCTCCAAGTCACCCACCAAGGTAGACTGTAGGCAGGTCAAAGTTGCCATTGAATGTATCGAAGACGATAGAGGTATATATACAATGACAACGTATGTTAAAAGGGAGAGGCGGTAGGTGGCCTGAGCTTCCACGTACACCCCGTTCAGTGGAAAAGCCAGTACCAAATCTCTTTCATACTCGTCGGCGCCAATCCGAAGAATACGTGCGTAAATAAATCAAACATCAAAATGACCGAGGTTACCGGCGTCCGTCAACTCGCGGCTACGGGTGTCGCTGCTGCGGGCCGTTACGTGATGTCCTCACTGGCATGTCAAGATGCAGTGGTTTATGTTGCATCGAAGCGGCCTCGAACCCTGGATAGCATCAACAGCTTCTTCCCGGGAGCCCTGGTCCATTGGTCCGTTTATCGGACACTAGCAGACGGAAGCGGATGGGGCAGCCGAGTCGTGGTGAGGCCAAGCGCCCGAGACGAATGAAAGAAGCCCGAATTACCACGCCCACAAGCACCACTTGCTAGCCGGGAGTTTCAGCGCCATGTTTGGAGAACTGAAGAACATCATGTTGTCGATCCAATCCATCCGTGGGCTCTATTCGAAAATACAGGGCACTGCCTGGCTTCCAAACTAAGCGTGAATGTCAATGGTAGGCGGCATTTTTCCAATTCCACTCTTCACACAAATTTTCGGTCCCGCTGACTGAGTGTGTGTGTCAGTTTTAACGGGCATGTGTCCCTGCCCCGCACAGATCTTTTCAAAAGTTTACGGAAAGATACACCCCGGACTTTGTGCCTGCCTGCCCGCTTGCTTCCCGCTGTCCACATCCCGTCTCCGTTCGATGCCCTCAGTCACCTTGTTCGATTTTCAATTTGGATGAGAGGCCCCCTGGGTGCTTGAGACCCTCGTACAGTAGTTTGTGAGTCACTACGAGAATATCTGGAGCTGTACCTTGTTTGGCAATATCTTTTCGTCTTATAAGTAGCCGGACGGGGGCGGTGTTTTCTGCCATCTTTCTCTTCATCCCAAAGAAAGTCTATAGACTGTCCAGTGAATTGCCTTAGGCCTGGCCTCATCCGCAAACCCTTTTCGTTAGGAGCTACACTACTTACCTTGCTACTTTCATTGTGCCTTCCATCCGCTCACCTTGGCTTCGGTGGCTGCAGAATTTCTTTGTTATTGACTCCCCTTCCACCCCATTCCCACTAACGCCTTCCTTGTCGCCTCCGACCAGGCCAATCACATTGTCCAATCATACGTTTGCCAACAGGGTCTTGCCTGCCTTTAATTCGCCCTCACCTGGACTTTAAGCTCCTTCCTCTGCCGAGATTCTTTCCTCTCGACCTTGCCAAGCAAAAGTCAAATCACCTCCGTCGACCAGAGTCATTCTTGAACTCAGTTTTCTTGACAGCCTCACCTCTCGACTTCTCCTTCTACACAATCACGGTTTAACTCACTTCAACCGCAACCATGGTCGGCCCTGATATGGTGGCCCTTCGGGCTGATGACACAAGAGGTATGAGCATCATCTCCCAAGCACCGACCCGCGCGGATTATCACAAGCTCGGTGGACATCATGACATCGACACAGTTGGGACTACATATACTTGCGGTGTTCTAAACTGAGCAACTGTCCAAGTTTTTGCGTGCTTTGACTGTTCGCACTAACCAAAAATCTCACTATTTGCTACAAATTCCAAGCACTGTGACTAACACTATCTTTGTTTTCCAGTCGAGGGACAGGATCCCCTCATCCCTCCTGCTCTTCTCATTTCCGAGATTCCCATGACGGATGCCGCTCTCGAGACTGTTGTTAAGGGCAGGAAGGAGGCCGTAGGTGTCATCATGGGCAAAGATGACCGTCTCCTTGTCGTTGTTGGCCCCTGCTCCCTTCACGATCCTGCCACAGCTCTCGAGTACTGCAGCAGGCTCAAGGCTCTTTCCGAGAAGCTGAAGGACGACCTCGTTATTGTGATGAGAGCCTACCTCGAGAAGCCTCGCACGACCGTCGGCTGGAAGGGTCTCATCAACGATCCCGATATCGACTCTTCTTTCAAGATCAACAAGGGTCTTCGTATCTCCAGACAGCTTTTCTGCGATTTGACCTCTGCCGGTATGCCTATTGCTTCGGAGATGTTGGACACCATCTCCCCTCAGTTCCTTGCCGACTTCATCTCTGTCGGTGCTATCGGCGCCCGTACTACCGAAAGCCAGCTTCACCGCGAGCTTGCCTCTGGTCTCTCTTTCCCTGTCGGTTTCAAGAACGGAACCGACGGAAACCTCGGTGTTGCTATTGATGCCATTGGCGCTGCCGCGGCTAAACACCACTTCATGGGCGTTACCAAGCAGGGCTTGGCCGCTATCACCCGCACCAAGGGCAACGAGCACGGTTTCGTTATCCTTCGCGGTGGCACCAAGGGCCCCAACTACGACAAGGAGAACGTTCAGGCTGCGAAGGAGACTCTCATCAAGAAGGGCCAGAAGCTCGCTATCATGGTCGACTGCTCTCACGGTAAGTCTCCCACAACCTTAACACTTGCACATTCCAACAGTGACTGACAAAGACCAGGCAACTCCAACAAGGACCACCGCAACCAGCCCAAGGTTGCCAAGGTTGTTGCCGACCAGATCCGCGAGGGCGAGAAGGCCATCATTGGTGTCATGATCGAGTCCAACATCAACGAGGGCAACCAGAAGGTTCCCGCTGAGGGTCCCTCGGCGCTCAAGAAGGGCGTCAGCATCACCGATGCCTGCATTGACTGGGAGTCCACTGTCTCGACCCTCGAGGAGCTCGCTGAGGCGGTTCGCGAGCGTCGTGAGGTGAACGGTGGCCTCGCCAGCGGTGTGGCTACCCCCAAGCCCAACCCTCTTGAGGAGGACTAGAGGTTTTCTTCCGAAGAGAGTGATGAAACTGGGGTTAGAGAGGCAGTATTGCAGGGAGAGCTGTACCAAGAGACTGTGCAGTGGATACCGCATGTGATGCAGCCTGATGATATCGAGGAGCTGCCCCATCCGTGCGAACAGTTCTGAAGGCATTCAAAAGGAAAACGGGTCATTAAAAGTTCTTGCTTGTAGTTTCACATATGGCGGGGAACCAAAAACAGACACGACCATGGAGTCAGCGGCGAGCAGTAGGAATAGCATTAATGCCTACTAAGACCTTCGAGAAGCATACATATTGATACCCGTATATCTGAACCTCTATTCTCTCTTCGTTTCGCAGAACGGAGCCAGCTCAGGTCATTGTCAATGAGAGATTGCGCGGCTCTATCGCGACAACAATGCGTTGTTCCAAGTTCTATACTAAGATAAAGGCTTCAGTTTGATCAGTATATTTCTACTCAAGCGTAGGTAGTCTAATGTTCCCTTCTCCTAATGTGAGAAGGCCTTGTCTATCCTGCTATGTCGGGCTTTAACGCGTGCTGTAATCCAAGTGTTCGGCATATGTTGCAATGACTCTGGCCCAACTACACTTGGGTGCCAGAGGGTCGCTTCAAGACCTTCATGTACTACACGGGCAACCAATCCAAACAGCTTGGTATACTGCACGTTAAAGTTGGGGACCAAGATCATACGGTTTATTCAGCGGCTCTTGACAAAAACAGAAGGATCATGTGATGTGAGATAAACATCGGATCATCTAGGTGTCTCTTGCTCTCAGTGAACGTCTTTTTGAAAAGTTACCTTTACCTCAGCTGTCGGTATGTATGTGATCTCGCTATGTGACCTGATCAGAAGCTCAACATCCACATCGTCCTCACTCTCAGAGAGCAATAAGTTCAGATAGGCCACATCGTTCACGGCTTAAAGCTTCTGAGCTAGTCCATGCATGCCCTTTCAGCTTAGATCCTGAGAAGAGGTATAACTGAGCAGCACACCTCAGCCGGCTCAGACAGATCTCCGATAGATCCAAAGTCATGAGGATGTTATATCAGTCCTCAGCATATTTGCACCCTGATCACTTGCTTCACCAACCAGCTCACACGCACGTTCAAGCACATGGTTAAATCCCAATCCCTAACCCATAACGCCCCACACAAACCATAAACAGACATAACATTTCATTATCTCCCCATCTTACAATTTGACCGAATTCAGCGCCCTTCCCCTCCAAGGGGACTATATGCCCCCTGTCCTGTACTTTGTTCTCCTCCTCCTCCTCCTCGCCCTTGCCCTCCTGCTCCTCCGCTAAAAGCCCTCCTAAATAAGCCCCCTCCAATCCCTCCCAAGCCACCAGCACCAGCACCAGCATTCCCACCGGCTCTACTGCCTCCGATATTACCAGTCCCCCCAAGACCACCCATCAATCCCGACCTCCCCCCAGCACCTCCTCCCCCTCCTCCAAAGCCAGAAACCCGTCCTTTCTCCAAAACCCTCCTCACCCCTGCCCATCCCAGCAGTCCCGCCGTGCTCAAAATGAACCCCCAGACAATGATCTCGTCCTTCCTGCTATCTCGCTGAAAACAGGTCGTCGTCACGTCCTTCTCTTCGGCGTCTTTGCAGATCGGCAGGTTGTATTGCAGGCAGAAGGCGCGGTTGCATTGGGTGCAGGAAGAGGAGGCTGCGCGTTTGGATCCACCGAGATGGAGGAGAAACTGTGATTGATCGTTCGGGGAGCGTGGGCTGTTTGGGGGTAATGCGGTGGCGGTGATGGTCGCGGTGGGTTTGGACGGTGGTGGTGGTGGTGGTGGTGGTGGTGGTGGTGGTGGTTGTTGAGGATTGTTGTTGGCTGGGTCGTCGGGTTGAGGGCCGAGACGGATTATGGTGCTGTTGGAGAAGCAGGTGCATTTACAGAAGGTTGGGGCGGCTGTGGTGAGGAAGATAGGTGTTAGTAAAGTAGGTTCCATGGGAGATGGGAAGACACGGCAAGGCAAGAGGGAAACGTACAGGCGCTGACGAGGGAGAGAAGGGAGAGGACGAAGATGGTCAAGATGTGTATTCGCGCCATTGATGGTGGTTGTTTATGTGATGGTATATATTAATAAGGCTGGATACAGTAATGAGGATCACGAAGCGTTATCGGCGCATTGGTTTCGTTGAATGGAGGTTGTCAGCTTGGAAGATCGAAGAGCTTCGGTTGAAACTGCTTGGTTGCAGCGACTCGATTTCGGCGGCCGCGCGCAGGCCGGTCGGAGGGCTGATTGACCGGGCCCTTGGGGACGGCGAACTCGGAGACTGGTATATCGGACGGAAGTTGTCCGGGCGACCTGTCGGATCGTTGGTGGTTCGGCGCAAACAATGGGTAAGAGAGCTCCGTCGATCACATTGCGGGAAGCGGCCGGCGGGGGTGGCAGGGCCGCAAGGGTCGAGGTAATCAGTGGTTCGGTTGAGTCGATCGCAAATGCCAAGCCATTCCCTCCAGTTTGCCTGCCGCCTGCCTTGATGCGCCACACTAGTACCAGTGGCAGGTGCCTGATCATCCAGTAGCCACCACATCCCCAGCTCCACTCAAGCCACCCAGCCCCACCAGAAATTGCACTCATGCACAGACCACTCACACCCGTCCCCCAAGGGTATAAGAAGCCCTCCACCCCATCCTCCTTCTTAGACTTTTCTTTTCTTCTTTTTTTCTTCGCCCTTCGGGGCAATTTGGTCAATTTGAAACGATACAGAGAAGATTAGCATGGCCCCTGCACTAAGGATGACACGCTACTCAAAGAGACGCTACCAATTTTTTTTTTCACTTTGTTCCCCAGCTAAAGGGTTGGGACATTGGGAAGAAAAGCTTTTTGGATTGATTGACGTTTCGCGGATGATGTTTTGAAGTCGTCACTTGGTTGAATTTCTAAAATCACTGCGAAATCATCGTCAAAAATTTCCCATCCGACACGTGCATTTGCCGCCCGCCGTCCTCTTATGTCACTACTACTGGATGTCCTCGCATGAGCGTCTAACCACACCATGGCATGTTTCGCACATCCTCCCGTTGTTAGCTCAGCCAGTCGTCTCTGTCCCAAGTCCCATTGCCTTCAATTTCTCGTGCGCTGTGATACCGTACCCAGCTTGTGACTACAAAAGTATCAAGACGAGTATTGGACGACAAGTTCACGAAACAGGACATCACATATCATAGAACCACCAGCTCATATATAATATTTACACATAATGCATGCGCTTGTCCCTGACAATATTAATGAGACCTTTAACATTATACCCGGGGTATACTCTTACTACACATCCAAGCGTCTTTATTGCGCCTTTCAACTTGATATCTACACATTTCCTGGATAGGAATATTCCAAAGGGACTCTAGCCGACGTGTTTTCGAACTCTTATAAATTATAATCCCTATTACAATCTTGCAATAACCATCTGTATGCTACCTATGACGAGCGGTATCGGACTGGTTCAATTTAACCAATTGATTGACGCCCGCTAAGCACAGGTCTCGTCTGTCATAGAAGACGAGATGCGATAAGCCATCCGCAAACCCTGGGTATAGTGTCCACCTTCAAAGCCAGTCAAACAAAAGAAATTTTGCCGCTCCAAACGCCCTGATAATGCCGTGAACTCTCCATCGATCTTGCGAGGACCCCTACAAAACTCCCCTCGCCTCCAAACCTTCTTGTCATTCGCACTCTGGTTCACTCCCTCTGTTTTCAGAACCATGTCCGCCACCAGCGAGCGGCGAAACCACTCTGACAAGGCGCTGAATGATCTCGATGTCGATCCCTAAGCCAGACCAGCAGTAGCACTCATCCGACTCAACCTTCGCTCAGCCTTTGTAGTCCCATTGGCAAGAGGACTGGGCGTGGGACTGATGTTGGACTCGGCAAAGTCAGCCGTGGCACTGGTCCGGCTCGCTCTCCGTTCTGCCTTTGTAGACGCAGTGGCAGGAGGACTGGGCATCGGACCCGTACTGGCGTTGCCAATGGGGTCGTTGTCGTTAAAGCTGGTACTGGTATTTGCCCTCGCAGGCGTACCAGGCATACCCTTACGAAGCTTGTTCGTCTCCTTATCCGACGACATTCCAAACCAATTCTTCTTCATGCTCGTCTTTCTAATATCCGTCCAACCCAGGAAGAAGGCAGTCAACACTGCGAGCACGCCAAAGCCCGCCGCCAGGTAAAACACGTTGTGGACGCCCTCTAGATAAGCGCGCATGACGTACTTCAATAGGTCTTCCATCTTCACCAGCTTTTCGCGGTCCTCCGGCTTGGGACTCAGGCCAATAGTGCCGTTGTTGATCAGCGCCTCAACTTCCTCGCGGGACATGCGGCGCTCCAGGGCCATGGTGATGGAGTGCGCGAAGATGTTGTTGGCGAAGGCAAGGACGAGGGCGGTGCCGAGCATTTGGGTGAACATAAGCAGGGTGATGGCGATGGTGGTGTCGATTGGGTGCATGTTGGCTGTCTGGACGGCGATGGTGGGCATTTGCGTGCCGAAGCCGCGGCCGGCACCGTTGATAAGTTGGTAAACGGCGATAATGCCGAAGTGGGTGCCGCTGTCGATCGTGGACATGAGACCGCAGCTGACGGAGCAGAGAATGCCGGCGACGACGGCGTAGGGGATTATGTAACCGGTTCTCTCGACTGGAAAGTGATCAACTTGTTAGCATTGTTAGCGAATCAGGGAGATCAGAGAGTATGACTTACCCAAGAAACCTCCCGCGATGCCAAAGAACAGCTGAGCGCCAAAGCCGGGCAACAGTTCGAGACCGCTGATGGTGGGCGTCTTTCCCTGAACCGACTGGAAGAAGATCGGGAGAAAAAAGGACATGCAGTACACCGTTGTCATGATGAACCACTGTGTCAAGGCGCTGGCCCAAACGACGCGCTTTGTCATGGTGGTGACTGGCAGCAGAGCATTGTCGCCCTTCCTGTAGTTCCAATATCCCCAAACACCGAAGAGCAGAACAGAACCGCACAGCGATCCGAGAATTGCGCCACTACTCCAGGAGAAAGGCCCGCTAAGCTGGGCGGTGGTGAGAACCCAGACGAACAGGAAAACGGCGGGAGCCAGAAGTGCAAAGCCGAGGAGGTCGAATTCGCGGTGCAACCTCCTGAGAACCCTCCACGGATGAGGCTTCTCAATCTGCTCCGGAACCTGCATGAACATGACCGGGAAGAATAAGACCATACCGACTCTGAGGTTGATCTTGAAGCAAGCGCGCCATCCATCCTTGGTGTGTTGTGTCAACAGTCCTCCAAAGAGCGGTCCGGCTCCAACACCCATCTGAGCAAAGGCAATGACGCAACCAATGACGGACGCACGGCGCCTAGGGCTGGTGATGGCGGTGATAATTGTGAGACCGCCGTTCCAGATGCCGCCCGCTCCAAGACCCATGACCGCTCGGCCTGCAATCAGCATACCCGAAGTTTGAGCTGCCCTGCAGATGTAGGATCCAACCATGAAGATGAGAAGGAAGAAGTTGAAGGTCCATTTGGTACTGAAACGGGTGTAGATCTTGCTGGTCAAAGGCAAGACGCAGGCATTGGCGAGCTGAAAGGCAGTCGCATACCAAGCTACATTCTCTATGCTCTTGAATTCGGTTGAGATAGTTGGAATCTTTGGCAGCGTTAGCGCTTTGAGTGTATGTGGGAAGCGCAAAGAGACTTACGGCGGTGGAGAGAATGGAGGTATCGAGGATCATCAGGAAAGCCGCAACCGTAACGCAGATAAGAGCCACCCAGAAGTTGACGCGGGGTACCCATCTGAGCAAAGTTGTTGAAGCCTGTGAGAGAACGCTCATGCGATTGGCGTTGCGCGCAGTTCGGTCCTGAGGCGGACGCTCTTCAACGGGAACGTCGACCAATTCCACCTCGTCCATCGATGAGGATGGCGCCGGTTTGGCGCGCGGCGTAAAGGGCGTCATGGTTAGTTTTCTGATAGCATCCGGATACGAATAATGCATCAATTGCGCAACTGAAGTGATATCAGGCAAATGCTGTTAAAAGCGGGAGGGTTCCGGAATCGCGACGATCGGGGTCGAAATTAGAATTGACAGCAAGGGGCAGAAGCTCGGGAAGAAAAAAGAAAGGTGGCCAAGCCGGCAACCCCGAACTCCCTTCACTGGACGGAGGTTTTGTCCACGGAGAAAACTTTAGACGATTCCCAGGTCTCCTCCCAATGCTCGTCACCTCGTGGCCCAAAACCTTAACGGTCCGGTAGAAGAGCCCGCCAAAATCAGCGGTTTGATATCCGGACGGCCCAGATTCACACAGTGACTGACGCACTTGGCGCCGTTTCAAAACGTACATCGGCCTCATGTAACCAAAAAGCAAGGTGGACAAGAATCAGTAAAAATATGTGATGACTTGGAAGCCGTTAGCAAAAACATGGTCATGGACAGGGAGCAGAAGCAGCAAGCTGGACGCGCGGGAGATCTCCCTGATATCTCCGGGGGGGCTTGAAACCCGATAATAGTCGGAAGCATCGGTTTTGCAGACAGGCATAAGCCATTAAATCATAATGCTCGACCCTGTTTGCTCCGTGCATCGTTCATAGAGACAATCACAGTTGAGCAGATCGGCGAAGGCGTCGGTTGATAGTGGGCAGAACGTCGACGTACTTCACTTGACATGCTTGGACGTTAGTAGCTGCCCTCCAACCATCCATACTGTCCATTCCTTATGAAGATAAGCGCGACATCGTGTATTGGTCTCTCTTGGCTGACAACTCGGCGATGGTCGCAAGGTTCCAGACGGCGTATTCCAGGTTCCAAAAAAACACGAGGAGTATCGCGCAAGACGTAGCGCCATTACGTGAGAATGAATCCATGAAGTCAATTGAAGCCGAGGTAAGCATTGGGATGAGGTAGGTAGTCATAGAACATCCAGATCGCAGCGGACAGTCGAAGTCAATGAATACGTACAGCATGGTGTTGATGTGGTGATGGAACGTCGTTGTTGAGTGTGGAGTGATCTTGAGGCTGATGGGCAGGCTTCCCGTCCTGCCGTTGCAACCAAACCCCTGTCAGGTCCATGCCCAGGCGGGCACTGTCACTCAGCCCGGCCCCCACTCATTAGTGGGACCATCACAGTGAATGGCTCGTGCGCTCCATTGCTGCCGGCCGGCAACGTTTGCCCTCACCCCATGTCTCCTTGACCTGAAAGTGAGGTATTGAAGATCAATACAAATACCTTTTTATTAGGTACCCTTGATGAAGAATTGGTGACCTGCTGAGGTCAAATCACCGGTATCCTCTCCCACCCAGACACTCAAGTCCAAACACATCATCACAACTTCCAGCACTGAGCACTCCGATCTCTATGAAGTTGCTGCTTTCTGGTCTGTCAGGCGAGACTACATGTCCCGGTCATGAGGTTCAAGGCCATCCTTATGTATCAGCATACAGCATTGTATCTTACGTCGGTGGCCTGGAGAAAAAGCCGAATGACAGTCAAGAGACTTAACGAATGAACCCTTCCTTTCGGTCAACAATTTCTTCTCGATATTTCTGTCAATTAAGGTTCGAGTGAGCCGAATCCGGCGCCACGACGGCGCGGCACGTTCAGCTGAGCTTGTAAATGTTTATCACATCTGCATGCTGCCAAGTGACAATTGGTTTGTTCAAAGAACTGGACCTCCATGGGTATAGAACAAGCAATACCTACCTAGAGGTATCTACCCCTGATATCGATATGGGAAAAGCGCCATTACAAATCCAGTCTCGAGAGGATTGTCCGGAAGAGGATCGGAGTCTGGACACCGACTGGCCCCTGTCGTCGAAGAAATGAAATCGGCAACCGTATGGGCGGATCGCGCTAGAACAGCCGATGGTGGGCAGCCAGGTGCCGGTTGGGTTGGCGCCTGGTGGCTGCTGTCCATTAGTGGCAGGTGCCCCTGAAAGTCGATCCCAGGAAAACACCCGGACCACTTACATTGGAGCGCAACCTGCCCGCCCGTGAACCTTTCTGGCCACCCACCACCATCTCCAGCCATCGCCATGATGCCGGCCGGCGCGCCCTGGTCTGAGGTCATTTCCCGTTTGGTCCACTTTCACTGTCCATTTCTGTATCTGTTGACCAGCATTCGGCTTCTCGACTTTATTGCTTCTGTCGTGTGCTCCGTCATCTCATTTACGGGGCGGGCAGAAGAAGGGGCCAAGGGAAAAAAAAGAAAGGCGACGACGGATTCCCGATATCGAGTCCTCCGGTGCCAGCCCTGATACTACCTACCTACCTACCTACCTCTACCTACCTTACCCTACATGTCTATCTCTATCCCGCGATCTCCTATTCTCGAGACACAACCTTCTCCTTCCCCCGTCACTCACACTATTTGGCATCAACCTGCCCCTTGCCAAGTTTCATTTATTTGCTATTTTTGCTTTGCTATCATTCTGACTTACATATCGCTACATATTCTTGCTTCTTCTTAGTACCTAGTGCCTCGGTCTGTTGGACACTGCCTCCCTACTAGGTATCCAACGACACCGAGCTCTCCACCCGACCTTCTGCACAACATCCTGCATCCGCCCTTGCATGAGTGCCGATTCAGGTTGTGACTGCATGAATCTGCATCATCTACCATCCAAGGAACGCCCGCCAGGAACCTTCCCCGTTGACAAGCACGACCCTTGTCTTAAAAGACTTGCTCTCGACCAATCCTTATGCATTAGGCTTTCGTACCTAGTGTAGGTACTCGACAACCCAACCTAACTCCTCGAACGAGAACTTGTTGCACTCCACCGAGCTCGGCCCAGTAAGACATCGTCAAGATGGAGAACAACTCGCGACCCCCCAGCTCCCAGCCCAGACCCAGTGGTCTTCCTCGGCCGTCGAGACTCCCAGTTCCCGGTCAATCCAGGCTACCCGTCCCACGATCGACCTCGCTCCGGAAATCGCCATCCCAGGAATCCCTACCCGCGGACTCTGGCCCAGCCGGAACCTCGTTGCAAAGCCCGAGACTTCGATCTACCACTTCCCGCGACCAATTGACTTCGACCACCACGTCGAGGAGGCCCCAATCCATGCTCATTGCGCCTTCGAGGGTTGTTTCGTCTGCCAACTGTGCCCGCGCTGCTTCACGCCAGGGACAGTCCCAAGTACCTGCGAGCACTACAAGGACAACAAATCGACACAGCACCTATATTTCCCCATCGTCGTCGAGAGCCTCCGTTGTGGCATCTTCCGTTGCCACTTCTCGGACAAGCCAGACACCACAAACGCTAGCATCTAGACGACAGTCCGCATACCAACCCTTCTCGGCGTCCACAGGCAGCCATGCTTTGCACGATACCGAGTCGATAGTTTCTGATGACAGCCCAACTTCTGCAGTCAGGTCAAACTCGACGTTGATAGAGAGGACGATCGAGGCCTTGTCTCAGTTGCCCTCTTCGCCATCAGTGAGGGGGAAATCCGCTGCTTCTTTCTATAGCGATGGGATACCCAAGGGAAGAACTTCGTCAAGACCAACGAGTAGGCTTTCTCGACCTGGATCGAGTCATCAATCACATGAGTCTCTCGGTGCTTCGTCCAACCATGGGAGCAGGCCTGGCTCACGGCTGGATAGTGAGGATGATGGCTCCAGCTTCCACGGAACATACGGTTCTTTGAGGCCACGACAGGGCGTCCACTCTATCAATGCGCCAGCGGCAAGGAAAGCCACCCCACGGGCGTCTCGAATGTCTCTCTACGGGGATCTACCGTCATCTGCCATTGATAATCAAAGCCCCAAGACACCGAGCACTGAGAAAACGAAACCCGCAGCACCGCGCCCCCTTGCCAAGCGAACATCTGTCTATGGCCTCTCAAAGAAGCCATCTGGGGCCGGACTGGGAAAGGGGACGCAGGGAACGGCGCCTAGAAAAGTATCTATGGCGTCGCAAAGGTCGGCGGCGACATCTGTTGAAGGAAGTGTGTCAGCATCATCTGGAAGCACAGCAACCTCTGCCGATTTGACTGAGTCCTCCCCAGCCCAAACCTACCGGAAAGCCTCATCCACGTTGCGCGAACAGATCGCAAAGGCGAAGGCTGCGGCCAAGAAAGCTGCAGTCCAGCCAATATCCGAGTCTGCCCCTGCCGTCGGACACAAGTCATCTGGCTTTGGATCTTTTGGTGACGATTTGGGCTTTGCTTCGCATCACGATCCTTTCAACCAGCACAAGAATGACCAGTCACAGGCCAAGGTCCTACAGGCACGTTTTTCTACTGCAAGAACTAGCGGGCGCCTCAACATTGCTGCGATGGGTCTTAAAGAGATCCCGATTGAGGTTCTGGAAATGTATAAGCTTGAGGCTATCGGCGCCACTGGCGGGGCTTGGGCCGAGTGTGTTGACCTGACCAGATTTGTGGCTGCGGACAATGAGCTTGAGATAATTAGCGATACAATTTTCCCCGATGTTGATCCACAGGAGATGGTGGATGATGAGGACAGTGAGGGCAACATCTTTGCAGGACTCGAGACTTTGGATCTCCACGGGAATATCCTGGTGACTCTTCCAATGGGTTTGAGGCAACTTCGCCTGTTGACCTCCCTGAATCTGGTACGTGCTTAGATCACCACTCTGTATTGGCTAGTTACTAACTGTTTATCAGTCCTCAAACAGGCTGGCAAATAGCTGCTTGGAGGTGGTGTCGCAAATCACCACCCTCAGAGATCTGAAGCTCGGCGGTAACCTCCTCTACGGTGAACTCGACCCTTGCTTTGCGAACTTGGAGAATCTTGAGATCTTGGACTTGCACGGTAACAACCTCTCTTCGCTCCCTTCCAACTTCGGCAACCTCTCTCGCCTTCGCGTTTTGAATGTTAGCGAAAACGCCTTTGCGTCTTTGCCTTTTGGTACTTTGGCGAAAATGCCCTTGACCGAGATCAACGCGCGCAAGAACCAGATTAGCGGTACACTGATTGATGATTCGGTCGATTCTCTTCCGTCTCTACAAATCCTGGACGTTTCGTCGAACCAGCTCGTCCGTCTTTGCTCCCCGACAAAGGCCATCACTATGCCTGCCCTGCTCCAAATCTGCCTCTCCATGAACCGCCTTCAGGATTTGCCCTACATTGGAAGCTGGGCCAAGCTACATACGATTGCCGCCGATGAGAACAATATCAACTCTGTTCCGGAAGGTTTTGCCAAACTCAAGCATTTGAAGTCTGTCGATTTCTCAAGTAACGACATCCGTATTATCCCTAATGAGGTGGGACAGATGGAGAACTTGATGATGCTGCGCCTCAGCGGTAACCCTCTGCGGGAGAAGAAGTTTAGCACAATTAGTACGGAGGAGATGAAGGGTATTCTAGCTCTTCGGCTCGAGCCACGTGAGGACACTTCTGCCTCCAAGGTAAATTCTCTCCTCGAGGTGTCTTCTGTCTCCGAGGTGGAGGTTGTCAGCCCCAGTGATGCCGGCTTGAAAGGTATTGATATGAAGGAGCTCACCATCAATACCACTAAGACTTTGCCCAAGACCAAGAAAGCTCCGGTTGGGAACAACGCTTCTAAGCCGAAAGAGCCTATCGTTACGAATACCGCCACGTTTGAACACGACCAGCTTACTGATGAAAACGACGACATCGACGACAGCCGATCTGATACGGACCATTACGCGACACCCCCTACTTCCGCCCGGGCCTCTCCAACTCATTCTCGCTCTCAAACGTTAACGGAGGGGATCTGGCCCGTTAAGTCCGGTGGAGTTCTTGACCGTTCTGGCACACAATCCTCTTCACTCCACCCCGTCATCTCCTCTAGGGTTGCTGCCGAACACAAAGTTTACGAAATCCAGCTTCACCACAACCTCTTTACCACGTTTCCCGAATCGCTCTCTTTCTTCGCCGCAACTCTGACCCACTTGAACTTGTCACACAACGAACTCGTAGCTGAGAAATACCTCGGAGGACTAAGCGGCAATGATCACCTCGAACTCCGCGCCCTCAGGGAACTGAACCTTAACCACAACCACATCTCAAGCTTAGAGCCGTTGCTTTCTCACCTGCGTGCCCCAAACTTGCAAAAGTTAGATGTCAGTTTCAACCGCATCTCCGCTCTGCCCGCCGGCACTGCTCTTCGCGACGCGTTTCCGAATCTTATCGTCCTCACCATCTCCAACAATCACTTGTCCGAGCTGGACCCGGAATCGATCAAGGGTATGCATGTGGTGGACGCGGCCAATAACGATATCGCACATCTGAACCCTCGTATTGGACTTCTGGGCGGAAGCGGTGGGTTGGAGAGGCTGGATGTTAGTGGCAATAGGTTCCGCGTACCCAGGTGGAGCGTTTTGGAGCGCGGGACAGAAGCGACGCTCAGGTGGTTGAGAGGAAGAGTCCCGGTTGCGGAGAAGGCGGCGTGGAGGGGGAAGGAGGGCGGTGATGAGGATTCTGATTTGGATTAAGTGGTGGGTACGCTCATGGATGGGGCATGGAAAGAAGAGGATTCCAATATCTAGGGGCAGTTGAGGGATTGTGAAGACCATATGATATACGATCATGGTATATACGGCAAGGGAAGGGAAAGGGCACCATTATTGTTGGAATATCGTCGTGTTATTACTGTTACACTTGGTTGTGCATGTAACACATGTTATGGATTATTAAATGTTATTGATGGGAGGACGAGAATAACGGCTAGCCTGATGAGGCATGTACATATCTAGTTTACCAGTTTTTGTAATGGCTATTGCTAATTCAAAATGCTCGCTTCTTATGTTAGTCCAAGGACCCTGTTTGATTTCTGCATTTTGTGTTTCTGAGGCGCGAATGTACTTCGAGTCCTCGAGGATGATGGCTTTGATTCAGTTGAGCGTAACCGCCGCAATTCTGATGCTGAGGGACCGTGATAGAGGTTGTACACTCACTCCAATCGGGCGGACAATACTATCAAGCAACAATTACAATGCTAAAGTGCCATTATATCGTCGATATTCTAGCAGTCATGTCAACTTCAGTTTGCTTAGTTCAGGGGTAGGTGTGGGGACACATCTAACCCTAACCCAGAAACATATCATCTTTCTCAAAGGGCCACGCTGGTCAGCGATACAAGACAGGGGGTTCAATTAACGCGCCTATGTACCTGTAGCGCCAACCACACACCATCCGTCAGCGCGCAGCCCGTCATTGCACTATACCCAGGCTCGAGCTTCAGTACAGCAACAACCACAGTGTCCCCATTCATCGCTCATTTCCATTCATTCCTCTTCAGCTCGTCATCGCGACCTTTTGACTAGCATCACCAACCGTCGACAACTGTAAGTCAAATCCCCCTTTTCTGCAGCACGGAACGGATGGTGCGTTGCTGAATTCGAGACGGGAATTGACAAGCTAACCAAATATCGTGCGGTAGACTCTCCTTTTCTCAATTCAACGGTCGATCGGTAACCTCGCGTCTCCAACAACCAACCGAACAGCATCTATCTATTACCTTGGACAAGCACACTACCGATTCAAATACCGGAACCAGTAATAGAAGAAACTGGGAGATTACGGACGAACAAACAAACAATACGATCAATTCAACTACAGACTCGTCACAATGACCCGCGCACAGCAGACTATTTCTATTGCACTCCTTGTGAGCTCGGTACGTTTTTCCCAAGTTAAAACCGACCGAACGAAAGGGGATGAGGACGAGGGCAAGGACGGCAATGAGAATGGTGACAGTGGCGACAATGATTTGATGGCGGAAGAGGTCTTTCCCCTGCCTGGTCCACGGCAGCGGCAGCAGCATTAGCAGAAGCTAGCAGCGACACGTTAGCCTCATCTATGCTCTGGTGCTGCGTGGTCTCGTATCGTTGGGGCTGCCTTTCTGCCTCTACCTCTCCTGCCTTGCGCCGCCTCCTCCTATCCTCTCGTTGTCTCTACCACTTCATCGACCACGCCGTCTCCCACGGCCCGCCTCGTTTCTCGAGTCGATCAATCGATCAACTGAATTAAGTGCTAATCTTTCCTTTCCAAACCATAGCTCTACCTTTCCCTCTACCTCGAATTGGTTCCCCTCCCGGCTCTTGTCCAGACAGCGATTGTGCCTGTGGTATGTCTTATCCAGCCCTCCACCCCACACCATTCCCCCAAATATCCAACACCCACGAGGAAACAACCGACCGACCGACCCCAGTGCATGTATATGTATGGCAATGAATGCTAACCATAACAAACATAGCTCCCCTTCTGGGCCCTCGTCTCCTTCGGCGCCTGGGTCCTCTTCCGCCTCGGCTGGGGCATGCTCACCTTCCACGACACGCCCGAGGCCTACAAGGAGCTGATGGAGGAGATCAAGCTTGCACAGGCGGACTTGAGGGCTAAGGGCGTCAGTGTTGATTAAGCGGTGTTGTTGCCAGCGGAAGGGGGCAAGATTGGTGAAATGGGCAGATACGGAATCATGCAAAAGAAAGAGGAAGAAATTATTAAGGAAGTTATGGGGTAATGTTTGGGTGGGTGCATGTGGAAGAGGTAGTGTCGAAAACAAGATAATGAGATCAAAGCAACGCTGTTGCGGGAGACGTGTGGTAAATGTGCCTTATGAGTGGTATTCAAGCCCTCAAGCACGCCATGGAAGCTCGAAGAGGCCGTAATGCATATAAGTCTGATGCTCCTTGACCCGAACACGTCTCGCAAACCAAGGTACTTCCAATTCCTTAGCCCGAATAATATGCTTCTCTTATCAATCATGGTATGGATAAATGGCCCCAGCCTGAATATGCGACCCCCAACTAGTAATACCATACTCCGTCAACACCCGTCTTTGGGGGTTTGTTTGTTTGTTTTTGGCAAGGTAGAGGTAGGTATGCAAAACATGTACGACTACTCATGCTGGTTGGTCTACTCAAACAAGCCCTCAACACCATACAAGGGTATCCTATTTTCCACATCACCTCTGCGGTTGTGGCTCACCAGCCAACAAAGCCGCAACGGTCCTGACCGCACTCAACGGCTCCTCGCCGCCCTGAACGAGATCGTCAAACAACGCCGGGATCTTGGCCAACTGTCCGCGCTCATCGCATTTGTGCCCTGTTATCGGTATATGGTCAGCAACTCAAATAGTTCCACGAAAATATTCTCCCGCCCTATAGACGGATACGGATGCAAGTGCGGATGGGGAGTAACAAAAGAGGAATACTCACACTTCCCCGGCAACGCCACAAAAACCCTGATGTCGCTCCTCGCCTCCCCCGTCCAGTCGAACTCAATCTTCCACTGCACCCTCAGCGAGGACTTTTCCGCACTCCCCGGGTCACCAGCGCCACCAGGCCCGCCTCCAGAACCAAGTAGTAAGGGTATATCAAAATCCATGCTCGTCCTGCTCATGTAGGGAACAAGTTCTTGCTCGGGTACTTTCTTCCCATCTAGTTCTTCTTCTTCCTCTTCCTCCTCCATTTCCTCCTCTTGTTGTTCATTCTCATCACTTCCCCCCTCTTCATCCCTTTTCCTTCCACCACCATCACCACCATCCCTCTCCCGGTCTCGATCTCGACGTGGCGCCTTCCTCTTTTTGCTACCCTTCCCCACCCCCATCCTCGTCCTCCTTTTTTGCCTCATCCTACTCCTCTCCCTCCACCCTTCCACCATATTCCTCACCGCTTCCTTTCCCGCGTTCAACTCGGTTTCCAGCACGCACCAAACCCTCGCTCGCTCTTTGGCAACGCGCACCCACTCGCCCATGGCCCAGCATAGCACGCTGACGTTGTTGTGCATTGCCGACGAGCTTGTGCCTTTTTTGGATTGTTCGATGATACGTTCAATCAGGGGCGCGAGCTCAGCGGCTGCGGTGGGCGGGTGGATTAGTGGCACCGAAAGGTCGGTGATGGAGAAGATGTTGGAGGTGTTGACTGTCAGCTCGAGACGGGCGGTGAAGGATTTGGATGGGGTGGTGGCTGTTATGTAGTGCCGTTGGAGGAGCGGCTGTTGGTCTGCCGCTGCTGCTGCTGCTGCTGCTGCTGCTGAGGAGACTAATGATGGTTCCGGTTCAGATTCAGTCGGGGGAAGCGGAAAGATGGCCGAGGTGAAAGTCAGTGGCGTGAAGACTTGGAGGTAGGGAAGCGCTTCGTCGGCGCTCATGGGAAGGGGGTGGTGGGATATCGGTGGTTTCTCGGCTTTCTCGTCGTCGACGGTAGAAAAGAGCGAGGGGAGATCGTCGCCGGTTGAAGGAGGTTTGCTGAAGGGAAGAAAGGCGATGGGATGGAGGGCTGAGGAGAGCCATGATGTTGCGGCGATGGACGGGTCGGGGTCTTTTTGCTCCTTTGGTGGGAGGGCTCGTCGGCGCAGGAGGTCGAGGATTTCGATCGCGTTCGGTGGTGCTGATGGTTTTAGCTTTGATACGTATGCTTGTCGAAGGCGCTCGTTTTCCTTGCTTGCGACGGCTAGGTCGCGCTCGAGCTCGGCGATCTCAGCTAGGAGCGAATCGCGCAGCCGTTTCTTGTCCGCATCCGGATCAGGCGGTTGAAGCCCGCGCAGTTCAGCTGTTGTTGGCTCCTGAGCCTCGGCAGGGATCTCGGTCGTCGTGGGGATTGGGGCCAATTTCTCAGACGGCTTTCCTGGAACAAGAAGTTGTGCTGTCTTGGCCGACATGACGGGGGCGCGCTTAGTAGGCGAGGAGCTCCTAAGTGTCTCGGCCAGTGCTTTGCTGCGCCTCGGTCTCTTAGACGGGGTATTGTGAATACCAGAAGGCGGAGTGCTGACAACTAGATCGGGATGTTCTGGGGTCGGCGGAAGGTCGGGTTCGGGAACGATTACTTTGGGCAGAACTCCGGGAACGGGCGATCGGTGCAAACCTCGGCCACGGAAAGGGTTTAGGATTACCTCATCATCTTCGGGCGCGGGCGGTGGAAGAGGGCGCGGGTTCGGTCGCTCTGGGCTTTTGGCGATTCCTGGTCGTCTGGCGGGAGATCGTAGCGGATTGTTGTCGTGCGACTCGGATTGGGATCTGAGAGCAAGGCTTAGACTCTCTCGTCGTTGTAATACTTCGGGATTATGCCTCTGAAGGCTCGCTTTCGTGGGAGATGCATACGATGGACGCTTTGTGGATGTATCACCGGACGACTCTGGAGCAGGCGTGTCCTCTGGAGTGGTCTGGTTTGGCTGCTGTGTTGTGGGAGCTTCATCGGATGGAACTGGAACTGAGTTGCGCGGCGACGTTCTGCGCCGCTTAGGCGCTGGGTCCTCCATCACGCGTTGTCGTCTTGCAAGTTAGTAATTCAGGATCGCGACATCATTCTGAAGAGATTCAGGACCGTGGGCGCGTTGGATCGCGTGTTGAGTCGGGCTTTGACGAGCTTTCGTTCCTTGGATGTGTGTGTGTTTTTGTTTGGTTCACGAGCTGGCAATGTCAATGTTCGGTCATGTCAGTTCAAGACACACGGGCCACATGGGCGGGTAGCTTGAGGATTGCCAAGACTTGTGAACATGCTCCCCCAGAATGGCCCAAGCTTTGAACCACCATCACCCTTCTTTCAAGTCACACTCTACACTAGTGTAGACGAGAGGTTGGAACAAGATGCAGAGAGTGGAACAAGGTACAATACCGAGAATTCAAAAACTACCTTACAGATATATAATAAAAGTCAAAAGAAATCGGACGCAGGTAAAACCCGGATGGACCAAAAGCGCATTGGGAAGGGATTCGTAAAGGTTTGAAACATCAAAGTGTTGGTTGACTGTTTTGACGAGAGCAAAAGGTGTCAATACCAGCAAAAAAACAAGTTGAGGACTGAACGCGATTTGAACGCGTGACCGTTCGGACTGCAGCCGAACGCTCTACCCCTGAGCTACCGGTCCTGTTACTGTGGTGTTGAGTTAGATGAATCAAAATAAGCACGGTTTTGTAACCGAGATGTTCAAAAGCTAGAAGGGTTGGAGAATGACAAAAAAGAGATATCAAGGACCGAACGCGAATTGAACGCGTGACCGTTCGGACTGCAGCCGAACGCTCTACCTCTGAGCTACCGGTCCAGAAGTTGTAATTATAATCTTACTGGATTACCTATAGGGTCCCCTGCAGCACCACAATAACGCCGGCTTCTCAATGTCACGATAGACAAAGACAACTCGGCACGCAACATCAAAAAATGCCTGCTCGGAGTGTCGACGATTTAGCAATTTTCAGAACAGACTATCTATGAAGCTTCCTCTAGTAAACAACTTGCTAAAAAGAGAAAAGCGGTTTACATCGGCCTAATGTGCTGTTTTTTTTTCTTTGGAGTCTCGAGGACACTTTGGTGGAGCACCCCTTTTTGATGTAAACAATCACCCATGCGGGCTTGAGCAGCTCTTCTCACGGCTCTGGCGTACACACTTGCTGCGTTGCCGCTCCTCGGTGTCGCCTCGATTCAACAACCAAGTCCGGTGAAAACTACAAGGAAAAAGAATCAACTGAACCAAGTCAATCTAAACACGAGCTACCCAGGCTGAGACTGTTTTGTGTGCCATGGTTAACGTCGGGAATCTTTCTCCCGACACCGAGAAGACGAGACCCAGGAAGACCAGAGCGCCAAGATAGCGAGTGGGCATCGGCGGATTCCGCTTCTAGTTAAAAAGGTGTGTACCGAGGCATGGACAGAGCTGACTGACTCGGACCTTCCGTCACCTCCATCATTCAGTCAGGCAATGTCAATGCGACGGAGTGAGAACACATGCACTGCTTCTGTGACGAGCAGCAAGCGAGCGGCGCATCGAGCACCGCAGACTCAGGTTCCCTCGCCAACGGACTGTAGTGGGCCTCGCGAAGGTTTTGAAAACACTTTGCTCAGTGAAGAGGGCATCATTGCCAAGAATTCCAGCAAGCGACCAAAAGAAGCGCGATTAGGTTGGCGATGCGGGGGAAAAGGTTCTTCTTGTAAGTGAAAATTGGCGCTGAATGGAGGAAATCGCCTGCAGGTCCCGCCCGGGCATGGGCAATGGGATTCCGCGGCGGGCGTAATAGTGGGGTTGTGTGCCTGTGAATGCCCTGTGTGGGAGAGGGAGGGTTCGGGTTCAGGTTTCGAGGCTCGAAACTTTTTTTCTGCCTACGAGTCGCATATTTCTAAAAATTTCTCTCGTCACTGTCGCAAACCTACTTCCCGTACGTTTCCTGATTCCGTAGTGTGTTATAAAGCCCGTCGTCTCCGTGAGCAATTTTGCCTTCCAGCATCAACTGCTTTTCCCCGTCAACTCGCGACTTCCAGACTTTGGTTTGCTTATCCGTACTGTCCTTATCAGGATTCCTTCGTCCCACGACCCCCGCCACTCATACCAGATACGTTTGCGTAACGACAAACGCAGAACAACCGTCAAAATGGTCCAGAAGCTTTACGTTACCTACAACGATGTTAGTCTACTCCCGGGTTTTTCATATGTGTCACGCCGACGCTGTGCGCCATTGCGCGCATTGTCCCGTTACCCTCGGCGCAAAGTAAACAAACAATGGTCACTGACGCTAACAATGTCTTTGTCTGATTAGGTGCACAACTTGTGCCAGGAGGTCGCTCCCAAGATCCTCGAGACCTTCAACCCCCAGCTCATGATCGCCATTGGCGGCGGTGGCTACGTTCCCGCCCGTATCCTGCGCTCTTTCCTTAAGCGCCCCGGCTCTCCCAACATCCCCATCCAGGCCATCGGTCTCTCCCTCTACGAGTCTCTCGGCGAAGATGTCGTTGAAGAGCCCGGAACCAAGGTTACCCGCACCCAGTGGCTCGATCTCACTGCCCTTGGTTCCATGAAGAACCTTATCGGCAAGCGCATCCTCATCGTTGATGAGGTCGATGACACCCGCACCACCCTTGAGTATGCCGTCAAGGAGCTCCAGAAGGATGTTGAGGCTGCCCGTCAGGCCCTCGGCGGAGGCGAGGAGACCCAGTTCGCCATCTTCGTCCTTCACGTAAGTTGGCTCCTTTTTCGCAATGCACTAGAAGTCCCGCAAATTGCAATTTTCTAACGTGCCTACGATCAACAGAACAAGGACAAGCCCAAGAAGGGCACTCTTCCCGAGGACATCATCTCCCAGGGCCGCTACTTCGCCGCTCTCACCGTTGGTGACGAGTGGATCTGCTACCCCTGGGAGGCTGGCAACATTGAGGAACACGACCGCAATGCTGCTGAGGCCAAGGCCCAGAAGGCTGCCGATGCCCAGAACTAGACGGGTGACATCCGATTAGAGAGAAGACGAAGCATAAAAGAGATACCCAGAGAAGAAAAGTTACGCACATACCAAACCCCGATGACGAACAGGAGGACCAAAAAGCGGCGCATATAGAACGGGAAGAGCATGGAGTTGGAATTCACAAAGGAAAGGTTACATATTTACGGTCATCATTACGGCGTCTCGGATGAGTACAGCGCGGCGAGGGGCAGCGAGGATGGGGATTGAGGGGGAGCATAGCTGACCGATATGACGAATGTCTACCGGCACAAAGGACCCCCCCCCCCCCAGGAAGTACTTCTGGCCCTGCCAAAGGGCTGTAAGCTTCATCTGGTTAGCGGTAGCCACAGTAGGGCACCACATAATACCCTCTACTCCCGGTGGGATATATCGTTAGCTCGGGTTACGGCTTCCATATGTCGTCGAGCCAAAGCTAAAGGCTCGCACGGCCTGCTGCCCGCCTTGATTCCTTGTTTATGAAGCAAGGCAAATAGATCGAGAGCGTATACCGCGCGCCAAAAAAAAGAAGTAAAATTATACAAAACAAGACCAACGTTCAATGAGCAAGGTGAATACATCAACTTGTGAAATTTGTAGGGCTCAAATCATATCGTCATTGCCAGGTAGGCATCAAGATCCGGAAAATGCAAACACAAACGCCTTCTCAAACAAAGCACGCAGACAACAAGAGGAAGGAAAAGAGGGTAGAACTGAACTTTAAAACCGTCAATTCCAAAATGAGCTACCCAACGGTCCCCTCGCGCGCATGCTTCTCTTTCAGCCTCTTCTCTTGCTTCATGAACTCGCGGATCCCAACCGGCACATTCTTGTACAGGTTGTCGTCCCAGGTCGAAGTCAAAGTCTTTGTAGTACCGGCGGTGCCAGTCGCAGGACTCTGAGCCGTTCCAAAGTCCCAATTACTCGAACTTCCGCCCCCGTCATCATCCATACTAACCGCTCCCCTCTGGTCGACCACCGAATGCGCCGTGCCCGCCAATTCTGTGCCCTTGACTATCGTCTGCTGTTCTTGGCCATCGCCTGCTGCTGTAGAGGTAGAAGTAGAAGGAGTTTGCTGACTCCCCCCAGCCTCCACCGCCCCCGTAGCCGCCATCACACCCTCCTCGCCCAGTCCAGCCTGCTGCGCAGCAAGCCGCTGCTCGGCCTCCGCCGTCGCCGTCGCCCACGCCTCCATCTCGTCCCGGTACATGTCCCACACGCAGTTGATGCATCCGCTCATGCAGCAGTTTTCGGGCTCTTCAGGCCGTGGGGGAACGAGCACGCCGGCGACGAGCTTGGATTGAGAACGGATGGAGGCGAGACGCTCGGCCCGTCTGGCTTCGCTGGTTAGACTGGCAGAGAAGATGATGCGGGTGTTGCCGGCTTCGCCGTCTTCAAGGATCTGGGGCGAAGGAGATGAGGAGGCTTCTGGGACTGTGCCGCTGCCGTCGCTGCCGCTAAGGTCGCCGCTAGGGTTGCTACTTGGAGTAGGATCTTGGGCACTTTGGGAGGACGTTCCCTGGGCCTAGATGGGAGCGAAATCGCATTGTTAGTATTCTAATGCGAAGAGCTTAGAAAGTGGTGGGTTGGCGCCATGGATGAAGAAGGAGGAGGAGGAGGAGAAGGACGACGAAGCATTAGTGAGATATGTGAGCATGGCAATCGGGAAGTTTCTTAAGGGTGTGTCAGGATCAGAATTTGAGATCTGAGATGTGGGAGTCACAGACTTGACCACTTTGGGTTCCTTTGCCGCCTTCACATCCTTTTTCTTTCTTCAGCTCACGGAGTTTGCGCTGCGCACAACCGCCGCACGCTTGGCCGGGACTTGCGCCGACGTCGCGGGTATTGCGATAATAGCCTCATCCCCTTTCTCATCCCTTTACTTTGCTGATTCCAGTCCGGGTTCATCGGCCCAGGCAGCAGGCTCATTTTCTTCCTGCTGCTTCTTGCTTCACGGGTGGCTGCTCCTCCTTCTTCGGAGGCTCGGAAGACTTAGGGGCGGGACTCACATTGTCGTCCTGCTTCGGCTTCGGCTCCGATTCCGCTTGTTGCTTCTTTTCCAGTTCCGGCTGGGCTTCCGGCTCGGCGGGCGCAAGCTTGGTCGGGTATTTCTGGGAGGTCACCGGGGGCAACTCGGGCTTCGTGTCCGGGTAGTTTTTGCTACCCTGGAGAACGCCCTCGTAATAAGCACCAATGGGTTGCGCCTGGTCCTGGGATCGGTCGACCGGAGTCGTAGGAGGCTCGCTTTTGCTGGGAGGGGTGCCACTGCCGCTTGCAAACATGCGCCGGGGCTGGAGGTGCTGTTGGTAGACGGCGGCGCGAGCCAAGGATCCTGCGGAGGACCGCGCGGCGATAAGGCTCCGTCGCATCGTTACGTCGAGATGGGGGAAGACACTATGAGGACAATATGCAGGCGACAATAGGTACAGTATGCAAAGTGTAGGTGAATATCAAGCGTGGAGGATGCAGTAGTGGGCACCGTTCGACCTTTGTACGTTGTCCTTCTAGAAGCACTTAGGTGGTCGCCTGAAACGTTGTTTTGGGATGGAGCTAAAAGTTGCTAAAAATGTTTCGGTAAAGGAATAAGTCACGGAATCCTGAGATCGGACAACTGGAAATCGAGTTGATGGAATTTCAGGGTCCGCGACAAAAGTCCAGGGTCAACGGGTGGGTTTGCGCTACCGAGTCGGGACCGGGAAGTCGGGAACCAACGTCATCGGGCAGGACGGACGGCAAGGGGCAGAGTGACACTACCATCTGTACCCTATAGGCTTGTGTTTGAAAAGTTTCCCCAACTCCAATGGACCGGTAGCTCAGAGGTAGAGCGTTCGGCTGCAGTCCGAACGGTCACGCGTTCAATTCGCGTTCGGTCCTTGATTATATTTATTTTTGTCGTCAATTCCATTTCCAAAAGTCCGTTCCGTATCACTTTTTTCTGTCTTTCTTTTTCGTTTTCCTTTTCCCTCTCTTTTCCAATCACATTTCATTCTCGCCCGACAGTCATAGCATACAAGCAAGCATTTATCTCCAGCTGAACCGGTGGTCAGGGGTGGTCTGTTCCTTCTTTGTTTACTTATGCATGATCCCACGCTGAGCTGGTAAGAAGTTCGATTCGTAACAAATCCCAGGACCTTTTTTTTTAAATTGGTATTTATCCATTTATTTTTCTTTGTGGATCTGACGTTCGAATCTTTTCCCAGATTTTCTTAATCAACATGGAGAGGGTGACTTAACTTGAGCGATCCGGTTTCGGGAGTTGGCAGGTGTGCCAGTTTTAAGCAACTCCAATTTTGAAGCCTGCCTCTTCTGGTTTTCCCGGTATTATCCAGTTTCCAGAATTCAGTCGTGCAGTATCTTAGAGTTGAAGGTCTGTCAATTGCACTCTGTGACCCCCAAAGGCATGTACGTTGTGGTTGAACACCTTCGACACTGCAACTAGAAGCGCTGCCAGGTGTTGAACATTTGATACGAGCCCAAGGGACTCGAGAGGTTAAAGTCTTGAATAGAAGGTTTCAGAAGAATGAGCAACATGGGAATTCTTGATCTCGGGAGTTTTGCTCTGTTAACCACGGACACCCTGGTATTAACCGCCTGGCGACAGTCTCTCCAGTTCCTTTGTTTGACCCACTGGCTGATCACTATCTACACATCCATTCGAACATCTACATGAACATACACCGAGCTAGGCTGGAAGGGGGTGAAGGAAAGCCAAGGCCATCACGGCGGCTGGTCCAGAATTCGAAGCTGAGCACGACTCGAAACACTGGAGAATGAAATGTCTCGCCTGGGGTGGACAGGACGATGGACAGTGAAATCTGCAATTCACTTGTCGACATGGACGACAGGGCAGCCTATGTATCAACCTGCCCCAAAGCATGCCAAATTTTGTCATATGCTCGAGAGCCCCGTTGATAATGCACTCACTGCGCTTCATGGAGGACAGGAGGCTGACCTCGACTCTTAGCAGGAGTGAATTCGTGTCAATGGATTGATATATCCGGCATGAGGCCCGTGATGGACTGGACTTTGCTCTCACAACACACCGAAGGATATACAGTGCTGATTCGTGAGGTCTTTCACTCAAAGGCCAAGGAACGGGACAGTAAGTGGAACAAAAAAAGAGTAGTGGGTGCAGGAAAACGGAGTTTCTGGTGTACTCAGCTTTCTGAAGTGAATAGCCTGGAAGTTCGGTTCGAAAGATAGCTCAGGAAGACGGAAGGGCCAGGCGCACACTTTCCTCAAGTCAACTGCACATTGTCGAGGTGCCGGCCAAAATAAGACATGTACGATGGATGAGACGCATGATTCTCTGTTGGTAGGCGTGGTCCGATAAATTCTGGGTCGCGAGGTCGGTTGTCCGGCAAGAACTCGGTGTTGCTTGCCTCGAGATTGATGTTTGGTGCACGGTGTATTGTAACAGATAAAACACACCTGTGTAATGTATACGCGGAGAAATTGTTAGTGCAGAATTCACGGGCCTTGCATCACTTGCGTCAACCCGTCTCCAAAACATCTTTTTGCGGCCAACAATTTGTTATCCATCCAGACGGTGTCTGCCAGATCAAAGGAGTCCAACACACTGTCTTTGACGTTCTGGAACGGCCTCCGGTGAATGCCACGGCGTGCACGGCAGGGAAAGACCTTCACGATGGGACCCACAACCCAATCTTTCATCCGGCCCGCTAGCGACGGATACGATGATGAAACAAACGGAAAAATTCCAAGATTTCGCCGAGCCCGACTCGCGGCCGGTGACTCCCTCCCTCCCTCCCTCCCTCCTCCCTGCATTCAGCATTTTATTAGCCAGCAAAGTCACGGTGAGTTGTCCACTCGACAACCTCGCGCCCGCAACGTCATTCCGAGGCCGACTTTTTGAGCAGAAGGTCGACATCAGCAACCCCAACCCTGAATTCTGCAGGATCTGAATGGACTTGCCGATGAAATGACCTCTGAGCAGGTCCCGCCCCCATCGGCGGCCGCTCGCATTCACTCACCCCGGTCCAGCCATGACCTCGTCACTGTCGTCCTTACCACCTCACCAACACCCTCGGCACCGTCTACTGAACTGTTGTCATCCATCATCGCCTCTTTCCAGAAGCATTGCGCTCCCCTGACCAAATGCAGAATCATCTTGGTCCTTGACACCTACGACCGCATTGCTTCCGACTCGCGACTCAAGAAAGGGACTGTTACCGCCGAGGGGGCCAAAAAGTTCGCCGAGTACAAGAAGAACGCCAAGAAACTCATCCTCGATGAGTACTCGCGGAGCTATGGCGGGGCTGAAAATGCCTTCTACGACGACGAGCTCATCATCACCGAGGGAGAGGCCGAGTTCGGCTCAGTGGCCTATGCGCAACAGCACAATGCTGTGACTCTCACCATCACCAGAACCAAAGATGGGCGCATCACCTTCATCGAACCTCATGCGCGGGTTGGGTTTGGTCTAGGCGTGCGCTCGGCCCTACGGCTGATCGAGACGCCCTACGTTTGGATCCAGCAACACGACTGGGCGTTGGTTGCCGACATCCCCTTGGCGCCACTTCTCGAGATCATGCAACAGTCCGAGTCTGCACCGGAGTCTCCCGATTCCTCTGATTCAGAAACGACAGATGGGCAAGAGCCTCGAAGGACTTCTGACGTACCCGTCAAATATGTCTGCTTCCCATCGACCCGCATGGTGTCCTACGCCAAGTCAGACCACGTCATGCTCTATCCAGCGCTCCGAGCCTTGACAAACCTGTACAAGCAGAACTTTTCGGTTGGAAGCGGGAGTACGAGCGTCAAGATCCCTCTTACGCCGCTTTTTTTCTGGCACGACAAGCCACACCTTGCCTCAACGGCACATTATCTCTCCCAAATCTTTCCCAGCCGCGCTGCCATGTTGAGGGGCGCCTTCATTGAGGACACGGCTGGCCAACGAGCGAGGACGGAGATGAAGGACGGGATGTGGAGGAAGTGGGCCTGCTGGCTGTACTACCCTGACGAGGGGACAAAGCTGTGTGTGCGACACCTTAAGGGGAGAACGTGGCGGGGGACGGATGGCGAGCTTGTGCAAAGAATGCAGTATATGCGACTCAATTCATACAACTCCTAGTCCGATGCGCATCTTCGGCGGTGTCCACAAGGGTCAGAACGAAGCCAGAGGACGGGGGATGACTGTCATCCGTTCATTCTTATCCTGCCAGGCCTTCAAGCATGCGCTTGCAAATTCCGCCCGTGCAGAATATCGGCGTTTAGAAGAGCAAAAAAATAATAATAGCATATCAATATCCACACATCTTAGATATGCTTCACCATCAGGCACTGTCCCTCGTGGTCACTACAACACTCGTTTCGCGATCGGCTTCCAGTCCTTGATATCCCTGTCAGTTGGGACCAACCAGACAACGCCGCCATTCCAGCCATTCCCTTCGGCATCACCCACCGGCTCAGTCAGCTTAACACCAGCCTCCTCCACGACCTTGGCGACCTCTTTCAACCTGTCATCGCTAATAGGCACATCGCCACTGCAGCCCTACGTTTAGCCCATCATAGCCACCATAGAGCAGGAGACAAAACCACAAGGGATAGCAACTTACTACATCAAACTAACATGCGGCCCGAATTCCTTCCTCCACCAATCCAACCACTCTTGCGTCTTGGCACCTTTCGCATCATCCTCCCCATTCACTCCTCTTGCCCTCGCCAGCCCGGCAATCTTCTTGATCCCCTCATCCAGCTTGACCCTTGCATAGCACCTCCGGTAGTACGTGTCCTGAGAGCTGATTCCCTCGAACCTCACCTGTACTTCGTCAGCGGACGGCCAGGGGATTGAGTCGAGCCAACGCTGGGGATCGTCGCCGTAGAGATCCGGTGAGATGCCGGAGCTAAGGGTCATGTGAGGAGCAAAGAATTCAGGACTCAAGCGTGCGTCGGCAGCGCCAGCCTCGGAGGGAAAATCCAAGGGGAGGCGTTGGGAGATTAGGAATGAAAGGATCGGGTAGAGAGGGTGGGTGGGAGGAGGGATTAGCCAGAGGGAGGAGCCGGGCATTTTGGGAGAGGACTACGAGGATATTGCAATGGGTCGTTGTTTCCCGCTGTTGTTGAGAGTTTCGGCAATGAATGTGAACCCTCAGTAGCTTGCGTTCAGATCGCGTAGATGGGTAGTGATGATTTGGAATAAGGATACTCTGGAGAAGGAGGAAACACGCTGTTCGGAATGTGACGACGACGCTTGGACTTCCACTGATCTTGGCGAAAGTGGATAATCCTGGTGGTGGAGTCAGAGCAAACCCTAACCCATGAATTCGCGAGGATGATTTGGTTACGTTTGCGATGTTACCCCTGACAAACCCCTTCACAAACACGGGTCATCGCTCCAGACACACGTGGGAACAAGGTAGGGTGTGGCAGAGTCATCAAGGTTCATCGAGGAAACATTGATCTATCCTTTGAACCTCCGTCATTCTTTGATCTTGGCCCGAGGCTGACGTGGACAATGAGGATTTCCTTCGAGTCTACGACACAAGTACTAAAACCCGCCCGTCAAAGAAATTGTAGCTAACATAGTCTTTTACGGCAGGCTTCCAGAAACTATCGGACACAAAGAAGCTTTTGCAAACCCACATTCTTTTCCATTTCTGTGAAGAGAGTAGGCATGTGTTAACAGCCCTACTGTTCAGTCGGCTAGGTGTGGCAATAACTTTCTACAAGCATTGGCCTTTACTCATATACCGGTGGCTGTATCCCACCCCACTATTCGCTGCTTGAGTTTGATTCCGTGCAGACTTTCACCATCGGAGTCATTAATAACGGACAACATGTTGGACCTGATCTGGTCTGTAGATGAATCATCGGATCACCCCTCCTGGGTTGATTCATCAGAGATCTCGCACAAGGTATTGAACAAGATACATATGAAAATAACCTCCGCCCGACATGGACCCCAGATGGGGCATAGAAAAACTTACGCTCATCTCCCAAGAGTCGTATTCCGAACCAAACGCTTACTCCTTGTATCTGCTTCAACATCAAATCCCAGGTCTACTTACGGCAGCACACTACTAGCTACCGACTCCCCCGCACCAAGTCCAACACTTTTAGCCCGAGAAATGTCAGAATCTTTACCAGAGCCAGTACTTCACAGAATTCCCTGCACCTGCCCTCGCGCCTCCGACTGTTCCCTCCGCTGCTACGCCTATCTTCCCACCATTCCGAGTCCTGATTCCACTTCGTATTCTTCCGCCCAGAGCTCCCGCCTCGTTCTCAAACAGCACATCCGCACAACTTTCGGCCACCTACACTCCCTCTTCCAGTCCTTTATCTCTTCTACTTCCACCTCCACCAGCCCAGACCGAGATGCTGGTCACCTTTCCCGTCTCGGTTTATATTCACGCTCATCAACAGAAGATACCTCTACCTCCTCGCATATCCCAACACTCGTGCTACAGTCTCTCCACACCCTCCTCAACCGCTCCCGCAACAGGAATCAACGACTAAACTCCCTAATAGCCGAACCGGCCAAAGATGAGGATCCAGAAGCAATACCCATGTTTCACCTCACCGTTCTCTTCAGTGCACTATTACGCAACTACGAGTTCTTCTTGGTTGATCTGGTCCCTTACTACAGAGAGGACTGGGCGGAGGGGAGAGGTAGGTGTCTGATGGCGGAGTTTTTGGGAGAAATCACAAGGGCGGAGAAGAAATTAGAGAGGTTAGCGGGGATGGTAGAGCTTGGTTGAGATTTTGGGGGGTTGAGACGGGAGAAGAAGATGGTGGATGAAGAGAAGGGATGAGTTCCGTTGGGACGCTGATACTTGCTCTGGGAACCAAACACAGGTCAGACAAGACCGAGGCTACTGCGGTAGACTAGAGGTAGGAAGACGGAGCTTACTGTATCATTACACGTCTACGATGAGCAGCAATGGTTCAACCTTGTCACACTCGAATTCATCAACGAGTTAGAGAAGTAAAAGCATGATAGAAAGTGATCAATTGAATGAAGCAAGTACAAACTCCAGCCCTGGTAACCGTATCCCAACTCCAAACCATGCGATCCATTTCAACTTTGTCCGAGACTACCTAGTCCAACAGTCGAATCCATTCCCATCCCTTGAATCCATGTAGTTGCCTACGTACCCAAGAACCATCTTGTCAACGCCAACCCATTATCCCAATTCAAGTCTTGCGACCAATGCCGTCTGTGATGAACCAAAAGCCAGGAAAAACAATGAAAGACATATGAAAGTGTGTGCCAGACGTGGCAATAGTCCAGAAATTCCATGAAATCAAAGCCAAAATCACGCTTGACCGACTCGCTATATGCGTATTTGGGGCGCTGGTACGTGTCGTACATGCCCTCAGAGGTCAATATACAGCCTTGACTCCTCTCCATCACGGCCTCGTCCACTGTAACCGAAACGTCTTTGTCCGGTCCGTATAAGCTTATAATCGTTGATCTGCGGTGGCGATGGTGGTGATTTCGGCGATAGTGTTGACGGCCTCCTTGTTTTCTCGTGGTGTCCTTGGTGTCCAGGGGCAGTCATCCGTCTTCCTCTGGGGTGGAAGAAGGCATTCTCCCCGACCCGCACCACTCAGAATGTCGTCCCTGTTGGGACCCCTTATCCTTCTCCTCAATCGGCAGGGCCTGTTGTGATTATGTTTCCAGCCGTGCTGCCAGCAAGCTCGTCATGCTCCAGCAAAAGGAAACTTGTAGAGGTACCAAACAAACGCCTTCTTTTGGTCAGAGCCGGAAGCCAGGAGGGGGACACACGATAACGACGAGAGGAAGCAGTAGGTCTAGCTAACTCTCAAATGAGCCACAGGATGAGCCAGGGGAGGATATAACCGCTGGGACTTGGGTGTATCTGTGGCGGGGTCCTGGTAGCCAACCCTTCGTTGGGGCACTCGTTCCAAGGGGTGAAAGGTGATCACTGCTTTGGATCCAGCCGCATGCCGCCAATAATCTCGTGTTGGAGTCATGCGAACTGACGCCGTGGAGCTCAACATCGTCTAGGCTCACTCCAAGATATCGCAAAGGCCTCGTGGGGTCCAAGACAGGCGCCTCGTCTAGTGAGCAGAATGTGAGATCCTGGATCATGGTAGTGTCACGAGCCGTAACGTTTTCCCACTTGCTGCTGTTGTCTACCTCAAAAGGTATGGTGTCGGCGAGGAGTGATGTCTTGTCGTTTACCACAGCAGATGCTAGAGGAAGGAGAAATGTGTTAGTGTCCAATGTACACCTCTCAAACGTCGATTCTATCAGTAATGGCCAGAAAAGAATAAGACTTACGCACTTGCTCGATGATTGCCGATTGTGGTTGTGCCTCTGTAGGAGGTGGGGTTATCAACTTCACCTCATGTCTGGCTTGGACAGCCTGACTGGTCGAGAGGGATGGAGAGCGGCTCTGGCGAGTCTTGTCGAGATACGGAATGGGAGGTCTCCACATGCTCGAAGCGTTACTTGCGTGTGATGCGGAAAGTGACAGTTCGTCGAGGTCATCGCACCCAGTAGCGCTCTCTGGCTCTTCAGGTTGCCCCTCAATCTCATCCACTTCTTTGGCGGCGAGTCTGGGCCAGGGATAAGGAGAAGGGCTTCGATATTGACGCGAGCCACGAATCTGGCTTGAGGGCCTGCTTTTTGAAGGGGACGGACAAAGAACGTTGGTGAGCCTGTGCAACTGACGCGTCAACCGAACCTTTTGGCGCTTCATCCATGAGCGCTGTTTGGAGTGAGTGTCGAACATCGTGACTGCTTCTTTTGAGAGATTGCCGCAACCTGTCATCCAGCTCAAGCTAGGAATTGCAAAAGCAGCCATCATACTAGGAGTGGGGGATGTAATGTAGGTGCAAGTGGAAGTAGAGGAAAATAGGCGACTGAATATGTGCTTTCGACTTGAAGTACCCACCGACTCGATTAACTTGCAAGGAGGGAAAAGAGAGAGATGGGAGTGGACATGGGCGAGAAGATATAGTTTACTTGACCAATCGAAAACAAAGCCACGGTTGCCTTGTCGGAGGTGAGTAGAAACTGAAATCAACATGCAATGCGAGGCAATGCAGTGAAGAAGAAAAAAAAATAAGAATATGTCCGATGCGGGCCGGCCGGAGGTCGTTGGCATGCCTGCTAAATCTCGGAGGGCTCGTTTTCGCCAACTCGTAGCCTACCTAAGCACACTTGAGGCACCGCTAGCATTGCAGACTGCTCGAGTCTTTTGAATCACCCAAAACTGGAGGCACCCAAGTTGCAGTTACGGGATTGTTCCATGTGAATCTCGCAAACTTGCACACAGATGCTGTTAGCTACTGATAACGAACACTGCGAAATAATACGATATACCCAGCCTTCAACTCGGTTAAGAGGCATCTGCACATCTGACGGCCACCGAATTTATCTTCGGACGAGACATCTGTTTGAAATATGGTAGCCTCCTCATCTTGCGTTAGAAAGATATGGACAGGTTGCTGAGGAACCTCCGAGGGGTGTTCATCCGGCCGACGCACTGCTCGGCATCAAAGCTAATATCCAAGTAAAACCGAGTGCCTTATGCCACTTGCTCGGTATATGAAGGCGTACCAACGTCGGTAATAAACTTCGTAACTTTGGAGTTAGTTGGATGAATGTCGTCTGTATACCGGTATTTCAGAACTTTGGTTTGCAACTGCCGGCATCGACGTTCCCTCTCTCTGGAGTAACTGCCGGTGCATGCGGCGCTGCACATATGTATTTATTTTCCCGCCATTTATTTCAGACCCGCCCTGCGCACAATGTACCTATAAATCTTTCAGACGGACGAAAATAGCAAGTAGCCACGCAAGTCGTACCTTCCAAGTTACATCCTAAAGCCAGCACTGGATTGCTGCTGGTAAGAACACTCTAGAATGGAAGTTACAGCCTGCAGAAGCTCCGACTCACATTGCTCACAGTACACTACATTCATCCGATACTTACCTTGCCGTATCTCTGCACCTTATCATAGAGGTACCTCTTCGTTCATATTGGCCAGGCACACGTCACTTTGCAGCCTTCGATTGTTAATGTGATTATTGTGTCCAAAAGGTACCGGTTGGGGAAGGGGACAGAGTTGGGGAAACAGACAGGAAATCTGACCCCCCTCCCCAGCGGGTACTTCTTCCCGGTCCTGTTTCTTTCCGCTCCAGTTCGCTTTCGTTCTCGTTTTATTTCCTTCTTCTTCTTTTTCTTCTTCTCTTTTTCCCTTCTTTCTTTTTATCAGTCGTCGTTTTCGATCCTTTGGATAGAACTTCAAAGGCTCTCATTAATGAGACATCAATCTGGGATTTGATAGCGTTGATGTGCTCAAGGATGGGTAATGGGCCTAACCACATCTAGGTGAAACCGCATTGCGTATCCATACCTAGTTTTGCAGTATGTACCAAGTTCTTACCAAACCGTCGGGTCTTTGATGACATCGTCCGTAGCACGGTGGAAAGTGGGAACAGACCTAAAGTAGATATTTGGTGTAAATCATGAATCCTGGCTTGGATGCCTACTTTTTCGTTCTCGTCGTTGTGAATTGAAGAGAAACCACAACTTCATTCGATGTTAGGGGTTTTCTTTTTCTTCTTTCTTTTTTTTTTTTTTTTTTTTTTTTTTTTTTTTTGATATATATATATATATATATATATATATCAGCAATCGGTGTCATACTTGTCTGTTACAACGTCAATTTGAATATCAGCCCCGGCCACATGTTCATGGAAGGGCTTTGCACGCAATGGAAAAGCATCTGGGACAAGGGGGTTTACAAGTTCTCAAATGCCAAGGTTGGAAAA